TTCTTGAAACTGTATTTAACTTTATTTCAAAACGATTAGAATTTATTACTTAATAAATACGGAATATTATTTCTTTTTCAACATAAAGTTTTAATATAAGAAAATTATTAGATACGCCATCTATAGGTTTACCAACGATAACATTCTTTGAAAAGGTTACTGTATTTGATTCGTTGCATTTGATATTGTAGAAGTTTGTGCATAAGTTCTCCATGTTATATATATGCAAAGCACACTCAACATGGATCGGATATCGTGGAATCTTTAAAAAAAACTGATGTTATTTAGCGCGCATTATTTGAACCTTTTATATACCAACTTGGAGATTCTAGTGGGCACGAATAAGTCATGCTGTTTCAAATAGACTAGATACATTAATATTCATTAATGAATAAAAATAAAACTTTCACTTATTTTTTCACAAGAACCGATGAATTTTTTCCTCATTTCAAGATAAATTATCTAAAATAGTTCAATCTACGATCTACAAAGCTATTATACTATTATACAACACTAAACTTCAAATACTTAATAGTAGTGATTACGGCACCCATCGTATATTAGTATGAGTAATACGCTTAACATCGTGTTTTTTGTTGCCTTTATGAAAACACCCATGAATATTCTTCAAATTTAACGGGATTAATATTCTAATAATTAGTTTCCGTTGCTCGTATACTTCTTAATTTACAGTGTACAAAAGATAAAAATGTGTTGTCCTCTATTTTATTCTATTCATTTTCTTTCTCTGTCTACCACATTTTCCTACAACAATATTTATTTCAGTATCACAGGCAGTTTTAAAATTAACGATTTGTAATGATAATTTCAAAACACAACGTCTTATGTTCTCAAAATAATTTATTAACGGCATATTTCCATCCTTGCAGGTTATTATCCATGTCAATTATTCATAAATATTACTGCTGAAATTACTGCGAAATTACTGCTGAAATATAAATCTCAGACGCCTAGATATATTATAAAAATATTTCAAAGTATACGAAAATTCAACATGTCGCGTTCTCTTTTAACATCCACCAATCATAACGCTGGATGTCGGCAACACATCATTTTTTAAGGGACTTTTTACATAAGAGCCATCGGAAATCGGACATCGGACCTCACAGACGTACACGGAGGTGTAAAAATGAATTAATTATTTGACATTAATTCGTAAATTAAAAATAAATGTTGCACATGATCTTTTCACACCACGCATAAATTTTTGGTAAGATAATGATGAACAATCGATTTGTTTTTTTTACTTCAGTATTCGTTCAACATCCGATGTCTGATGTCTGATGGCTCTTATATAGAAAGTTTTTAAGATAGGATTGGCATGGTGTCAAGTTTCGGCTAGGTGCAAAAATGGTGCAAAAATTTGACGTCGATGTTCTTCATAACTTGCATTCTTCACGTTTACCTGCAATGACAATTTTATCGTCGAAGAAAGGACTAGGAAGTTGGCCATCGGGTTTTCAAGGCAAGTTATTGGCGAAAAAAGGAAAATTACATAAAATGCCCTAATTGTTCCTGATATCGATGTTCATTTCTCATTTTCGATTCGTGAATGCAAAATAGATGAAAATCGAGTTTTTCAACATAGCTAAACTATGGCAATTTTTTCCTAAGATTATCGATGAATCTTAACGTTTAACGTCTTAAAATAACGATTGTAATTTTTATTGTCATTCTTCGTGTTCGCATTCGTTGTAAATACAATTAATTTTGAATTACAATAAATAATTATTTTCGGAGCTCGAGCGACGAGAAAACAAAACTGTAACACTGCAATTAGAGCTGCAGTACGTGGACATACCGGCAGCTTTGCCTTCCCATCCTTCAAATGTCGAAAATAATTATTTATTGTAATTCAGAATTAATAGTATTTATAACTAATGCAAATACGGGAGATGACGAGGAATATTATAATCATTATTTTAAGACCTTGAACGTTAAGATTCATCGATAATTTTATAAGAAATCTGCCATATTTCAGCTCGATTTTCACCTATTTCGAATTCACGAATCGAAAATGGGAAATTACCATCGATATCAGGGATAATTTGTGCAGTTTTCCCTATTTCGTTAACAATTTCCTTCGAAAACCTGGAGGCCAAATCGTAATCTTGACGAAGAAGGGTTTGTTTTTTTGTAAAAATTTTGGACTAGTAATCAAAATAATTAATAATAGCCGTAATTCTTTGGAATCTTTTTAAATATGTTCCAAATTTTTATTTCTTCAGCAAAAACTTTTACAACAGTTGAGATTCAAATATAGCAAATACATTAGCGTGTCACAATTATAATAAAAAAATGTAACATATTTAAAATATTATATTTTCAAAAAAGAAATTAAAATTTAAAACATATTTCGGAAGATTCCGAATACTTACGACTATTATTAATTATTTCGATTATTTGTTTAGAATTGTTACAAAATCTCTTTTTTGTCGCCAAAGCCGACAGTGCAGGTGTACGTAGTCGGAACTTGGCACGGCAATTTTAAAAAATTCCACGATATCCAACCCACGCTGAGTGTACATCAGGCAAAAATTAATTTGAGAATGTGCGTGCAATGCGTATGAACATTGAATAGCGAAATTTGTATAGTAATACAAAAACGGTATTACGAGATATTGCGGAAACAATTATATTTGATTCTTTTGATATAATTAAATAAAAACTAATGGATTTGATATAGTATGGATTACAATTTATCTTATTTCTACGGTTGTGAATCGGCAATAAAACACCTTGCCTTTTCAAACCGTATAAATTTATTTAATAACATTGACAATAATATCTTTAATCAATATGTACGTTTATTAATAATGGTCAATGAATAAATGAACAATTCGAAAGCAGTAAAACGCATATCATGTTGTTCTGAAAAATCTTCGATGGCTATAAAACTTTTCAAGAATGCGATTTCAATAATAAAAGTAAATTATATTTAATTTCAACGCATGAAGAAAAAGTTCAGATATAATATTACGATGCAGATACATAATTTCGTTAAATTTTAATTTAAATTAAATGCAAGACTACATATATTCGGCACTTTATTGGCGTACGTAACGAAGAATCTCCTTCATTACGTCATGTTTATCATCGGTAATTTTTGGTTATCGGTTTCAGTAACACTCCCTATTTTCTCGTTCATATCGTGTTCGAACACAGCCTAAAAAATCGGGCTTCGACTCATGATAATTGCTTCGTAAGCTTTGAGTTCAAATCCGTCCACGAGGAATACAACGTTACTATGATGAACAGTTTCTGAAAGTAAATCGAAATATGGTGGATAACCTGACACATGATCAATTAGATGATCATTAACGAGTTGAACATTTTATTCGAAAATAATTTCGCACAATATCCTTATTATATCCGCATTAGAAAGCGCACGATTGCTTTTATCAATGGAATCCCCAGGAGTTGCTCTTCCTAAAGATTTATCAACTTTGTCTTTTGAATGCAATCGCATTTCCCATTGACCGTCTTTATGTACCATAAAGTTATCACCACAACTTGTCATAAATATTGGCGATGATATATATCCTCTTATATTTTGACAATACTACCATTGAAAATACGATCCAGTATGTTGCATTGAACTGCGCTCATTCGGAATGGTTTTTTCTTATCAAATACATAGTTTTAAAAGAATTTAATGGAAGTCACTTGGGCTTTGTTGTCTTTATGAAACTCGCTCCATTTATACCTGATATCAAAAAGTTGGTTATTTAAAACTATTATTAAATGTTTTGCTCTTAAATGTTTAATTAATAATACTCTTCTGATGAAGCTTTCATTACCCAAGTGAAATCCAGACTTGATAGCATCAAACTAACTATTAGATCATCGTCCAAAAAAACAAAAAAAATGTACTCGTGAGTTTTCCCTTTTGCGATTCCAATTGCTTATGAGAATTGTTTAAACAAATAGTGAGAAATTTTGCAATTTTGAAAAAATTCTTCTGCCGATCAATTCTGCGGGGAAAAAAAATAAGTTGAAAACCTCTATACCATTTTCGTTGTGAGATTCTATTTTCTTGATCTACTATTATTATAAACAATGACATCTTGAGGATAGATACTGATAACCATTCTACCCCCAAGCTAAAACAGCTCTAAACATTTGGTTTGTAGGCTATACAAATCTAAAAAAGTAAATGACTACTGAAATAACTACGTAATTAAAATAATTTCGTATGAAGAATTGGAACAATAATGGGTCACGGTCAGGTATTGGATAATAGTACGACAAATGAAACTAGAATCTCTCTGCGTACTGAATGAGTAAAATTTCTATCAGTACTTTTATGCAGCAGCGCTAAGTAAAAGCGCGAAATGTTGCATGTTTTGCAGTTTAGTTGCAGTTCATTTTACGAATGAATGTAACTAAATACTTTGACCAATCCAATTTGAACAATAAGCATATTTAAAAACGACCGAATTGAGAGCAGGGCCAAGCTCTTCAAAATAGTGATTCGAGAATATAGCCGTAATACACTGAATCGTGCAAATATTTCAATGCGCAAAGAAAACGATCATGTAGTTACGTTATGAAAAATATTTGTATACTATATACAAAATGTATATAAAGTTTAACCAAATATTCTAAAGTATTTTTGCCTATAACTGAGTAATATTAATGGTAATAACAATCTCGCTTTGGAAAATGTTCATTCTATGTAATTGGCATTAAATTGACTGCGCAAATAAATGAATAAATATTAGAATTTACACAGAAAGACATTGAATATGTACTAATTTATCGAGCAATTTATTGAATTACATAAAAATGATATTGAAATAATTTTGGCGTACCTTGATTCGTACTTACATTCGAATGGGAAATTTGATAGAAGACAATGATTATCGCGAAGGTCAACTAAAAGCTATGACAGAATTGAGACATTGCAATAAATCTTACTCGAAGTTGTTAATAATTTTCAGCATGTTGTCTGCAAATAAATAAAGTAAGAAATACAATCAACTACTCTTGACGATGGCTCGGAACACTTCGCAAATAGTGTCCGTATGTAAATCGGCGAACTTGTTGAATTCGGGTTGTTCGACTATGCTATGCTTATTCGTGACGATGAATACAATGGTTTGCGCTTTTAAAAAGTTAGCGTTGTGCATCTTAGCCAACTCGAGCAGCTCGAACACACTCTTAAACGTTATCGTTCTCGACAATTCATATTCGCACAGAACTTTGAGCCCTTTGACAGAATATTTGTCAGCTGCCGCAAGAAGTTCACTCGCGTTAGCTTGAACGTTGTTAACTTTACTGGCGTACATAAAGCGCAAGAGTTCCTTCATAATATGATATTTAACATCTAGAACGTCAACCACATTTTCTTCTTTTTCCTTCATTTGGTGCTCGAACATCGCCTGAAATACCGGACTGCGACTTATAATGAAAGCTTTGTGCGCTTTGATCTCGATACCGTCAACGCGAAAGGTCACGTCGCTCCCATTGCCGGTTTCTAACAATTTCTCAAAGTCATTGAATTGCTCTAATCTGTAATCGAAAGAGTTGCCTTCGAGGTGATTCCCATTGAGCTGATTGTGCCTCGGGTTCAAAATCACTTCGCACAATATTTTCAAAGTGTCGTTCACGAGCACACGATTGTTTTGATCTAGAATCAAATGGCGCTGTACGAATTTGGAGTTGCCCCATGAGATGAATTTCTGATTGTCAAATGTTTTCTCCTTCATGCGCCAGCCCCATCTTTTGCAATTCTCGTCGTTCAGAACGGAAAATATCACATCGCTTATGACGTGCCCTCTGGCCAAGCATTCGATGTACAGTGATAGATAATCTTTGCTTTCGATGTTTCCGCCCTTCGGATATAACGTCAATCGCCACAGTATGTAGGTGTTGAGGCAAGTGGTCACAAAGATCGGTGATTCCAGAAAATCTCCGACTTGTTTGCAGTCCACTGAAAAATTCTTGATTTCCCATTCGAAATGAGATCCGACGTGTAGTATTGAGCCCACACCATTGATCAAACTCATATTAAGAGGTATTACACTTGTATTATTAGCTGCATCTGCGCCTGCTCGGATAAGATGGAAGGAACGTGAAGCGCGACAGTACCTATCAAACAAAGTTGAAAAGCAGCGGCGAGTTCCGCGTGGCAAACTTACATCGTTGGTCCCGCCGAATCTGACTGAGAATATCGGTGGCTTCTCTTCGAAAGCTGAACAACGGCTTTTGGGATTGGCCGCTCGCGAACTTGCACTTCGCTTTCCGAAATTTGTCCAAGTAAAGAATCAAGAAGTTTAGGAAACTCGCACAAAGGTAGCAGGTGAGCGTGACAGACATCTCTCGGGATTTTTAGGTTAGCAATCGAATAAATAAATAAAACGTCTATCAGGCGTGCGCCATCTGCACATAGCCGCTCTACATTTCTGTTACAACTGCTTTCGACACTCGTTACATTGATAGCCCGATAAATTAGCTCGACATGTCAATACAAGCCCTATCGAATAACTTTCGTATTCGTTTTCACGTCTAATTGACGATTGCCAAGTGTTCATACGGTCGTTAAAATTTCAGTGCGATAAATGCCGTACGAGCTGAAAATGTCTTATTTATAAGTAAATTAAGGTTGCAGCGGCTTCAATATCTTTTTGAGTCATCGTGCCTTGCCAACCAACAACCCAACCCACTTTCGTTGCGAAGTAACGCGAGCAAAAAGGAGGTGTCACCGACGTCGGGAAGAAAAATTCGAGTTCCGCCCGCGCGGAAATCGGCGTACGCGACTGGTATCCGCTGACCCGATTCGCTCCAAACGCACGCCAATTATTTTCGACGACGAATCACTTTCATCATTCGATACGTCACCGATGGGTCGGGTTTCGTCTATTTTACGACCGGTCGGTACACACGTACGTACTCGGCGTCGTTTTAGCCGCCGAGTACGTTCAAATGCCCAGCGAAATCGGTATGCGATCGGCAGCGCAAGGTGTGAACTCACTTTCGTCACTTCCTCCAAGGCTCCCTGTTTTCCTTTTCTTTTGGCGAAAATCTTCAAAGGTAAAACAAAAAAACAAGAACCACGTCGCAGCGCTGTACAGTTACACAGATGTCGCAAGGCGGCTACATAAACCGCGCGAGCGTTCAGGAATTTTGGCGTCGGCGACGCGTACGCGGCATTACTTTCGAAGGCGCAATGTAGCCAAGGCTGTCACGGGGCGCTGCCGCGTGGCGATGAGTTTTTTTCAAGGTCAAAGCTCGCTCGAGCCACTTTTTCGAGAAAGCGCCGCTAATGCAAATCCGGCCTTGCCGATCGCGCTCTCCTCGAGTCGTCGCCCGGGTGACGGCCTTGCCGCGACCGCAATCATTATCGCGGCAAAGTTTGCGTTGAGACATATGCCAGAAAGATCTGGTGGCGCGCGTCCGCGTAACGCCGACTTTCGTACTGTTATTTTGTCCCTTTCTTTTCTTCTTTTTGCACGGCACCCACATCGCTGATATCCACTAATTGACTGCCCGAGTAACCCGCTTTGCTTTCGACTCCCGTTTTCTTTTTTTCACGAAAAATACACGAGACCGTTTCCTTTTTCGCATTGTTCCCAGGCGCGCATGCGTGCATGTGTGTGTAATTGGCTGGCTTCCGTACGCGCGCGCCTGTAGGTAGCTCCGCGGGATGTAGATCTCCGAATTCGACAGAGGATTTAATTGGCCGCGGGCGACAGTATACTGCTTCACGGCAGCTGTGGTATAGTTAAAGCGAGGAACTTGTTCAGCCCCCGCAAACAGATTGTGGCAGTGGAAGTTTGTTCGATCTCCGGCTTTTTAGCGAAGATTCTTTTATTTGGCATCAACTTCTTAATTATAATGCGAAACGTGCGACATATGGAAGCGAGTCAAAACACTACGAATATTTGCATGATTTAGTTACGTTTTTTAATTATAAACATAATATTTATCTTCGGCTGAAATTATTTTATGTATTTATTCTATTTATCGACAGCTGATTTGCCAGTTTGTACTTTTGTTACGTTTTATAAAAAAAAAATTGAATTTCCTTCTACTTCGGACTTGGGCATTCTTTTCGATTTGTACACTTTTTAAAAAGGAGTTCCGGTTTCGCTTTGAATTGTTCCTCTTGGGCTACAAGAAAGTTAATTCTTTTTAATACACACAGGTAAAATATCAGATAGCAGGTTTGAATGCAGGATACGATTCTTTTTGTATTTTTGTTTGCATCATTAAACGAAAAATCAAAACGTCGTTCGCGCGCATTGTAATGCGAACTTTCCACATGAGAAATGAGCAAAACGAAGATACGAAGGTTCTCGGGGATCAATACATCCATCAATTTGCGGTACAGCATCCGGTACGTATAAGGCACATGCACAAGAAGGCAGAGGAGAAAAAAGGCAAGATTAGCGCGCATATTCGAATACATCGCATACGAAGGTCGAACGTGGTCGTCGTTTTGCGCTTTTTAGCGATGGTTTTGGTGAATACAATTGCAACTTGAAATGCGCCATATAAATGTGGATTTGGAATTGAGGGCGCGTGCATCCAATCGAAGCGATAGATCAAAGTATGCCGGGCGAAACGTTTGCACGATTGCAGTCGTCTGGGGGAGATTAAACGTTTCTTCAGATTATCTCGCGACGAGCGCGCGGCACGTAACGTCGAAGACGTTCGACGATAACGCGCGCGCGCGTTCAGCAATTTCGCATCTAGGAACACAAATAAGCCGAAACGCCCGTTAAAATAACGTCTCGCGCCGATAATTTACGACACTTTCTAACGTTCCCGCCACTCTGGCGTTACTGCAGCGCGAGATGATTGACAGCGCGCGGGCTTCGCGATTCGCTCGCGTACTTTTGGCCCGTGTGGCCGATATATTATTTATCGGTAGTGATGGTTGAGAGGTGGCGCTTACATAAGACGCGCGGCGCGTTTCGTCTTTCCTCGTACGCGTCACGCAGCCCGCCGGTCAAATTTTCAATGCAACATTAGGCAATCGCTGCTGGGTGATAGAGTCGCCTTTCCCCCTCTTCACCGTCCCTCGATCATTCGCGCGAATCATATGGTGCGACCGCGGCTCCCATGCGAAAGTTCGCTGAAAATTCTCGGGATTCCAAGGCACGCGTCGAGAAAATCGATCCCAGAGATTGTGGCAAAAGTCTACTTTCGCGATTGATTTCAGAGATCTCCCCATTGTGATTGAAGCGTTTCGTCGAAATGAACCCTAATCAGGGTTGCGTCGCGGATCCGGTATAACGAGCCCGCCATCGTAATTAGCGATACATCATCGCCCGCCTAGAAACTTTATAAACCTTTCTCTCTCTCTCTCTCTCTCCCATTACAGGAATCGCATGTATACCGTGACTCAGCGCTTCCCATGCGCGGCAGCGGTGTATATACCGTACGGAACCTCTTTCTCGCGATGGAAGGAATACAAATAAAAAAAAAGATGTATTCATTCCCCCGTCGCCCCGCACGCGACTTATCAGGTGACAAAAATCAACGATCGATCGATCATCCGCAGTCGAGGAGAAAAGAAAAAGTCGACACTGTATTTCTTGTTCTCTGCGGCTGTTCATCTCCACGAATCTGTCCGTCGAGCGGCGAAAGACGAACGATAGAGAGAGAGAGAGAGAGAGAGAGAGAGAGAGAGAGAGAAAGAGAGATTGAGAGAGAGAATTCCTCCCAAAGCGGTTTTCGGGCCGCGTGGCCGCGTGTGCCCACACGCCGGAGGACTTTCACCGCGGTAGCAGCAGCGGCGGCAGCAGCAGCAGCAGCAGCCCGCATCCTCGGCTACAATGCGATTGCCCGATATCCCTCTCTCACCTGCGAGCGGGTCGCGCGGAGCAGAGAGAGAGAGAGAGAGAGAGAGTGGGGCGCAGAAGGCGCAATAGTAGGAGTCGCGCCGCGGTCCGAAGAAGCGGAGTTGCGCGCGTGCTGTGCGCCAGTCGACGCGAGTGCGCGGCACGAGGGGCATGCGGCCGATAACGAATCCGTCGACCCGAACGATCCGCGTGGTGCTCGAATGAGAGAGGTGACTAAGGTGCGCGCAGCAGCGAGAGTCGAAGACGATGTGCGTCCGGTTCACGCCGGCCTATCACGACGACGACGACGACGACGACGATGACACTGCCGCTGCTGCTGCCGGGACCGCTTACCGTGGCGCTTTGCGCGCTTCTGGCGTTCGTCGCGACGACTGGTAAGCTCGCGTTTCCCATTTTATTCGGCCCTCGCTTTCCCGCGAGCATTCCGATCCTCGTCCACCCGATAGGTTTGCGTATGCGAGACGACGTTCGCACCGAGGAAGAGGCCGTAAGCGCTGCACGCAAGCGAACACCGTAGACTTTGGGAAGCATTGGAGGCATTGTCGGCTGCTCTTGCACGGGTCATTAACTTGGCGCGCACAGCTGTGCGTTTAAACGTCCAATAACGTAACAGCACGACTCAATTTGAGAAGTGAAGCAGACTGCCTCTATTTCTTTTAGGCTGCGAAGGTATCATGACGGCGTATCCGCGCGGTCGAGTCCCTTTTTTACGATACGTTCGCTTTCGGTGACCGATGCTGCTTTCGAGCGATAGAGCCTCGGTCGATGGTGACGATGACGGCAATGATGATTGGATCTCTCGAAACGCGTCTTTTCTTCGGCGCACGCGAAAGTTTACGTGGTTAATATCGACGCTTCAAGTAGGTCTCGTGTGTAGATCGAATTAATGGCTAAAGAAAATCACTTTTCGATTGTACATTCCACGGTCCACTGTCGATAATTCACCGTGGAAGAGTGAGTATAAAATCGGGGCTGTCAATTGATCATCCGTTGCAATACACTCGGAGAATAATCGTTCGTAAACTACGCCAATAGTGACGTCGACACGAGGTTCGGTAATTGTAATACACTAGACGAGCAACAATTATCGGCTACGCACACACGCTTTTATGTAATCAAATTCTTCTAGCGTTACTCGCTGCTTCTTTATGGGACGTGCTCTCGCCCATGCCGCACAGCCTGCTTGAAAGGCCCGATTTTATAGACGTTCGTTAAAGACAAAAGCAATAAAGTGTCGCTTTGTTGCCGATAAAATGTCATTATACTGCCCATTAAGAGATAACAGCTTTGTACGCACTGTCGTGTGATGAATTTTTCGAGAAAGAAAACGATTATTTTTACCGGAAAGTACGAACCGAATACAGTTAATTTTTCATACAGAATTTGTAATGACGGTGTAGATTGTCATTCCCAATACAAGCATTTCATCTTCCCTCGTTGAGCGGGTAATTAATAAGCGATGTTTATTAATTCGAACGATTTATAAATTCGTTAGAGCTGTGATCGGTACACACAGTTACATAAAAGCTCCGGAAACAAGGCTGCCGCGTGAAAAAAAATCGAGGAATGAGGTCACGATTAATAATTAAAATAATTCGTTGAATATTGCACATTAGATATCGTGTAATACCAAAAGAGACCGACTGGCACGGCGGTCTCTGCATCCCAAGATTTTTCGAGGCACCATAAACCGATTAACGCCTCGTCGCGAATATCACCGCTAATTCGAGAAAAAATGTCGCGAGTTTTGCGAATGTGTTACAATAAAAGAGAAAAGAATAAGTATAAAAATAAAGCTTTCGCAATGAAAAATTCGCGAGAAAGAACTCAATTAGCAATGGAAATAAAAAGCATCGAGAAGCGAAAAAAGAATCTTGACAGAATGTCGTCAACCGTTAAGCGCTGCCGAGGCAGGATCCGAAAAAAGACTCGGCAGATGCGCCGGCGAGGATAAAAAAGGTTCGGGCTCGCGCGTGAAAGTCGTCGACGCCGCTGGTATGAAGCCGATGGCATTTCTTCGAGAGCGAACGGAGTCGCCAGTGTAGAGCAACAGTCAGCCGGCAGATATATATATATATATATATATATATATATATATATATATATATATATATATATATATATATATATATATATATATACTTGAATACGGCTCTGAAAATCGAAGCGCGTCTCGAACGCACGAGTACGCGGTTTAAGGGGAGAAAGTCACCTTGAATTTCAGAATTTTCGCGATTCCGTCCGCTTCGTTTTCTTTTTCGTTTTTGGCTTTCGAAAGCTTTGGAAATGCCGGAGACTCGTCGAGGAGCTTACCGAAGTGGCAGTATTACTTTTACGGCCCAATGGAGCTGTTTTTTTTTGTTTTCGTCGAGAGGCGTGCCTAATTTTTTTTCCTTTTTTTTCGTTAGCGTTTCGTTATGAGCACTGCTCGTTTGTCGACGGACGAAGGCAATTTTTCGCACGATCATCCGAAGTGGAAGTATAACTCTTTGAAATGCATTTTATGCGTTTCCGAAAGTTAAAATGTTTAGTCACGAAGAAAGTCACGCAGGCAGGAGTGAATGCGTTGGTAATGATTGACGCGATCCGAACCTGCCGTTTACATTGCCAGCTAGACTGATATAGCAAAATTGAAAAATATTCAAACTTACGTTTGATTTATATCAGCAGGCATATTAATCGTCGCCGCGCGCGGCACAAATGAAACGAAAATGAAGTCTCGTGCGCGCTATTGTATAATTTCGCTATATACACGCATCTCGGCATTTATGGTTCGTTTCGACGCTATATGCATTTTAATATGTTTTCACAAGATGCCGGATTCATTATGCATGCTGTAGATCTTTTTCTCCCTCTCAAAGTAGCCTAAGCAAGCGTTTCGCGAGGTTTCTTTCTCTTTTTTTTTACAACTAAGTTTCGAGGCGGGGCTGTATATAAAATACGTTTTTACGAGGTGATATACGGCTAAACTCGAAAAGCGAAGGCTTTTCTCATAAGTATATTGCAGCTTTTTACGAGGTTTCGTGTAACGTTGATGAGGCTTTTCCTAATTATCTGACCTTATTAATTATCATAAGTGCAAGGGCGTTCCATTCTGCATTTTCTAGCGTTGCAATTCGGCCGACTTTTAATTTCCACGTCATCCCGCGAAACTTTCATTTGCTTAACGAAACGCTCGTATCAATCTGGATTCGCTCGAGGAATCGCGCGATTGCATAAAGCTCGCCGCTACGCCCGTCAAAATCCGACGGAGATAACTGGAATTGACTTGTAAAGCGATTCAGCGATCCCGCGACTCGGAGATAAAAATCTAATGGAAACGCAGGAGGAAAAGAAAGCGCGCGCGTTACGTAAAGAAAATAAGAAAAATGTGACTCCATTTGGATGCTCTCCTCGGGAAGAGAAGCTGCTCGTAACAAAAGCCTCATCCTTCACGCGACTTTTAAGCACACTGCATCAAACGTAATTAGCATTTACGAGGACTGCTTGTCTCTAATCCAGACTTCTCGCTTGTCTAGATGTGTTTGCGAGGAATCAGCTTACGACGCTAGCGACGATTCGTTCGGCCGCCAGAATTTTTGATGAAAATGAAAAGCGAAGCAACGATGATGACTGGAACCGGATACTTACGGCGACTAGGTGTACGTATAAAAAAACGTGGCCGTGCAAGTATATGTGCGCTTCGCGCTATGTAAATCGCGACGAACTTGAAAGGTCATTTAAAATTTTGACAGAACTGACAGACACTCACCCGCGTATTCTCTCGCGTCGAGTGTATAAATATTCACTAAATCTATGATATAATCTTTCAAATAACAATGTCGAGATTTTGAAAGCAGAAGGGATCGATCCAGAAAAGTAGTATGAAATAGTCGAGCCGAACATTGACATCGAAGGGAGGAAAACTATTGCTCGGAACGTTGAGAAATCCTATACACACGGGAAAGTGCTGAATTGATCAATGCCGTTTCTGTTCCAATTCAATTCCACCGATTCATCCTCCTTGACATTCGACTCATTCACCGTATACATCTCAAGCGTGTACGTATTAAGGCTACAGCTATGTCAAAGGTCAAACACTCGGCAGAGTCGAGATTAACCAATCGATCTCTCTCTCTCTAAACAAGTGATTCGCCTTCCCAAAATAAAAGGAAACGAGATTCAAAGTACCGGACCGCGTGCAACTGGCTTTTGCCCAGTCACGTCGAAATGTGCGAAAGTGTCGTTCACCTGTGGCTTGTACGCGATCGATGTCTATGCATGCGTATATACGTAATGCGTGCGCCGAACAAGGCTCGATCTGGCCGCGGGCAGTTCCGCGTTTTGCACGAGATCTCTCTCTCTCTCTCTCTCTCTCTCTCTCTCTCAAGAGAGAGCGAATTACGATCGCTTCATCGATTTGCTCCAGGCCTTTTTCCGCGATACACACACGGCGATCGGTGAACGGCCGATATCTCTGCACGTTACTTGGCAAAGCCGCGCGGACGATTTGATTGTCGTCGCGAGATCCGTCAAATTTTCTCGAGATTTTCGCTTTCGGCCGCGATCGACAGACCGAGATTTTCAAGGTTAAATGACCTTGAAAAAAAAATTTTTTTTTACTTCTGAAGCTGGACTTTTAACCTAGTGCACTTGGCGTGTGTGCGCATATGATCTCAGTCTCGGTCGTGATTGCATTATTAAATTTTATGATCCGCGCGCGCGACTAATTACTGCAAGGCTCTTTTTATTCCGTCGAAAGGAAAAGTATATACAAGGCTGAGAACCTTCCAGTGGTTTAGCATTGTGAAATATTATCTGACGAGGCAATCAGGAAAGCTTGATAAGCTTGCAGTTATTGTGAGTTAGCAGCTGTGTCCGATCCAGGGTAAGGCGAGTGCGTTGTCGTGTCCGAAATAAAAATACCGATCGATCAGCCGATTTGGTAACGCGCACGAAAGATATCGCGGAACTAGCGTAGGAAACACAAGCTTGGTTGGATTTTTCGACGTTACGTCAGCGACGCTCGCAGCCCGGCTTTTCCGACGAGAACGGCGCGCCTGGTAAAAACACACGAGACATTGTTTTTGAATGAAAAGAGAGTGAAAAACCAGTTTGCTGCACTATTAATTGGCGGCGGTAATGGGTTGTTCGACAATATACTTTATTGAACACCAACTTTATTAGCTGGAACCGAAAGATTGATCGATGATGCAGTATTCAGTCGGAGTCCGCCGCGGCGACGATTTCCTTGGTAAATATCTGAGAAACAACGCTCATTAAGTTTTCGTGCTAATTACATAGACACGCATGAGCTCTTTGCAAATCTATAATTTCATTCCCTATCATTCATATCGACCTTGATGAAACATTATTCTAATTTAATTAAGGAAACGGCCGATGTGAACTGCTGGACGCGAGCCTATCATTTTCAAAAGCGATATTTTATATCCTTGATCTTATAACTAATAGCTCAATTGGCGCGAGCTATTTCATTTACAATTTTAATGCAGTTGTTTTAAATACCCATCCGGGCGCGATAAGATCGCCTCGGCGTCGCATTAAGTTTGTATAATTGAAATCGACTGATTGCACGTTCATTTGGCACGTGGCGAGAACGCGCGGTCGAATCGTTAATTAATCGCGCGCCACATTATTCCACGTTATTCGACGTGTCTTCGCAGATTTGCAGTTGCGCGCGCTCGAAAATACATTGCGAGATTGTATGTACTTGTTCAAGGAGAAATTTATGGGTAAATTTGCGTGCCTCATTTTGACAAACCAATCAATATATTAAGCAGCAGCTATTTTCCAATTGCGGTAAATCACTCGACTGCTAGTATTCTAGTCGCTGATACGCAAAGAAATGCACACCAGAAATTTTTAGTGCAGCCATAAATCGTATTAGCGTTAAAAGTCTCAAAGCTGGTATTAGCTTGGTACTCGGTAAAAAAAAGTTAAAGGGGCAGCCGTGAATTTTAAAGTATGCGCCGGAAAAACACTTAAAAAAATGCTCGTAAGCGAGTCTTCAAAAAGCCATATCTCGCTTGCTACTCTAAATACAGTGTTAAAACATTTTCGCCTGCGTTTTCTCGGTAAAAGAGAGAGAGAGAGAGAGCGAGAGAGCGAGAGAGCAGGGGAATTATTTTCACCGTATATGCGAGGTCGTAATTGCTTTTCACGCGCGCACGCGAAAACATGTTTCTAACGTTTGGAAAAAATGAATCGATAATAGATATTTCTTGTGCTCGAATAGTAACCCGGATGCATTTTAATTCGAGGCGCAGCGATGTGAGAAACCCCCTCGCGCTAAATTATTTGAAACGTCCTCGTGTCTTTAGGTATATCACGCCGCCACTATCCTAATTCACGTCGTTTATTCACGACGCGCGCGCCTGCACTTGTGACGTCCTACACGAGGCTTGTCTTACTCCGTTGTCTGAAGTAGCTTTGCGTAAGATTATCAAGCGTAAGGCAGCGCGATAAATTGCATAGCGGTCATGGTGCATGAATTATGAGTTTACGAGTATTTTCGTTTGAATTAGGTATTGATTAATTCAAGATGGAGAGAAACGTAAATTCCATACTTTTTGTATGATCGATTGGTGTATTCGGTTTTTATTGGGAATAATAATTTGATTGCTCGGTTTTTTCCTCGGTATGTATAATATCACGTACACGAAAAGCAATCCCGGACCTAACGATACACCGAAGTATGATATTACGAATGCATGAAAATTCCGAATTTCACTTTTCGGTGCACAGTGGTGTAGAATGGCACAAGTCGATAAGTAATTGTGTAACGTGTATTGCCAACTTATAGATCAATAATTAAAAAAAAATACGAATAACTGAATTTAATTAACTTCTTAAACGGGGAAAAGCCACATATTAAAAAAAAAGGAAAAAAACGCGCCGCGCTCAGTAATTCGAGAAAAAAACAATCGTAAAAACAAAGTATCAAAAATTAGTCCCAAATGAATGGCTTTAGGAGTCCAATGGTGCGCGCAGTGGTAAAAATGGGACCACAGCAGCAACTGTCTCTTGGCAACCGCAACCAGGACAGAAGGCCGATTGTATATACATATATACATATATATAGACTCGCCATATAGCTTCGCTTGCGGTAGACCTCACGTGGCTAAAAAGATAGAGACCCCCATGAGTACACCAAGTGACGAACTGCTCGAGTCGTCGCTGCGCTCTAACGCTCTCGCATTACGATTTCGTCATTACACGAGCGACAAAAAGAGCGAGAGAGAGATAGAGATACGAAACAAAGTCGAGTGTAACGTAATAATAGTTTTAACTCGGCCTCCAAAGCGCACCTTCATTCGCAAGCTGCACGCGACGGAATTGTGTGCAGTGAAATCACTTTTTTTCTCCTTACTCCAAAAAGAGAACCGGTCGAAGGACCCGCCTCGTTCGAGACTTGTCGCGTGGTATCGGCGCTGCTTGTTATCATTTCTACGTTCACTCTCGATAGGTGCTTTCGAAAAAAAAGAAAAAAAAAAAAAAACAAGCCAACTAATCCCGTGAAAAGGTAAAAGAAGAGAAGCCGCTGTTAAGCCTTGTCGCGCGTAATAACGGCGTGCCTCGTTGCGCGAAAGCGAACCCGTTCATTACGCAATTAGCGCCGAAAGCTCGCGCGCGCAATTAGCTGAAAGTACCCCGAACGCTACATAGGCGTTTGCGCGCGGGCAGACGGGCACCTAGACCTTGAACTCCGGCGAGTGCGAATTTCGCCAGATCGCCGCGGTGATATAACCCTCATAACGAATTCTGTCGACGAAGCGCTTGCGACAGTCGCTTGCTTACTCAATCGTAGCGCCTTCTATACACCTCGGCCGCGCCGTGCGCGCCGTGCGCGCCGCTCTAGCATCGCTCCCGTTCTCACCTCCAAGTACAAGCCCGTTCCCTGTGTTTCAGGCGCCTTCAGCGGGCACGTAGAAAAGCAGCGCTACGACGGCTGGTACAACAATTTGGCGCATCCCGACTGGGGCTCCGTAGGCAAGTACATCGCGCGCGATTCCCTACCGCGCATCTCGCATCGCGGGCTCGATTTTTAACGCGGCGCTGAACGATCCGTAGACAGCAGGCTGATACGCAAGGCGCCGGCGGCTTACAACGATGGAGTTTACATGATGGCAGGCCAGGACAGGCCGTCGCCTCGCAAGCTCAGTGACCTGTTCATGCAGGGCGAAGATGGGCTGCCCTCCGTCAACAACAGAACTGCCCTCTTTGCTTTTTTCGGTGAGTCGTTGTCTCGGATGCGTTGCGACGTCGGGTCGATGGATGAAAAAGGATAGTTGCAACAGACACATCCAAGTGTGCTATTATTTTTGATTCTCCAATGGCGTAAGTAGAGGTGTCCATCAAACATTTGTATGTGAAAAATTTCGAAGGTGTCCTCTTCCCTCGACCAGACAGAAGCATTTGCGAATTTGGATGTGACTCGAAGAAATGCACCTGTCGTTCGATCGGTTCGCTGCAAATATCCTGCTTTTCATTAAGCTTATATCTTATTCGCAATTTCACGTGATCCGACATATCCCTTACGTTTCTCTTCTCACATTGTAGCAATTTACTCGGTGTCGGTGTTTCATTCGCGTGTAACCACAATATGAACTTAATTGATGACACATCCACCTGCACATGTATTTACATTTCTGAATCGTTGCACTCGCGTTCAAGTCGTCTTATTTTCGCTTTAATTAATTTTCACGAACACGAGCATCCGAGTAAATCAGTCGTCTGGCAATTGTAGCAGTAATCACCGTCGACCTGAAATATAACGTGTTTACGGAAATGAACTCGACGCGGATTCAACCGCGCTGTTATGAAATGTGCATCGAAAGATTCGCCGTGGCGCTAATGAGGGTTTCGCCAACGCAATATAGTACAACCTCGATTGGCAATTCTGACAGGACAATTGGTAACGTCGGAGATAATAATGGGCAGCGAGAGTGGATGCCCGATCGAGTTTCATCGCATCGACGTGGACAAGTGCGATGCTGTCTTCGATAAGGATTGCCAAGGCGATAAGTTCATTCCGTTCTTGCGCGCCGACTATGATCGACAGACTGGACGCAGCCCTAATAGTCCGCGTGAACAGGTAAGCCGTCGCTCGGATTCAAACTGCGATCCGATTGTATTGTTCCGCGACCAAGTACTCATTGTTAGCTTGGCGATTATCTGGCGACTATTTATTATCTGCGCGAACGTCAGTCATCGAGTCGCATGAATAAAACTCGACTCGTTAGAAAATAAAAAGAAATTGTTCCGGCATGTCGAATCTTGTTGCGCTGAAAAGTGCATTCGGAAAAGAGTGAAAATTGCTTCGTTCGAAAAGACGGTCGGCGAAACTTTCTCCCAATTGTATAAATTACAATCAACATGTATATCTCGCAACAACAATAACGTTTCTCACAAAGTGATCGGGCTGTCCGCGTGCAGTGGTGAATGGATGATTTGTTGGCGTCGATTCGAGAGACTTTTGCCAGCGTGTTCTCTGACCGAAAAGAGATCGTTCAACTGCAAGGCAGAGTCTATATATACTCGTATATTTTTTCTCCTCGTTGTCAGTCTCTCTCGCCTCGGAATTTATTGCATGCTCGGTTAATCGATTGGCTCTCAGCGTTTTATAAGAGTCGATAAATCGTTCGAGACTGAAGATTTTAAAATAAAAAGAAAGAGAAACACTTGGCGGCTAAAACAGAGGCAACGAAAGTCTTATGGTGAGCGCAACTGATTTTCCGCGTGTAAACACGCGCAATTTCTTCGGGAAAAAGCCCGGAAAGCGTTTCTGACCACCCGGAAGAATGCTCGGGTATCCAACGGCGACAACGCGCACGGTCGCATTTGCCGAATGCGCGCTCCTCGTATACGCGCTATACACAAGAGACACAATATCAGGCAGCGCGTCGCGGCGAGAATACCATCTGGCGCTTAGAAATCGTGCGATATTGTTGCCAAGGAGGTTTTATACGCGAACTGATTGATCAATGTGACGAGTCAATTTCACTTTTTTCTTTTTTTCAAAGTACGTGTTTTTATTTTACTTCGTTTTGTTTTTCTCGATTACGCTTCTTTTTGTTCGGCTGTTCGCTCCATTAAAAGCAGAGATCGTCTGTATTATTTCCGTTACATCTCGCAAACGTCCTATACGTTTCGACTTGCGGACAAATGTTTTTCCCGAACGGCTTATAATTTTTAAGATGATCCGATTCTCGCGCAAAAATTTGCTCTCGAAAAATTAACAGAGCCAACAAACCGTCCAAATAAATACGGCTATTATCCTGAAATGGTCAACATTAGCGTGCCTCTGGCGCTAAACGCTCTCTCTCTCTCTCTCTCTCTCTCTCTCTCTCTCTTTCTCTCTATGTTGCGCAAAAATCGATCAATTTTACGTCGGCGACATACAATTCACGCGAAGAGAAAGAGCTTTCCAATCGCACGTAAAGGCGCAGCGCGTGCGCGCGTAAGAATGCAGCCCGAGTTCGTGGAAGAGATAGAGAGAGCAAAGGCGAAAAATAGCTCGTAATTACGCGAGGTTGCAGATCAACAAAGTGACCAGTTGGATCGACGCCAGCTTCATATACTCGAGCAGCGAGGCCTGGGCGAACGCGATGCGCTCCTTCAAAAACGGCAGCTTCCTCATGGAGCCCACCAGGCAGTTCCCCGTGAGAAACACCATGCGCGCGCCGCTCTTCAACAACGCCGTGCCGAACGTCATGCGCTCGCTCAGCCCCGAAAGACTGTATCGTGAGTATATACCTGTTTGTTCGTTGGCTAAGGATCTTGCGCAGCATTCGATATCTCATCGAAAATCTTATCGAACGTTCGGCTGTGTTAATTATTTGTTTGGGTTTCGTAAAGAAAAAAAAAAGTGAAAACGAATACGAAAATGCTACAGACGGTTCTTATGCATTAACCTCATTACGATCGAAATGGAAACTGGCGATTGTGGGCTTAAAATGTTTAGGGACAATAATGACTTTTAACTATTCATCGATCACTCTCGTGCGGCTCGTTTATTTTTATAATCGACAGGTTACGCAATCCAAAACTGTTAGCTGCATGTAACGCAAAAAAGAAAAGGAAAAAAGAGAGAAAAGATCGGTTTCAATTAATTCGCCTATACCTACGCCACGACCTTGACTGGAACGGAAGAAAAATAAAAAATAAAAAACACAACGAAACCAAAGTGAAGAGAAGAAAAAAAGCGCCACACCGAAGCCAAACGTAATCCGCATTAATTATGCAAGAGAATGCGCGCGAAAGACTTTGTAATATAATTGATACACTTGCATGCGCATTGTTGAAATGGCGTTCCCGCCGTACAAGGGAATAAGTTATTGTCTCGGCGCGCGCGCGCGAGCTATCTCAGCTGAATAAAACATCGGCAGCGTAGTCCGAATGGTTTTTATTTTTTTTTTGTTCAACATGGGATTCTTGTTAGAAAAGCTTTGCTCGGATCGACGAGGTCAGGCACCACTCAATTCAACGATGTTCACGAACGACTGGCTAAGAGCTAGTGTTATTACCACAAAAAGAAAACGCAAAAAAAAAAATGATAGCGTGATTTTCCTGCGTTTAATCGACGTCGTCGCGCGTGTTCCAGTATTAGGCGATCCGAGAACTAATCAGCATCCACCGCTCCTCGTCTTTGGCATATTGTTCTACCGATGGCACAACGTGATCGCAGCGCGCGTGCAGTACGAGCATCCCGACATGTCGGACGAGGAAATTTTCCAAAGAACTCGAAGGATCGTCGTTGGAACGCTACAGGTATGCCGACATTCTGCATGGAAAAGCGATGCGATTAGCCGCGGCTCGGGGTATATCTCGCGACGCGTTCGCGCGCAAAAGTCGAGCGAAGCCCAAGCGCGTTTCGGTGACGCTCTCGCACATGGACGGATCGCGCGAGGCGACGCGCCTAATTGCTCCATGCAAACGTTTCACGCATATACTTGACATATATTAGTCAAACTTAGCGCGTGCTTTTTTTTTCTCTTAGCCTCGCTTCGGTATCCTCGGCTTTCCGGCGTACGCGCGTGACGTCGTCATTGTTTTTTTTTTTCTTTCTTTTTAATTTCCTTTTTTATGCGAAGTAAAGCCGAGACGCTCTCTCTCTCTCTCTCTCTCTCTCTCTCTCTCTCTCTCTCTCTCTCTCTCTCTCTCTCTCTCTCTGTTCTTTATTGTTTCTTTCTTCGAAATTTCGCTATTTCTAAACGCTTGTGTCGACGACAAAGAAACCTATTGGCAAGGTTTATTGGAAGACCGAATAATAAATCTGTTAGCCAATAAAACATACGCCGATCTCTCTCTCTCTCTCTCTCTCTCTCTCTCTCTCTCTCTCTCTCTCTCTCTCTCTCTCTCACTCTCTACGCAACGTGGCTGAATTCGAAATTTCACTCAGCTGGCAACTTGGACGCTTATCGCTGTGTCTCGAGGTCTCTTTACTGGCGCATTGTATAGTTCGTAAAGAACAAAAATCACATGGCAATTATTTTCCATCTAACAGGTTTACTTGGCAAGTCGCGGACTTCGAAACAGCTCATACATAAACTCATTCTAACGCGGCCGGCGCGTACGTGCCGCGGCTGTTGTAACGGCGCGCGTTAATCGCTTTACAATCACGCGTGTTTCGCAAATTAGAGCCGCCAGCAAGTCTGCAAAGCTTCGTGGATGTATATCTAAGCGATCGTCTATTATCGCGCAGCTGCCGAAAATTGCGCAAAAGCTCGGCCTCGCTGTTCTACTCGCCTTCAAGTTCACTGGCTAATCTTATTTCGTCGCCACGACGGACGATGTAGCGAAAGGATGCGCGAAGGTGAAAAGTGATCGATCGACGGCAGAGAAAAGCGCGCTCGCGTGGCGCTGTTAACGACTGTGTGCTTCGAACGACAGGACGAATAATACGTTGTAGAAGCGCGAGCGGCTGCCGAGAAATTCAATTGAGGCAAAACTGCAGTGCTTTCTAATAGCCTCTGGCGAGTAACAGATGTCTGCTAAGCTATTTATTGTCTATTTATATGATACAATTTCCTCTTATAATGTGGCCAAGCCTCAAGCATTGTAATAAGCTATAATTAACCGTTCTGAAACTAGAGCTCGTCGATGTGAGAACCGAACTCTATCGATTGCCATTTCGATTGGCCTTTCATTGCCGTCCTACAAAAATAATGACGCTCATCCGCGCGAGTCAGCAGGAAAAGTGCCAAACGACGGACCGCAACGAAGCCGAGACGATTTCACGGTGGCAAAATAAAAAATAATGACAATCTAATTGCGAGTGCACTATCATTTCGCGCCGCCTTCAGTTCTGAGAAAACGTTCTAACCAATTTTTTTTTCTCCGTCTCATCCCGTTGTTTTCAGAACATCATCATGTACGAGTACCTGCCGACGTTGCTGGGTGAACAGTTGCCAGTTTACGACGGTTACAAGCCCGATCTTCATCCGGGTATCACTCACGTTTTCCAAAGTGCAGCCTTCAGGTTTGGACACACGATGATACCTCCAGGCATTTACAGGCGAGACGAGCAGTGCAATTACCGATTGACCAATACCGGCGAACCCGCGATCAGACTTTGCACTACTTGGTGGGACTCCAATGTAAGCTTCTCCGTTTTTTAATCCATCTAACCGTCGAATAAAGCCTTCGCGCACGAAAATAAATACACGGATTTCCCATTAAAAGGCTTTTCGTCTCAGTTTTCCACCGATCCAACGATCACGCAATAATTATTAACCTGTGTTTGAAGCGTTATTCAAATATTATGGAAAGAAGGAAAAAAAAACTGTTTACCGTCGAGATCCAAAGACACATAACGCGGGAGCTTTACTTTAGCGTCGAATAGGCGTGTCGAGCTCACGTACAAGTGCATACGTCATATTTATCCCGCACGACAGTTTTTCTTTTTTTTTTTTTTGTAGCGACGAAAAAAAGTGACCATCAGTGCAGAAGAAATAATTTGAATAACTCGTCGAGACTTTTCGCGCGATGGAAATATTGAAATTTTGTGTCTTGTCTTGCACGGCAACGAACTGGTCTTCATCAATCTGGTTTATCGGTGCATCATTCTTCTTTAACGCTGCCTACATCGTAAATCATGATAATGCGCGGATGCGCATCGAATCCAGTGATTTCGTAGCCATCGCGAAGGAATTTCTGATTTTACAATAAAGCGGATTCGTTTTGATTCTCTCACGATTAAATAAAGAATTCATCTCATAAATAATACTCGCGCGTTACGTACAAAGTTTATTAATATTGAGCGAATTATCAAAACAATTTTTCCGCGTGCGATACGCGCGAAGTTGATGAATAATCAAGCAAATATAATCGCGCGCCTCCGTGCGGTTGATTTCATCGTAGATACATAACGATTTTCCTTTTTCAACCTCATAATTCAGCAATAAATTTACGCGGTATTGCATTTTCTTAATGGTTGATTGTACGGTTGCAAATTAGAATATTCAGCGTGTAGAAAAATGATGAATCGTAATTAGCGTTCAACTAAAATACACTCGGGATTTTTATTATTATTATTCTTTGAAGAAACACCTAGTTTACACTCGTACAATGAATCCACACGATAAGAGAAAATCTCGAACGGCACACAATTGTAGATTCGCTGACTGACCGAAGCTTTCTAAAAACTTGACCGGAATATCGTTAGCTGGAAGGCAAGGAAACGGAAAATCTATCTCGAGAATAAAACGAGGGACTCCTGATTTTTCCCCGGGCCGATCGCGTTCTTTGCGCACGACTGATGATAGTAGTAATGGTAATAATAAAAAACGACAACGCGGCTTATCATCATCGAGCCATCGAGGTAGTTCAAAGTCGCAGCGTGTTGTCTCGAGAAAGAGGTGCGCGCGGAAACACGCGAGATGGCCGGCCGATGTGGGTTATCGTCGGATCATCTTGACCGTGGCGCGTAATAGCGACATCGCGCTCTTGGGAAAGTAAGTCAGCGGAGTTACGGCACGGCCGTAAAGCTTGCACGCGTGCAGCACTGTGACTCGCCACCCCGAAGCCCCACCGCGGCCAGTCGTCTAATAGCCTCGCGGTCTCGAGTGCGAGAGAGGAAAAAGAAACGCTGGAAAGTTTTGACAGGTGCGCGTATCCTACTTTCTCGATCGAACCGTGACGTACGGCGCGTCCTCGTGAAAATCATTTCATCTGGATTACGCAATTATTTCGCTGTGCATCCACGATATCCCGCGTATAATTTATAATTACGCAAGCAATTAGTCCCGTAATTATACGTAATTGTCGATTGCTCGTTACGAAATTATACAGCCTGCAACTTGCAACCAAACAGGACTCTCGCTGCTGTCTTGTCAGCGCACCGCGAGTTGGAATCTTTTGACGCCTGCTAACGTTTTGTTCTCTCTCTCTCTCACTCCCGCATTGTATCAAGTGTTTGTTTTGCCGGTTGAATAATCAATGCACACAGTTGCTCGGTGCAAGAAGCGGTCGGCGCCTTCTCGTGCCGTTTGGAAAAATCAAATACGGAGGATTGATAAAATTCACATTGAGCCCATAACTCGGCCGGGTAGTTCGAACGAGATTGCTCGAAGAGGTCGAAAAGCTTTGAATAGACGGTCGGATGGAGCGAGCGGAGCTATGATTAGCAGCTATGGTTGGCAGCGAAGAAAAATGAATAAAACGAGGAGCGGTGTCGCAAGGAGAGGTGCCGAGAAAAAGTGAAATTCTGTTGACAGGAAATCTTGGCCAACAGCACGGTGGAGGAGCTGCTGATGGGTCTGTCGTCGCAAGTGGCCGAGCGCGAGGACAATCTCCTCGGCACGGACATCCGCAACAACCTGTTCGGCCCGATGGAGTTCTCACGGCGCGACCTCGGCGCGCTCAATATCATGCGCGGTCGCGACAACGGCCTCGCTGACTACAACACCGCTCGCGTCTTCTTCGGCCTGGAGCCGCGCAAAACTTGGAACGAGATCAATCCCGAGCTGTTCAAGCGCAATCCCGAGCTGCTGCGCACCCTCATGGAGATATACTCGAACGACTTGGACAACATCGACGTCTATTTGGGCGGAATGCTGGAGTCGACAACGGGACCCGGACAGCTCTTCACTGCTGTGATCAAGGATCAGTTCTTGAGGCTCAGGGACGCCGATAGATTTTGGTTCGAGAACGATAAGAATGGGTGAGATTTTCTCCTCTCTCTCTCTCTCTCTCTCTCTCTCTCTCTCTCTCTCTCTCTCTCTCTCTCTCTCTCTCTCTCTCTCTCTCTCTCTCTCTCTCTCTCTCTCTCTCTCTCTCTCTCTCTCTCTCTCTCTCTCTCTCTCTCTCCTCTCTCTCTCTCTCTCTCTCTCTCTCTCTCATTGCAGCAGCCGAGCGATTTCGCGCGTGCAGGCGGAAACGAATATGACGAATGAATGCGCGCTGCTTTGTCGCTGTTGCAGTATCTTCACGAAAAGCGAGATCGAGGATATCAAGCGGGTGTCCTTGTGGGATATCATAACGAATACGACGGACATCAGTCCGGATGCCATACAGCGACAAGTGTTCAGTTGGAAGGACGGCGATCCTTGTCCTCAGCCATATCAATTGAATTCCTCCATTTTAGAGCCTTGTATGCCTCTTCAACGCTACGATTACTTTGTGGTAAGCTCGGTCGCGCGCACGCCGAAGAAAGCCTTTCGTTCCGTGCCGTTTGCGCATAGGCGATCACAGTTGCGCAACTCTGGCTATGCAGGCGGAAGCGCACCTGCCTGCGTGCCAGAGAAAACGGATTGCGCAAAGAGTAGGATGAAGTAGGCGCACTCTAAAGAGCCTTTTTTTTCGTCTTCTTCTTCTTCTTCTTCTTCGACTCTGCGGCTCTGTTGACACTTATTTCGACCGTCAATGTATGCGCTCGCACGTCGAATGCTTGCAAATGAATTCGCCCGTACGGCTTTCTTCTTTTTTTCTTTTCTTTTGCGGTACGAGCTTATCTCGAGTAAATTTCGAGTGTACGCCGCAAAGCCGTTTCTTTTGTCTCAGTCGATAAAGAAAAACCGAGGAGACGACGCGGAGCTTCCGAAGGGATATTTAAATGGCTCCTCCCGGTAAATTTCGTTTCTCTTGCCGTGGCGCGGCAACGCTAGCGACCAGTTGAAATACAAAACGCGTTGACCACAAGCACCCGCAGGCGCAATTGCGCGATTCGCCCGGCATTTGACTCAGCTTCAAGAGCGTTGTCCTCGATTCGCAGGGTAGCGAACTAGTCTACATCTACGCGTGCGTATTCCTCGGCTTCATACCAATCCTGTGCGCGGGCGCGGGCTACGGCTTGGTCAAGCTGCAGAATCGCAAGCGGCGTCGTCTGAAAGTCCTGCAAGAGGCGCTGCAGAAGCGCAACGGCGACGGCAAAATCTACGTCGACAAGATGATTGTGCGCGAGTGGCTGCACGCTAATCATCGGCGTATGATCAAGGTCAAGTTCGGGCCCGAACCGGCGCTCTACGTGGTGGATCGCAAGGGCGAGATGCTCAGAACGTTCAGCTTCAAGGATGTCAATACCGTCACCATCGAGGAATCTCAGGTACGCGCGCGACTGCGCAATCGATATACCGGCATCGCTGAACATTGAAGACGCGTTGGTTCGACTTTGCTCTCTCTCTCTCTCTCGTATGCCTGCGAGCTCATCCGCGCTAATTAGGGGTTTTCAATCGGTCGCAAGATTTACGAAGGCAAGCGCGATAGATTTCCATGTGCGTTTACCCGGCCGTTTCGACGGACTTCTCATAACGATAATCATCGATCGTTTGGAGTCTACGATTGTTAGCTGCACGCGGACGAGGCCTCGACATCAATGCCAGCGGTGCTGCTGCTGCTGCTGCTGTTGCTAAGGAAAAAGTATCCTTCAAAAAAAAATACCTTAATCACAGGCTTATTGGAAGTAGCTAAATTGATCATTATCGCCTTGTCTGATTGGCAATTGTCGGGTTCGCGGAGAAGCGTCACGAGCGAAACACTTGTTGCGAAGTGTGGGCTGTCGTTTACACGGCTGAAGCGCCGGACAAAGCATTTCTTTGAAGTGACGGCTCGAAAAAGTGACCCGCTCGGAGTTGTTGAAAAAGCAATTGCACCGCTGGCCCGGCAATGAAAATAAAGAACGGCAGGCGCGAGTCAAGAACGCGAGCGCCACGCGACGGCGCCTCGAGATAATTCATGCCAGTTCATTTCGTAAGAATCATTAAAGTGCGGCGCGCCGGCATTGACGCCCGAAAAGTTTCGCGAGCGCGTAACGCGTTGAGCATGCGTATACACTCGGAACGGTATTTAAATTGAGCCCTGCCGCAACATTGCGATCGCGAGAGTCGTTATAACGAGGAGGGGGGGGGCGGTACTCAAATTAAACGCAATAAAACCCGCAAGAGAAAACGCCGATCTCTCGAACCGCGTTGTAAAAGCTTTCTCATTATATGTGTATCGAGCGAAACCTTTTTCAGGACTTGAGCGCTCATCGTCATCAAAGCTCGTTAATTAACTCTGGAAAACACAAGCGAACTGTCTTTTCGCAGGAGCCCGAGAGCGGCCAATCGAAAGGCCTCGTTCTCTTGCGCATACCTCGCGACTACGATTTGGTATTGGAACTGGACTCCTTGGGCTCTCGTCGCAAGTTCATCAGCAAGCTCGAAACATTCCTCAGCTCCCACAAGAAGCACTACACGCGATCGCAGACGAATCGCGACATATTGCTCGCCAAGGCGGAGACCAAGGAGCGCCGACAGAAGAAGCTCGAGCATGTGGGTATAAATTGTCTCCCCCCCCCCTTCCCCCCTTAACCTACGCCAAAGCCGCTTGCGCGCGCGCGCAATTGCGTATTCCACGCGCGCGACATTCAACTCCGCTGATTTACGGGGATTCCCGTACGATTGCGAGCCGCCGAGCGATAATTCTCTCTCGCGCGGCTTTGTTTTGGCAGATTATTCAACGACCTGCTAATCGTTTGGTCGGGCTCTCGCGTGCAGTCCAAGAGAAACGTGCCGCGACCTCTGCAAGCCGCTACGCGCGTATAATCTTGTCTAATCGAGCGTGAACGTGACTTATATATCGACGTTGATACTCGCTTACGAGCCCGCTCGTAATGCAATACGGCGCCAAGACAGATGTGATTTGTCCGTTGAGCTTGTTTTACAGTCGGGTTACACCTGCGGCTCGCATCGAAGCCAAGCCTGCGGACTAGTCGCTTTATTGCGCTTGGCATGAGAAAAGAGTTTTGACCGACACTCCTCGCGTACGTCCGAAAATTCGCGGCAGTCCGACCAAACTTGCCACGTTCTACTCGTTTTGCAACTCCGCGACGCGATGCTTTCTCAAGCTCGAGATTTTCGATGTCGTTATCGCCGTCGCTTTTGCAAAGCTGTTGGCTCGAGATCGCTTTCCAAATAACACCCGTAAAGCCGCGATAAAACAAAAAAAAAAAAGAAAAGAGAGCCGACAAGCTGTTTGCCGAGAACTTTGGAAAGGACGATTTGCAATAAATGTTGAAATGTTGTGTGTTTCTGTCCATCGACGCTTTAGTTCTTCCGCGAGGCGTACTCGTTAACCTTCGGCTTGCGTCCAGGCGAGAGACGACGGCGATCCGAAGACAACGACAGCGGCGAGGTGGTGACGGTTATGCGCACTTCGCTGTCGAAGAGCGAATTCGCCAGCGCCCTGGGCATGAAGTCCGACGCCGTGTTCGTGAAGAAGATGTTCAACATCGTCGACAAGGACGGCGACGGGCGCATCTCCTTCCAGGAGTTTCTCGACACGGTACTGCTGTTCTCGCGCGGCAAGACCGAGGACAAGCTGCGCATCATCTTCGACATGTGCGACAACGACAGCAACGGGGTCATCGACAAGGAAGAGCTCTCGGAAATGCTCAGATCGTTGGTCGAGATCGCGCGAACCACCAGTCTGTCGGACGACCACGTGACCGAGTTGATCGAAGGCATGTTCCAGGTACGAAGTGTGCGAGCTCTGTGGTATCGTAGCGCGCGCCTCACGGCCCAGTGGCGGTTGCTGTACGCGTAAGCTTTGCAGGGCGCGGGATTGGAGAGAAAAGACTTTTTAACGTACGCCGACTTCAAGCTAATGATGAAGGAGTACAAGGGCGACTTCGTGGCGATAGGCCTGGATTGCAAAGGCGCCAAGCAGAATTTCCTCGACACGTCGACCAACGTGGCGCGAATGACGAGCTTCCACATCGATCAGCTGCCGCCGGAGGACGCCAAGTCGTGGCTGCGCAAGCAGTGGGACGCGTTGTCCACTTTCCTCGAGGAGAATCGCCAGAACATATTCTACCTCTTCATTTTTTATGTGATCACCATCGTGCTGTTCGTCGAGAGATTCATTTGTGAGTCGCGCCAACGAAAAGCCAAACGATTTATTGTTTTCGTTGCGCAAGCCTATCATTTGACCGGTCTCATTGATATTGCCGCCGCCGCCGCCGCCGCCGCCGTCGCGCGGCGCGGCCAAGCAAATCGCAGTACAATCATAATTATATCTAACCGTTGCCGCTGATTGAGAAATAACCTACGCGCCTGTCTATTAGCATGCTATATGATTTTTTTCCATCCTCCTTCTTTCTTTGTGCCTACGATAATCCGAGATAATAAAAATTATCTGTAATTTTGATCGATCGCACGGTTGACTCGTTATTTAATTGTACAGGAAACACATTGACTCCGTTTGACAGTTACTCGAGACGTCTCGTCTCGAGTGCATCGCACAATAGCTACGTCATTTGCTCTCTGGGCAATTTATCAATTTTCATCGTGCCACTTAGAGCAGTTCGATTGTAAAAGGAAAACTGTTATCCGTTGGTGCGGTAAAAAACTCTCTGCCGATATATCAATCGAATAGCTCTCTGCTGGCATGGACTTTCGACTTTTTTTCGTTAATGATAAAAATCCGGCCAAAACGTAGATTCTCTTATTTTTCGATCGGCTGCCGGCCAATTAAAAGTCGGCACGTACATTTCGCAGAAGTTTCGCATTAATTTTTCGCTTGCCCAAATACCTCACAATCATCTCTCGAAAGACATGAATGGAATTGGTCCGTGCGCAGATTACTCTTTCATGGCGGAGCACACGGATCTACGTCACATAATGGGCGTAGGGATAGCGATAACCCGCGGTTCGGCAGCGGCGATATCGTTCTGCTACAGTTTACTCCTGCTCACGATGTGCCGCAACATCCTGACGAAACTCAAGGAGTTCTCGATACAGCAGTACATACCGCTCGACTCGCACATCCAGTTCCACAAGATAGTCGCGTGCACGGCTGGCTTCTTCTCGGTGCTGCACAGCGTCGGGCACATCGTCAACTTCTATCACGTGTCGACGCAGCCTCTGACCCATCTGCGCTGCCTTACCAGTGAAATTAACTTTGCCAGCGACGCCAAGCCTACCATATCTTTCTGGCTGTTCGAGACCGTTACGGGTAAGCGCTAACGGAGTCTTTTCGGCGCCTTCTCAGCGAGCGCCAGTCCCGACATTCCCCGACATTCCCCGACATTCCCCGACATTCCCCGACATGCCCCGACATTCCCCGCGAGGCCGGCAATCTACGCCGGATGCAAATTAAACGTTAACGTTCTCCTTTGGCAGTGGAATTTGGGTATTCTCAGGCGCCGGCATCGAGGACTCGACGATCGATGCGAGAATTCGGAATTTCACGATTATTCGTCCACGCGTCGAAGAACGATCGAGTGTTTCGCTCCGAGCGACGAGTTACGAGTTACGGCCAACAGAAATAGCATCTCACTCGCGGCGCACTCCTCTTCCCCGACACTATCGCCTCCGTTCGAATTCGCGCTCTTAACGAAGCGTTAAGTAAACGCGACCCACTTGGCGGATCGGAAAAAGTGTGTCGCGCGAAACGGGAAAAAGCTTTCTCCCGCGCGAATCCGGTAATTAATAGCCGCGTCGCTCGCGGCGCGTACATCGCGCGCATGCAGCCGTTGTCCCCGCGCCGGCGCGACTCAGGCGAGAGCAGCACAATAAAAACGCGCTCGTTATTCATTCGGGCCGGAGCGTGTAATGCGCGCGGCACGCGGCGAAATTGAGGTCGCCGACCCCGGCGCGCGCGCGCGCGCGCACGACCGATCGACGTGACCGAAATTTTTTCTCATTCGCGTACGCGTATTCCCTCGAAAGCTCGAGCGTGTCCGAGGTTGACGGCGATCGTCCAAGTATCAGCGGAGAATGCCGAGACTCGTATCGGCGCGTGCTCAATCAATAAAGTTTGCCTCTGTTTGTTGTCGTTTGCAGGAACCACGGGTATACTGCTCTTCATAATAATGACGATAATCTTCGTGTTCGCGCACCCGACCATCAGGCAGAAGGCGTACAAATTCTTCTGGATCACGCACAGCCTGTACATCGCGCTTTACGCGCTCTGCCTGATCCACGGCTTGACGAGATTGACCGGCTCGCCGCGATTCTGGCTGTTCTTCATCGGGCCGGCCATCATTTTCGCCTTCGACAAGGCGAGTATCTCTTTCGCTCCGCGCGCCCGCGGAGCACCAAGTCCAAATGCATTTTTATCGCCTGCGCGCCACACTCCAAGGACGCCTATCAGCCGCATCGAGATGCAGGATTTCAGATTGATAAGAGGTTCGCGCGCTTGTCCGCAGGTGGTCAGTCTGCGCACCAAGTACATGGCTCTGGACATAATCGAGACCGAGCTGTTGCCATCGGACGTCATCAAAATCAAGTTCTACCGTCCGCCCAACCTCAAGTACTTGTCGGGTCAGTGGGTGCGTCTAGCGTGCAGCGCCTTCCGATCGAACGAGTTCCACTCGTTCACTCTGACGTCTGCTCCGCACGAAAATTTCCTCTCGTGTCACATCAAAGCCCAAGGACCGTGGACTTGGAAGCTCAGGAATTACTTCGATCCGTGCAATTACAATCCCGAGCAGGATCGGCCCAAGATCCGAATCGAAGGACCTTTCGGCGGTGGCAATCAGGATTGGTACAAGTTCGAGGTGGCTGTTATGGTCGGAGGTGGCATTGGCGTCACGCCTTACGCCTCGATGCTCAACGATCTTGTGTTCGGTACTTCGACCAACAGATACTCCGGCGTCGCTTGCAAGAAGGTCAGATAAGTCCATGCGAGTCCGCATGTTTGATTAGCGGCAGTCTGTTTGCGCTTCGATTAATCTTGTAATTATGTTCATCAGGTCTACTTCTTGTGGATATGTCCGTCGCACAAGCACTTCGAGTGGTTCATCGACGTGCTGCGGGACGTCGAGAGGAAGGACGTGACGAACGTCTTGGAAATTCATATTTTTATAACGCAATTCTTCCACAAGTTCGATTTGAGAACGACGATGCTCGTAAGTACATCAATCTCTCGACGCCTCGACGCCTCGACGCCCCGTGGACGATACGTCAATTTCATTTTGGTTGTCTCTTGCAGTACATTTGCGAGAATCACTTCCACAGAGTGTCGAAAAATAGCATATTCACAGGACTTAAAGCGATCAATCATTTCGGCCGACCCGACATGTGCTCGTTCTTGAAATTCGTCCAGAAGAAGCACAGCTACGTAAGTATCCGTCGGGTTAGTACCTTGCGTGAGCTCTTTGACAGACCACTCGAATTAATAAGGAAGGGAGCTGCGCGCCGCAAGGAAACGCCATTCATCGGAAAATTGACCTTGATTAGGTGCTTTTCCACGAGCGCATTGACTCGCGTGCACGAAGTGAAAGTGCATTTCGAACGACTGCGTCGCTTGCCCGTACACGCGTGCTACTATTTTTTTTTTATTTTTACATAATGTACGAAAATCGCAGCGACGTTGGTTGTGAATCGAAAGCATATCTTGTTTAATGTCACGTGACAGCTATAACCGAGGCTCAGGTCATTTGCGTTTCTTGCCTAATTCGAGAAAAATTTTATCCGCGCGCACACTCCTTGTGTTGTTCTTCGCCTGGGATTATGAAGAAAATGCGCGTCGATAAACTCGCGCTGTAGATCAATGTCAGTTTGTTTTGCTTGTTTCGAGGAACAATGGCAAGGTAGCATTTCTATAACTTCCCGGCTGGCATCCGTGCGTGATTTATCGATCGATCGAATGTTAATTCCCTTTCCTCGGTCAAGCAGCGAATCCTCGATCGAAGCAGTTTTGATCCGCAATTTATCGCTAGTCGCCATGTCGAAAAGGCGCGTTAACGAGTTTCGTCGCTTTCCCCGTTTATAACGTCAATTCCAGTCAATTTCACCGCAGGAATTTTAGAAAGCGCAAACACCTCGGTCCTCCGTGCTAACGCACCACCCCGTTCGCGCCAATCAATACGCGCTCATACTATTGCCATTGTCATGTAAATTGGATCGTTCGTGTGGCTGTGTGCGCAGGTGAGCAAAATCGGAGTGTTCAGCTGCGGACCGCGTCCTTTGACAAAGAGCGTCATGTCCGCCTGCGACGAGGTGAACAAAGGCCGTAGGCTGCCCTACTTCATCCACCACTTTGAGAATTTTGGCTGATACGACGTGCAGACGACCACCACCATGAGGATCTATTATTATTATTATTATTACTATTACTATTATTATTATTATTATTATTATTATTTTTTTTTTTTCTTTGTAAATATTGTTTCGCGTGTGTATGTTGTGAGACTTTTAATGATTATTCTATTACGTACTCGTTTGTAGTCTAACGGGTCGAGATATCGCGACGAACACAACAATCGCGAGAACGAGTCTTATTTTTTTCGTTTTTGTTTTTCACGTCTTCTCAATTTCTAATGATTTTCTTGGAGTTTCTCGAGAGGAGCCGAGTCATATCTGCCGAAGATGCAAACCTACCCGCATCGCAATACGTTAACGGCAAATACATCAAAGTATTTTGCATATTTTATAAAATTTATATATATCGAGAGTTTTATTACCTCAGATACATCCTCGAGCGATTATCCCTTCGTTATGTCGAGGCATAAATAATTAATTTTATTAGAAATATCCGACATGTTTGTTACGTTCTTCGCTTAAATAAATTATTGCGGAATTTTTTTTTTTATGTAAGATTGACATGCTTGTATGTATGCAATAGGTAATAAATTTTTTGACGTAAACGCATAATGTTTTATGTCTTTTGTTTTTTTATACAATTGAATAAATTGATTTTCAAATTTGTGCATTATCCATGTATTCTATTTGATGATCCTGATTATTTACTGCCCTTCTAATTGCTCATGTATTACTCGAGAATCCGAAGAAAACAATGGGTGTTTATTGATAGTACGTAGGTACTCCATACAAACATTAGTGTCATCAGTTTTTCGAAATAAAAGTGTATAAAAGAACAATACTCGTGATAAAAATATTAAAAGTTTTATTATTAAATTTTGTTCGTCATTCGAGGATCGTATTAAAAAGATGTTTCCCTGCTTGGGATCTCAATCGATTATTTTTCATCAACGCACTGCTTAAAGTAGAAAGTTCATTCACAAAATGAGTTCTCACACACAGCGTAACATCAATCGGACAATACATATCTAGTGAATCTGCATTGAGGTACACGTCATTATTAAAAATATTCATCGGTGCCATGTCGTTGAAAGCGCTCAGAAAATCATTCGACTGCAGCGATTGACAATGACTGTCGTAGGTAATCGTATCGAGGCCAATTCCTTCAGCGCGACGTGTCCCAAAACTCGCTAAATTTCGAGGCAGTTTCCCATCTCATTACACACCCTTGCGCGTAAAAAAGTGAGGCGTTTATCTTCCCACAAGAGAGACAGAGACGCAGACGGGAGTAAGTATAGTAAGGAGAATGAAAACGAGGCTGCGGCAGCTAATTGCCGCAGCCCCATTGTCGCGGAGAGCCCGCATCATCACGTGTACACGGTGACTTTCGCCGTCGCGCGCGGAGAATCGCAAGGTGAGATTGCGAGAGAGAGACAGAGAGAGAAAAGGATGCAAAGTCGCGTGCTTGGCAGTATGGGGTGACGAAAGAGGCTTCTTTCTGCTGCACACCGGTGCGTCGCGTCTTTCGCCACCACGACTCCACAGCTGGCACATTTCTCTCTCTCTCTCTCTCTCTCTCTCTCTCACTTCTCATTATCATTACGCGGGGAAGCGAGCAGCAGAAGGACGCGACGCGTCCACTGGACGCTTCTTCGCCTTCTTTCATTCTTTACGAAAACGATCGTAAAGACCTACAACACGGCTCTTCCCTGAGTTATGAGCCTTCTTTTTAATGGCTCGCAGTACTAAAGTGACGCGCGCTCGCTTGAGAAATCCGACGGAGAGACGATTATCATTCTCCGCTCGTCGTCGCTTTCCTTCCCGAGCTTTCCGATACTCGCACACTTGCCAAATGAGAAAGCTCTTTGTTCTCGATCTACGCGACATTTGTATTTTTTATTTTATTTTACATCTAAATTGCTGTATATTTACACGTTTTTCATTTTCATCGATTTACATTGTAATACGTACTACACTGGAATTTATATAGCTCCGTTTTGAAAGTTGTTCGTTATGAGTCACGCACAGTCCGAGGAAACCGAGGCAGTGACCCCCGAGAGAGAATTCTGCACAGGTTTAAATAAAATTACAAAGCCATACGAAAGATAAAAGGGAGAGAGAGAGAGAGAGAGAGAGAGAGAAATTGCGAATTGTGAACACGCAAATATGAAAAACACACTCGTAATACATCGCCGGCTAATCGTGTGAGTTTGTTACACGGGTCGTCGTGATGTCGCAGGAAATGGATAAGACCAGTTACTTTTGCTCGAATGATCTTCGTGCATCATGTCCGACGGATGTGGTATGTAGCCGCGATTTACCAATCCCCGCTGATCGTCTTTGTTTCCGTTGACTAACTTGGATGATACTTGACTGCAACATAAAGCATTACTTTTTTTTTTCTCCTTGTCGTTTTTCTTTCCGTCGTGGACGAAACCGAACGCTCGGAGTATTTGTAATCTCCTCCGTCGTTTGGCATTTATCCGCGCACAAGCGGCTTCTATCGCGAAAATAATGGCTTTACCTCATAAATTGATCTGTGAAAGAGTCCTCGCTCCTGGTCATTTTCCTTCGAGCGTCTTTCCTCCGCGTGTCGAAACTTTCCTCGATGATTACGTGCCTGTCGTACGGCGTGTCGTAGTCGACTTCCAAGATCGTCGAGAACGAGTGTGGGAAAATCATATCTATCGCTGTGATGACAATTCCCGCCAACAGAAATGCCACTCCTGCAATGAACGATCGCGTTTACTTGCCGTCTTTAGCTTCATTGCGCGATCGAAAAATATAGTATACGGAGAGGAGCCGTGGGACCGGCAAAAGGCCATCTCCGCGAATTGCGAAGCGACGCGATAATACGCACCCGAAAACCAGTCGTTCGCGACGATTAGCATAACACGGGACGATTGCACGTTTTCGCGGCGTCGAAGGAGACGTACGACGCGCTCGCTAGAGTTGGCACGCACGCACGCACCATTAGCGGTATAATTTATCGATCCGTTCCATCCCAAATGGAATATGCAAACGAGGAGCGATGGTAGGCTAGGCACGCAACGTTATACAACTACTCGCGAGAGCTGGCAACGACGCCCGCGCATCGCCCGCCGAAAGCCGAGATAATTGCCTTTGTTGTGCGTGCGCGGTACCGATAACCGGGCGTAAGCCAGCCCGAAGGCAAGTTGCTGCATCCGCGCCAAGCGTAAGGATCGCTCGCGATGTCGAGGCGGCTGACTTTCGAGTATGGTATTTCAGGAATATACGCGCTGGATGACGATCATTACCATTCGCCTCTCTTTTGCCTTCCACGCGCCATTACATCGTCATTCTCGTTTATTATGCAGACGGATGCGACTCGAGGTTACCTTACCAGCAACTTACCAGCAACCAGAACCAACCAGTAGTTCCAGCCGAAATTGAAGACGAGTATGGATCCGTCGACGTGCGCTACCAGCGGCTCGCAGGGCAGTAGAGACCAGTAGGTCAGGTTGGCGAACAGCATGCACAGGCCGGTGAATATCATGCCGTAGGCGCCGTACCTCGGCACCATCATCAACAGTACGACCGTCATGCACCAAGACGCGAAGGATGTCCTTGGTGGGCACCGACAAAAAAAAATCATTGCTTACGAGCGCTCACAGAGACAACTTTGACGAGCTAATCGTAATAATACAAATCGCCTTCGGCGCGTTTTTTTTTCCCGCCTCTCTTGGCACGCGATCGGCAAATGATTGGTTTTTTGTTTTTGTTTTTTTTTTTCTATGCCGCTACCGCGGAGGCTAACGAACAGCAACAGGAGATGAAAGAAGCAGCTCATTGCGAGTCTGACGGCTTTGAACGATTCGAGGAATATGTCGTGTCTTACCAGAGTATGACGTCAACGTAGTAGCCAGCCTCGCGATACTTGACACCCCAGGAAAAACCCTCCTGACGCAGGCTAAAGTACTCGGCGAGCGCGACTATGGGGAACGGCGTTCCGCGGTGCAGCGCGTCCTTGAAGCAGTCCGTCATCTCGTGCGGTTTCGTCCAGTAAAACCTCTCGTTGTACTCGACGTCACTCATGTCGGAATTCTCCGGTAATACTGTGCGCGGGTATACGACTGCGTGAGTTACAGGGTGTAACGATGTTTTTTTTCATGCTCACCTCTGTAGGTGATGTTTATGTGCATAAGACCGATGTATCCACCAAGTTCGGCGGTCATCCTTTGTTTCGAGAAGGCGGTGTAGGAACTGACGATGGTCGCTGTGCTCGTGTGCCACGTCGAGCCGTATTGGCCGACTGTGGGATAAGATTCACGTCGTGCACCCGAAAAAGAAAATGATAATCCATACAGCAATTACGAGAGAGGCACTCTTGTTATATATAACAAAGCTAAAGCGCAGAGTAATTATGGAACCGATTAATTACTATGCGTTGCTTCTAAGCTTATTTGACGTTCGGCTCTAATATATCACGAAAGGATCAAAAGGCTTCGTTTCGTTCACACGTCATCGCATTTCGGATTAGCCTCTGATGCGTAATACTGGCAAAGAGGTACTGGCGTAACGAGACATTTGAATACGTGAAAATGCGCGCCTTACTAATGAAATTCAAAGTAAGATCGATTTATCATGGCAAGCCAGCGCTTTTTCTTTTTTCGCTTGATCGCGCCGGTACGCAAGTGACGCGCGTCGGTTACCCGCGCATCGCGCAAAAACCAAATGAACTGTGACGAATACGTACGCTCGATTGTCATGCCAACGAAGCAAACCAGCGTCACCGTCAGGAAGGTCGTCAATCTCTGCAACATACACGCACATGTCACACCGTGACGTCGTCTTGGCGCATTCGGCTCTCGCGTCACTTTCGTCGCGGGCCGGCCGTGTGCGCTGCAGCGACGATCGGCTATTGCCGCGCTGTCGCGCACCTTTTGCGCGCTCTTTTTGCCCGAAGTAGGCCAAGGACGCGCGCGCAACACGCCAATGCCAGTCGATGGTACAATGGTCGCTATGTAAGCCTATATCGATCGTTTTTTCTACGCCGAGCGGCGGCGAGCTCGCCATCGAAATTTCTTCGAGTGCCGTGGATCGCTCGATGACATAATGGTCTTTGTGTAAGCAGCGCTGATTCGACAGTGAAAGAATGAGGCGTGTTGTGATGCATCGACACGACCGTCGTTCATTGCCACGCGCTCGTAGCTGGTCACGGGGGGTCCGGTGACGACCGCTCGCGACGTAGCGTCCGATCGCGCGCGCGCGAGTCGGATCCACGGAGAAAGTCGTCGTTCGAGGCTTTAAACAAATAAAGAGAAAGCAGCGCGACTTGCAAAAAGGCGAAAACACGGTAGTTTGAGCGCGCGCACTCGAATGACTGCATAAGAGGATGCATGGGAAAGCATCGGTATCTCGTAGTATTGTCGCGAAAGCCAAACCTCTTTGCGTATGCCTGCGAATATGAGCAGAAAGGCGACGTAGACTGTGCCGAAGATGGCGAAGATCATAATTAGACTGATGTCGCCGGTGACGGAGGTCCGGTTGCTGTAGCTGTACAACGTCGGCCCGCCATCGTCTCGAAACGCATCGAACCATCCCTTCATGGTCGTTCCTGAAATCACATTGTTTTCGGTGCTTCAGCAGCTCGTGCTCCGCGTGCACATTTTCATTTCGCCCGCATGCCGCCGCAAACGCCTTGTCGCACCGCGACGGCGTTCCAAATGCACAGCCTCGGCCATTCGGGGGTTAGCCGATAGCCAATTTCAATCGCGCGAGCGAGAACGCTCGCGCACATATAGATCGTTCTGCGAACGCGAACGAAAAGTACGAACGGGAATTCGTCGATGGGAAAACGGAGCCCGCTGAAAGTTCACGGTGCGAGTGGCAGCGAGCCGGAGCTCGGTCATTCGCATCCTTCTCCCGACCGCACGTCAGGAGAAAAAACCTGCGCCAAACAAAGGAAGAACCCAGCTTGCCCGTATCGCCACGTCCCAAGGTTTCGCGCGTCGTATAAGCGGTCTAAACAAACTCGCGTGGTTCGGACGCGGAATCCGACGGTCGCTCGATTATGAGAGGCGAGCTGCACGCACGAGCGCTGAGGCAGACGAGGAAAAAGAGGAAAAATGCGCGGCGTCGGCGCGCTGATATTCTTCGTTACACCTTTGTGTCCTGAGAAACGGAGAGAGAGAGAGAGAGAGAGAGAGAGAGAGAGAGAGAGAGAGAGAGAGAGAGAGAGAGAGAGAGAGAGAGAGAGAGAGAGAGAGAGAGAGAGAGAGAGAGAGAGAGAGAGAGAGAGAGAGAGAGAGAGAGAGAGAGAGAGAGAGAGCAGTGTCCGAGAGAGCTGTACATTCGCCTCGAGGCGCATGTGTTGCTAACCGCGTTCGCTACCTACCTACACGAATATTTTTATCTTTTCAAGACAGAGCGGCATGTATTATAGTCAGCGTTTTATTGGTTCTCTCTCTTTCTTTCTCTCTCTTTCTTTCTCTCTCTTTTGACGATGTACGTGATCAACATCTGATTTTTGCATTTTTGCCGAGTGCCGATTTTATTTTGGCATTCAGTTTTATCTGATTAATCGCACTGATTCTTTCAAAGACAACATGCTATTTATTTTCATTTTGCAATTATTAATTAGCAACATTTTTTATTCAATATTGTTATAGTCTCGTTGCAACACTTTATTTTTCCACATTAATGTAGTACTAACTAGTAGTAAAACCGCAAAACCCGTAATGGCTGAGAAAAAATAGAGAATTCACATTGTTTCAACAGCGAGAGAGAGACAGTACACACATCAAGTAGATAGGCAACGTACGTGGTCAGACGCCAACTTGATATAGATGTAAGTAGATTCATACCGGTTTCGGTATGAGGCAGCGTCTTACCGTACTCGGTATTCATCTACTTACTTTGCTGCTAAAACATCGTCCTTGTTAATATACATCATCAACTTTGTTTATTTTACTTTGGCTCGATTTACGATTGCGAATATCTATGTAGAGCTAACGAGCATTATATTATATTATGCTAATGAGGGATACGAAATATTTGTATTTTTACGTAACGATTATATAATGTTTACGTTAAATTAGTATTATTCAACAGCTGTTTTTTTTATTATTAATGTGCGATTCGTTAAATATTTATACCCCGGCATTACCATGCATCGGGATACGCTTTGCAATTTCTTACTGAGCGAGCAGGAAATGAATGTAGAAGCGCGAAAAGCTTCTTTGTCGATTTTGACGCGATGTGTAACGCGGAAAGTATTTATTCATAATTACGTAACGCGAACAAACTCTATATCCGACCTTCCATTGATAAATAATTGAAGTGCCAATAATAATATTTACTCAATGAACACGATAATTCGCGTTCTAGTTATTTTCTTATTTTACACTTTAATGCCTGTGGGAACGACGGACCTTGAAAATTATTGATTCAGTTTTTTCTTTTTGTCTTCATTCGCGTGCCGTGTGTGCGAGCGCGCGCGCTGCCGCGGCAGCGCCGTGCTCGTGAAAGTAAGATTTTCGATGCGCGATGTTGCGTCAACAAAGATACGTTAGTCTTTCGAGTTTTGCAGAATTTTCTTACCGTGGTTAACGGGCGCGTTCGCGTTGCGAAAAAATTTGCCAGGACCGCTGAGCAGAGTGGACAGTACTCCCAATTCGGTGGTTGTCGGGAACGCGTTGCGTGTTGCTCGTTAACGCGCGACCGAATCAACACCTGTTTAACGTCAAATCAATCGGAGCCGCAACATCGTATGCCGAACACGATCCATCATCGTTCAAAGCAACGGATTAACAATAGCGGTCCGCGCTTTCGTTTTCTCTCCGAGCTCCAGACATCGAAAGAAGCTCGCGGACGAGTTTCACCGTCACTATATACACGTATGTTTTTTTCTCTCTCACGCCGAGCGTGGCGTACATCGAAAATCGAAAGTGCGAGAACCAATGACATCCGAGCAATTAGCGCTCGATTCTTCTTGCACGTACGAGTTACCTTTCAAATTTTTCTAGTACCAAATGAACAAAATATACCCTGGCCGCAGAAAGATCCGACACAAGTTTTAACTTGGCGAAGCTGCCTTGTTGCTTCTTCGAATTTTGGTCTTTTCCTCGTGGCACGTTTCTCCCGTGCGCAGTCACCTTTTCCAAAACCCATACGCGACAAGACAGAACAAAACTAAACCATCGAGATTCCTGAAAAATGTCTGTCGTCGTCGTGCCGCGGCCACCGGCAACACGTGCATTTCGCAATTGCACGAGCGAAGGAACAAGAACGCACTCGTCTCACTAGCAGCGCGAGGAACAAGTGGAATATCCGGAGAAAGGAAAGAAGAAAAGCGAGAGAGGCGCGCGGAGAAGGAAAGCGCTGAGAAAGTTACCGTTGCTCGGCGCCGTCGAAGGGAGCGTGCGCATGCGAGGCGTCAAGCGGTTGCGTGGCGATCGTGAGCTACTCGGGGGGTAGCATGGCTCGGCCGCGCGACCGCGCACGTGGTTGCACTCGTCGTGATTGCGGCTGCGGCGAGTTGAGAGAGAGAGAGCGCGCGCGCGTCGGGTGTATCGCTCGGCACAGCGGCGCGTGCTCGACTGAGGGCCCCAAGTAGGTTAGCGGGCCTCGAAAGTTAGCGGCCTCCGCGAGCCGCGCCGAGCGCGCGGATTTATCGACGAGAGAGGAGAGACACATAAGACACTGCGCCGAGAGAAGGGGACTCTTTGCGGGGCCTCACATGTACTGCCACCTTACAGCTGTCGCGCGATTCTTCTTTTTCGCCTCGCTCCTTTGTCGTCACAGCCGGAGGCTGTGATGCCGCGCGCGCAGTTTTAGCTGGTACCCGATGCGACTTACGAGCAACTGACGTTCGTGTCAAAGGGCTCCGCATGAGAGCGGTCACTTGCACCTTCGGATCTTTTCTTGTCCGACGGGGCCGTGAACATTTTTGGGAAATGAGTAATTTTACGAAAACTCTATTCACATTTGAATTATATTTTCGATAACTTACGGATGCGGATACGGATACTTAACGTTAATTTAGTCTGTACGTGTAATGAAATATAATTTATTGGATTGAAGAAGGAACGAAAAATTATAGATACAAAAAAATTTACTCGTCTAAAATCAATTCCCGCTTGTGACTGAAGATGGATACTATCGATTTTTCGTTGCACAAGCATAACTTTTACAAGAATACATATGTTATATATACGCGGCAAGTCCAAAAAACTTGATACATTGTCGTGTGGGCGTATCGAAAAGTAATCCTTGTAGTGATATGCGGTGGCTCAACGTGATTGTTCGATTAAATTCAACTGAAATTAAATTATAGTAAAAAAGAATGTCTTTGCGTCTAGAAATTGATCGCACACACTTGACGCTCGAGAGCGCGCGTACGCAATTCCAATTTATCGGCGCGAGTCTGCCTGATTAACGCCTCGACGAGCGACAATTGCAACCCGATCGAATTGCAGGTGCCGCTCAAACGAATGGGAAGGTCGCATTTGCGATAATGTCTATATGTTTTTTTTTCACCTTCGACGTTTATAATTTCTGCTTTCGAGCGGCGCGACTAATAGATGAAAGATGCCGATCCTGTGTCGACAGGTGTCGACGCCAAGCGAGCTTGCTGGTTTCGCGAAGGTCTACGTTTCCGCTTGTTTCGACCTCGGAAGTGACGCGCTTCTTGGCTGATTAAACCTAGACGGCCAAGCGCAGAGTTGTCTCGCGTTCGACTGGAAGCTGCGCTCGGCGATGTCGGTTTGTACGCGCGGCATTCGTTCTAGCTACGGACTTTCGGGTCTCAAGGCGATCGCAACGTATAATTTTTCATCGGGCCATTGTTCCGGTACACTTTTTAAGTGTATCTCCACCTCTCGCTCCAGTTATAATTTGATAAGCGCGCACCGGGAAAGACACGTATCGCCGAGAGTGATCGCTGCGGACAATTAGCAGGCGGTGCGAGTTCGAAATATTGGCGAGTTTTATGGGAATTGGGTCAAGTCGAGGCATGCGTTGCGAGTAGGAGAGCGCGATATATACTCTCTCGCGGTAGCGCGTCTAGTTTAGGTCGGTCATGGTCTCGTGGCGGCATGCTTCGCTCTTTTTTTTTTTCCTCTCTCTCTCTCTCTCTCTCTCTCTCTCTCTCTCTCTCTCTCTCTCTCGCTTCTCTCTGCTCTTGAATTTGATCTCGTCCCGCGCGAGCTCCGCGCTGCGCAATATTCTCCTCTCTCCGTAACGAGCTTATCGAGCTGCACGGAGATCGGCGGGCCACCGAGCGGGCTTATCAACGGGACGCGCCTCGAAGGTCGGATTTGTCGCTTTGCCCCGCGCTTTGGCTATGTGGGGGCCCGAAGCGCGCGCGGAGGCTTTCGCCAAATTCGTTCTCCGTGTCGAATCGACGCTGCCAGCGCAACGCTCAGCCGTCATCGTTCTAAAAATATTGCGATCATTCCGAGTAATCATGTGCTCTTGCTCCAGTTTTTCTCCTTCTCCCTGGATTTCCTTTCCCGTCGATGCTACTTTTTCGCTAGCTATCTCTTCGAGAATTTCAAATGAATCCGCTGACCGCTACTCACCTCCAATTATTAAGGAGTCCGACGGCGCAAACGTACGAACGTACGAAAAAGAACGGGCGAAAATAGCTTGACGCAAGGAACGCGATCGTAGCGCACGCCGGTTTTCGCTGGATTGGCGCGCACGACAGCGGAGCATTAGCACCGTCGCTTACAGAATCAAGTTCGATCTCGCGGACGGGTCAGCGCCTACGACAATGAAGTAATCCGCAACGAAGTGCGCGCAAGTTTCCTTACGCGAAAAACTCGCGGGAGAGAGAGCACCTGCCCATAAGCACGCTTGCCCCTCCCGCCACTGCCGCCGTCGCGTGATTAACAGAGCAGCTAGCCGCGAATTGCGCGCGCTTCGGCTCCGCTTCGCTCTCTCGCTCGCCTTAGCTTTTCGATCGAGCCTGTGTACATGCTCTGTATAGCCGTATTCGCCTGGCGGAAGCTGCGCCGTCCACGCGGCCGCGCTTTTTCACGCGCAGTCCTTTGCCGTCGTTCGCTACGAGTGTGCGTCGGAACGCCGTCTCGCACGCTCCATCTCCGTACGGGCCGTCGAGCGTTATTCCCTTGGCGATTCGGTTGGCTTTGCTTCGAGTGCTGCTTCCGTTGCTGCTGCTGGAAAATTAGGCAAGCGTTTTCAAACGTCGTTCGTTTGTGCGAAAATCATCTTAACGTGGCGATGCGACCGTGTTTCGCGTAGTTTTACGTCGCTCGTACGAAGTGAGCATGAGTTGCTTGTAGATTTTCATCACTTTGTAAGAGCCTCGGTGTTTCTCATCGTCACATTTAATCGGGATGTATAGATGCACTTGTAAGAATATTTTTCTTCGACTTACTTTGCCATCTCGTACCTGATTCGCCTTAGATGGCAATAATATTGCTCAATTAATCCATGAAATTTTTCTATGAAAAATCCTTCATTACTAACGTTTAATGTAGTATCCAGGATAATAACAATAGTTTGTTATAACAAGTTTTTTAATTTCCAGTATACTTGAATAAAATTTCTTGAATTCAAAATTTTCGACCACGAAATTTCTTATTTTCATAGAGATTTTTTCCATTGAAATAATATAAATTATACCCGAGCGATGACAGAAGAAAAAATAAACTGGTCGAAAAGGTTGGATAAATACACGGAAACTGTATTTAACCTCGCACACAAAGATCTGCGCAATTAAGACTTTGATGTAACGTTGCTTTCATCAGTATAATCAGATGACATCGTCAAAATTATTAATCTGGTAGCGGGAATTTCAATGAAAGTGTAGCGATATAACGAGAACACGCGAGGAAACATTTAATTGAAATTGGGTTGAAGCCCAACAGTTGTCTTCAAAACAAAATCGAGTAAGTGCACTTTTTGGCCTCTAATGCTTCGAGTATGTAAAACTCATCTTAAGCGCTTTATACGTATCGTATTATTTTGATACTTACTTCCATACAAAACAAGCGTGACATTTATTTTCATCGCCGACGAAGTCTATATTGAATTGATCTAAAAGTGTCTTGCTTGTTATATTCCATTGTAATTAAAATGAGACGATTTTTTTCTTTCAACGCGAGTCATTAATGTCGCACGTTCAAATTTATAGAGCGTACAGGAACATCTGCTTCTTACCGTATATCGTATCTGCGTTTGGGGTAAGCGCAACTATTTTATTACTTCATCAAAGCCTTAACAAATTCTCCTGTTTCTATAAGATTTCGAATTTCAAGAGCATCTAAAAATAACTTATGTTAATTCTAATCGAGGAACGCGTTTACAAATTCGTATCTACAATTTAATTATTTGTTAATGTCGAAGGAAAACGAATGAATCCAAATTATAAATGATAAAAAATTTCATATCAATACTTCGTATTTTTTAAGCTTTTCGCGTTTGTTACTGATTACAGGACGTAGCAGTCTTTGCTTATGAACATTGACCAAAACGTACACGGAACTTGGCTACAAGACTTTGATGGCCGATTGACGCAACAACCCCGAGAGTCGGCCGATCGTACAGGCAGTCCGAAAGCTGCTTTAGCCCCTGCCCGCGGCGGGAAAGTTCAAAAAACCAACGCGCTCGCGTGCGCGCGTGAAAATTGCGCCGATTTTCGAGCGTTTTTGGTGGGTTTGTCGGTCTATTTCGGTCGCAAGCTATTTCGGCGCGAGTGATGCCACACTTCAGCAGCGCCAACGCCGCCGGCACCACCAGCGAGCTCATCCGGCTTTGGCGCAGTCGTCTCAAAGCATCGCCCGCCAAACACCACGACAACCCTCCATTACCACCACCACCACCACCACCACCACCACCACCACCACCACCACCACAACCACCACTACCACGACTCGCTACCATACCACCACCACCACCGGCCGAAGGTACGTGCCAGTCGTCCCTCATTTTTGCGTGCCGCCGATGTTTTTCACGGCGTCGGCTGTCCGATGCTCTCCGCGCGATACGCGCGACGGACGAGGGCAGAGCGTGGAATAGCAAATAGTAGTGAAGGCGAGACGCGCCATAAATGGTCGGGTTGCCCGATTTTTTCACTCGGAATGCGCGCTGCTCGACCGCCTTCCGATTCGCGTTGCCATATGCTCGGTGTGAATCGTCTTGCTGCTCGGTCTCTGCATACATCGACACCTGACAATTGTTTGGCCGGCCGAGAAACAAAGATGCACAGTACCCGCGCGCGCGCGCGCATCTGCCTCGTCTCGCCGAGCGATTTGTGTATTCGTTTTCTAGATCTGAGCCGCTGAATTGCTCGCGTCAATGCGAATCGACGTTGTCGACGAATACGGATCTCATTTTGTGTGTTTGCGGTCGCAAACGGCGCCAGGGCTTAATTGCGCGCGCGACAATTATATCAAAGACACAGCGTGCTCACGCGCCACTGTCGCTACTAGTTGCTCCGAACGGCGTTTATCAAAAGTACCACAACGCGATCGATTCGCCGAGTGCCTTCCTACGAATAGCCGGTGGCTGACAAAGGTAACAGTCAAATCCAGATATCGCATTTTGGGATTGCAACTGTTGATGCGCATTTTCGCTCTCGCGTGTTTACATTGGTCCGGCCAACTTTCTTATATCTTCGCATTGCTCATTGGGTGCGAGTCAAAACGGAGGCGAAATCACGATTCAAATCTTCCAATTAGAAGTCTTTGCCGACACGCTGACGTATATATCACGCACGAGATGAAGGAACGGACGTTTCGTCATCGACCCTACACAGCTGAGACGTTGCGATCCCGCGGCTGGGAAATTCTCATTGTTCGCTCCTATAATAATTATATCATTATTCGCATTTACCTTTCGGCCTCGTGCAATAATATACCAGCAGCTGTCTCGTACGCGCGGCGTGCATTAGTTCTTTATGATTCGGTTATCTTTAGCAGGCGAATGGCAATGCTTCGTTGATTACGATTTCGTTGTGAGGTATAGGTTATTTTCGACGTTTATTTATTTTTCCAGTTATTGCAGCGACTTCCTTCACTTTTGGGTTAACTAAAGTGTTATACTTTCAATCGAATGGCTGGATTCGGAAAATAATAATAAGTCAGTTATAGATATGTGCCTTGCATTGATTCATTATTTTGCATTCGTAACTGCCGAGTTAAGAAGATTTCCCGGAAAATGAGAAAAATCCGTTCTCAAATTGAAATAAAGTATTCCCTTTATTGATATTAGAAAATTGACCTTTTAATGAAAAAACTTGTTCGTAGCGAATGCTTGGCAGTTGGCGCGCGTTTAGTTACCGGCGAACGTGCGCTCATTGTTCGAATAGCACGCAACGTAGTTGTGCTACGTAAACCGAAAAAGAAACGTAAATTCCCCATGAGCATGCCCATTGTACGGCTTGCAACTCCGATCTATAATGCGGAACAGCATTGAGAGTAGTTATCCGTCGATCCACAGACGCCTTCGCCGTTGCAGCGGTGCAGTGGGTATAGGCCTGTATGCTCGAAAAGCCTGCGCTGGTTCCCGGCTCTCCTTCTCGCGCGCGCAGTATGGCCATTTCGGTACACACCGGCGGCGCTCATCGCCGGGGAACCCGAAAATACAACTCGCTGCTTTCTTCGGCCGACAGCCGCAGACAAAACGAACATACGATTCGAGCGCCCGCTCAGCTATTTTTCGCGGAGAATAGGCAACGCTGGAATGCAAGCGCGTCTCTTACTTTTTAAGGACGAAAGCTTCTCCCGCGATCGCCTGCAACAATCGTCGGTGCAGCTTTAGTGCGGCGGCGTCGTCGGGCGGAGCTCGCCTTACATGGCTATCTCATTTTTTTCAGGTTTTCGCATTTCGAGAGTACATAGTTTGCTCGGGCTTTGAGTAATGGGATTTTTAATACGCAATCGTTCTTGCCAATTATCTCGCATCGTACGTTACGATTCCAACGCGCACTACTATTTGTAATTAACTTGAGCGAACAGCAACAAAAGATTTATCGTTTGACAAACGTGTTTAAAAAGGGAAAAAGAATCGTATACCAATCGTATACCAATCGTATACCAAGCTAACAAGGAACTGTCGGATTCTCGCCAAAATGATTTATTAAGCCATCTGAGAAGTGAAAGATCGTCCATTGATGCAAGAAAGAGAAAAAGACATTTCGGCGACCGAACAAATAGATAAATTGCTCGCGCTCATAAAAAGCTATCGGTTAAGGTTCTTCGTTATTATTACAAAAAAAAAATAGAAAGCTTATTTCAGATGCGAAATGAAAGTCGAACTTTTGTTAAGCGCGGGCGTGTGTGTAGAAAGTATAAAAGCTCACTCTCTCTCTCTCGCTTTCGTTTTTGCACTGGGAACGAAGAGTATAGAGTATTAAAATTATTTATAGAAAGAGTCGGTAGCCTCTGAGAGAGTAAGAAAGGGAACTAACTGGTCGCAGGCACTCGTGAGTTTACAGCGATACAGTGACCAACGTTCTTTCTTCTATTCCATCGTTTCTTTTTTTTTTGTCAAGCTCGGGAAGATATTTTCCACCGCAGGCGCTCCGCGTGTATTTCTCTGTTCTTTTCGCGGGGTATCGTCAACTACTTTGTTCTCGCTATGAGTGACTTTATCAGTGTCTGGTTTAGCTATTTCGTTTATTTCGTTATTAACGTTTTTTACACCAGTAAGTAGAATATGGGTGCTAAAAAAAGAAAAATAAATGTTTTTTCTTTGTTCTCATCTAAATAATGGATCGAAATATAAAAATGTTGATCTATTCGAATACTAACTAATGACATTAACTATCTGCTTGGAATTGTTTAACAATAGATTAAACAAACAGTTAGAGGCAACTTGTTTTTTCAGCTCCTTGAAAGATGTTAATTAGGAAGCTCGAAAAATGACATTGCGCGGATTTTAGCGCAACTAAAATAGCTCTTCCGCGTGCAACAGCAAAACGAGCGAGGGCAGAGTTAGCGCGTGCTCAGGTTGATACCTATGGCGAGTCGCGAGCCGGCTATCAGTACAGGCGGCTCTATTAGCGCTCCCCCCACCCCAACCCTTTTTTTGTCGAAACAAAAAGCCGACGAGGGGGAGAAGAAGAGAAAAAAATAATGATCGACCGACGGGCTGAATCGCCGGCACTTCTCTCCCGCCGACGCGAGCAAAACAACGCGACGGAAGTTCAAGACTCAATGTCGCGATTTTTTAATCTTTAAATAGGATGCTCGTTTCGGCGCGAAGGCATCGTTTCTTTTCTTTCTTCTTATTTTTTGTTTTGCCCGTCCAGACCGAGGTCGCGCGCACGCCGACGTCGGCGGGCGAACGTAATTTTCCGTCGAGCGAATGTCGCGACGAGCGAGCGCGAAGTGGGATAAGCTGGCCGAAAGAGCGACGACTTCGGGGCGAGGCGACGAAAGCCGGAAAATGTAACTTGTCCATCGTGCTGGCGATCGCGCGCGCGAGTCAGAGGCGGCCGCTAAACCGACGCTAAAAACGCCGACTTTGCGGGCGGGCCGGTGCTACCGAACTGGAAAGGGGCGCGAACGCGCGGCCTCCGTCGAGTCGTGTACGCGCGCGAGAGTCGTCCGAGTGGGGTCGGGGGGCGCGGAAAACGTTGCGCAACGCGCCGAGCGAAGACAGCCCGTAGGCGTGCGGCGGCGGCGGCGGCGGCGGCGGCGGCGGCGGCGCGCACGTCGAGCAGCCCGAAAGCCGACTCGAGGAGCACGCGCGAGAGAGGGCCTGACCCGCTTTCCAACTTCTCCCCGTCTCCGTCGACGAGCCAGCCGCGCCGGCGAAAACCGCTGGTACATAGGCGCTCCCGAGATGCCATGACATCTCTGCGCCGGTTGTGCAACTGCGCGCCACTTTGACGCACGACAACCCGTGGGATATTCCTCGCGGCGAACCTCCCGACGAAAAGTCGCGCGCCCGCGCTTTCGGCAGCACTCTTACGAACCCTTTTTATTAGGAACTCGCTAGAGTGCGTGCACTGTTGCGCGTCACTGCCTTGGCTGCCAGCCATTGGGAAAAGTGACAAGTCCACGCTATCGCAATAATCACACTTGCGCGAAGACTAATGGCGTGTTTAGGACGGCGTGCGGCGATTTACTTTGCGACCGATTGGCACTGCCTTGCGGAAAAATTATCAGTGCGCTGCACTGGAACTTCAACTGCGACTCAAACGTTGTCGAAGCAAACCTCGTGCGTTTCGGTCGCTTCAGGCAAGGTAAGAACCAATTTTATTTTTAGCGCTCGACAACGAAAGCAATGACCGCGGGCGCGTGCGGGCCATCAAAGCTCGCACAATTGGCCCAGTTACCTGGCGAATCTCAAACGCGGCGAGTGAGCAGCTTGTAAAATCGAAAATCGTTCGGTAACCGGAACTCCACTACTCGAGAGACTGATGCTAGCTAGGTTTACGCCAACGGGACCGAAATAATCCAGACCGAGAGGCACCAGTTGAGCAGAGATGACGCAACGCGCAACACCTCCGATCGGCCGAGAGAGGAAAAGAGAGGCGACGAGGCAACGGCGAATAAAATCACACGAACACAAGGGAAACAAGCGTTAAAAATCATACGGCAATACCGCTTCTTTGGCTTTATCTTGTTGCTAGTCGAGCTGTAGATTCGACTGCACGTTCATTTGCGCGATACATTCGGACACTGAGATTTTCTCTCGCTTGACTATCGTTGTAACTTACACCAGGCGGTGGTCCTCTGCATAAGCTGAAAATGTCCTTGATTAAAAGCATAGGTAACCGAGCCGCGCTGTTCTCAGAGCCTAAATTAGCGGTGCATCCGTCAAGTAATCTCGGAAAAATACGCGCGTCTCGCGCCGTTCGCGCACAAAAGACCCGTGTAGGTACATCGTTCGCAAAGGGAACGCTTCCGTGACAACGCAAATCGCTCGTCGCTTATTTATTTGTTTTTTTTTGTTTTTTTTCTTTATTTTCTCTCTTAATTGCCGCTTGCCAACTGGTCTACAAAACGCGGCAGACTGCTGGTCGCGCGACGATCGAGAGGCGGCCGGCAGACTCGCGCCGAAGGAAAAGCCGAGCCAACAACGACCGATTGTCGCTGGCGAGCATTGCCTGCCGGAAGACTTTTTCCTGGCATCTGTACCGCGTACGCGCGACGACTCGACGCTGCTGCAGCATCCTCTGTGCAGCAGCGTTGTCTTCGTGGTTGCGCAATGGCTTATAAGGATCTATTCGAGCGGGTATTATGTCTCGCGCCTCGTGGCAGAGAAGAAGAGGGATATCTGGAGAAGGTTACGGCGACTTTTACGGCCGCGCAGCGCCTGATTTTTTTGCTACCCTCTTCGCGCCGAGTTCTACGAATGAAGAGCACGAGGGAAGAGTCGACGGGTAGCGGAGAGCGTGGACAGGCCGACGGGTTGTCGTATATTCGTTCCGTTTGACCAATTGATTTTTGAGGGGGCGACGCATCACGATCGCAATTCTCGACTCGCTTGTCAGCGAGATTCACTTTCGAAAGACGAGGCTTCGCGTGATCCATTTCGGGCCAATCACTTTTGCGAATGGATTGCGCTTCGACATCGAAGCTATCGATACACGTTAACGAAATCGCCTAATAAAGTCAAGACAGCAACAATTGCAGCACTGCTAAAAATAACAAGCGATAAATATGATCAGCCGGATTCGGAACGCTATTGAGTCTCGTGCGTTTCAGGCGGGTCTCGTGCAACGTCTGATTTCGGCACGAGAGAGCTGATCTAATTACTTGCTCGGGGTGTGTGAGATCGAAGTCCGTTTGATCACGCTGCTGCTCGCTCGCGTCTCTCTCTCTCTCTCTCTCTCTCCTAAAGTAGATCATCCAAGGGGCTGCCAAAAAAGAAAATCAAAGTAGCGGGGAGTTAATCGATCGAATCGATCGATGGATCCTCGCTTCGCAGTCTTGTGAACTCCGTCGTGAGTGCCTCTGGTACATTGACGATCTTCATTGGCGATAGTTTCTTTTATACTCTACCATTGAACATTTTCTTTTTTATTTCTGTTTCTTGTATCTGTATTTGTGATATTCTTTCGTTTCTATTTTTCGACATGCATTATTACTGGCCAAGAGATTTCGTGCCGACACCACGATATGGACATATGAACGGTAATTGAGAACCAAAAATATGACTGTAATTTAGAAGAGTCGGTTTTATATTTTCATTTGAACAACCCGCAGCTATATCTTCTCATTTTTCTGACTATTGCATAAAGCAAATCCATGTGTACTAAATATAAATGACGCTATCCGTAAGAATGACATTAGCATCGATCTTAAACAATTAAAATATTTGTAGTGTGTAAGTTTAAATACGTCGATTTCTCGTAATTTTCAAATAAACATTTATAAAACAGATTAGAATTTCGAAATACGTTTGCTCAGAATTTGTTGGTCAAATTTTTAACGATTGCAAAAAATTTAAATACCAATTGCAGTCTGCAAAACTTTTTGAGTACTCAAACACTTGAGTATTCATTGTAATCTATTACATAATTTATTGACCCAAATGAAGCCAAATACTCGGAAAAAAATGCTCGTGCTTGTAGTTGTAATTTAGATTTATTGCTCTTCATACACTAAAGTAATGAATACAGAATCATACAGACGGCGCATACGAGACTGTAAATTAGCGTAATTATCTTCGCAATGGAAATGAAGCTAACAAGGATTTTTATTTGAATTCCAGGCGTCCTGTCGCAACGATCAAAAATGTCGGAGGCACAAGGTGAGTTTTATAAACTCAACGAAAGCGCAACATAAATTCGCTCGATACAAATCTCTTGCGAATAAATCAACGTAGCTTCTTCTTATTTTATGCGACTGAAAACTATTTCATTTTACAGACTCATCTCGTGTGTCGGAGCGCAGACAAAGTAGCGACGCCGGAATCACAAGACAAAAAAGCGAGATTGACGAGGAAATGGACAACGCGAAGCAGAGAGATGCTGCGTCAACTCCAAAATCAGGTACTTTGAATTCTTCTGTCGTGTTATATCGTTTTTTTTTTTTTTTTTCTTTTCACGAATCACGAATATCGACGAATACTCGAAACGAGACGGCGGTCAGTTTCGAATGACGAATGATCGTGGTCTATTATTAAATTACCACGACGCGCGCGCAAACTAAAGGATCACTTTGAGCGAAACAATGGAGCCGACAGACGAGCGACGCGCGTGCACGCGCGGTTCGTCCCCGCGCGGCCGAAACCAAATGGCGAACAAGAAAGGCCCTCTGTTTCCGTCCGCCTAGAGCAGGGCGGTCGCTCGTCACCGCCACCGCCGCCGCCGCAAAAATAACCAGTCCGTAAATAAAAGCGGGTTAGCGACACTTGCGTGCGCTGCGGCAGAAGGGGGCAACAGGGCGGCAGCGAGTCCGCGCGACAAAGCCCCATTTTTGAGCGGTCTCTGGCAAAAGACGCGCCTTCTTTGTCGCGCTCGAATAAAGAAGCTCCGCTCGAATAAGTGCTGAGTCATCATGTGCGTGATATTTGCAGAAAGCCAGCAAACGGAGTTGCCAGCGGCGGCTTTGGCGTCGGCGCAGCAACGACCGCAGCAGCAGCCGCAGCAGCAGCAGCAGCAGCAGCAGCAGCAGCAGCAGCGAGCGTCAGTGGGTGAGTGCAACAATTTGCTACCAGCGTTAGTCGAGCGTCTGCGTTCGGCCCTCGAGCTTTCGTGCTCGGCGAGTCCGAGCTGCAGCGAGGACAACAACCAGCTTTTGAGCCTCGAGGATTCCGGAGTCGACTCCGAGGAGGACCTGCGCCTCCGGAGCACGCTCAACGAGCAGCAGCGGCAGCAACAGCAGGCGGCGCTGCGCAAGCCCAAGCTCGATCTCAAGTTCCTCGAGGACATACTGCTGGCGGACATCCACACGGCACTCGCCACCCTGCAAGACACTCTCAAGCGGGTGGACGTCAACACGCTGACCAGATACAACGCCAGTCTGGACTCGTCGAACAAGCTCCACTTGCTGAGACTCATCTCGAACCTGTTGGCCAAGCTCAAGGTCCCCGAGGAGCTCGAGCGCCGGCAAGTCAGCCCGGCGGACGGCTTCCGGAGGCGCAAAGTCGATCGCCACACGATCGGCGTGTCGGCCGACGAGATCGCGCGCGCGAGGCTCTGGCTGGACGACAGCTCGTGCGAGTCCTCGCCCAAGATCGTCCTCGAGCGGACGCCGGCGGCGCGCGACGCCGCGGAGAGGACCGTCGAGGGCGCGCCCAGCGCGAGCGAGCCGCCGAGCCCCATGAGCAACAGCACCTTCAACGACAAGTGCATGAAGGACGCGATCAATCAGCAGCAGTCGTTGCAGAGCAAAAAGGACAGCGCTTGCCGAAGGTTCGACGGTCTGTGCAAGGACGACCTCGAGTTGAGCGAGAGCAGGGAGCGCAGGTCGTCGGCGTTCTGCCCCAGGTACAACAAGTTCACGGCCAAGAAGTGCAAGATCAAGCGAGCCAACACCATCGATATACCGAATTACCTGCAGCTGAAGAGCGACGGCACGGAGCAAGTGCGTAACGGGTGCTTCGCACTGAGGAGGCCCATCGACGTGAGCGATCGCGTCAACGTCAGCGGCGCCAAGAAGGCCGTGCCGCTGTTCGAGCCCAAGACCGACAACGACCGCAAGTTTCTAGCGCTGATCAACAAGAACAACACTGACGCCAACGCGAGCAACGCCGCCGGCCCCTTCGGGACTTTCGGCTGCCGCAATCCGGCCTCGGTCGCTGACAAGAACTGGCAGAATCGCTTCTCCAGCATCAAGACCAACTTCGACAAGCAGCCGCGCGACGCCGACGGCGAGGCGCAGCCCGCGCGCAAAACCGGCGTCGTCGACGTGCGCCAAAAGTTCGAGACGCCGCACGGCCCGGCGAGGCAGCAGCAGAGCAGCTTCACCCACGCGCCCACGTCGCCCTTCCAGAAGATCGAGAGATCGGCCGCTCCCGCCAAGATGGACTCGGCTCTGCCGAAACCAGGTTACGCGCCCAAGACGAGCGCGCTGCAGGCCAAGCTAAAAATATTCGACCACGAGGCCAAAAATAAGCCCGCGGAGCCGTCAAGGAAGCTCGCCGCCGCCGCCGCCGCCGCCGCGCCCGCGCCCGCGGCGCCTCAACCACCGGCGGCGGCGCCGCCGCTGGACAATAGCTACTACTCGTTCTGCAGGCAATTCGCGCCGTTCGCCAGTGGCAAGCAGGACGGCCAGTCGAGCGTCGGCGCGGCCAAGTGCAAGTTGCTGACGAGTCTCGCGAGGGCGCCGAACAAGACGGACGCGGCCGCGCACGACAGAGCGAGAGAGCCGAGCAAGGCCTTCCCGGCGAAGCAGCATCGCGGGGATTACCGCCGCGACTTCGCCAAGCAGTATTCCTATCGCAAGCCGTACGACGGCTACGCGGACGATTGTCGGCAGCTCGACGCGCAGAGCAACGAGCGCCCCAAGCCCGAGGGCAGGCTCGAAGCGCCGACGCAGAGCGTCGCGGTACAGACCAGCAACGAGTCGGCCGACGCGAGGCCGTCGGAGCCAGAGCCGCGGACGCCGAGGAAGCAGCGCAGCAACGTCTCCGTGCAGACCGCCAGTCCGAGCCTCGCTCCTGCGACGGCGCACGGCGACGACAGCCCGAGTCGGGTGTCACCGATGCCGCCGCAAGCGGCAGCGAGCGCGAGTGTCGCGTCGCCGATGCCCTGTCCGCCGCCAATGTACAAGCCAAGTTACGAGCAGAACGCACCACCGAACTACCACAACCCCGGCTACCTGTCGGATCAGAATTATTACGCGACCGATAACGGCCTCGCCTATCCGCCGTATCGGAAGCCACTCGCCCAACCTCAACAACCTCCTTTGCGGCCGCTGATCGCTGATTCTCAAGCCCTCGTCCGGCCGATTTCGAACGACTCTCGCCGCCCCACCGAATCGGCTCAGCCGGCAACTCATCTGCCCATTTGTCAGAAGCTCTACAACGAATTCAGTAAGCTTCCGGACCCTCAACCACTTCGGGATTACAGCAAAACTGACGCCGTACCTTTCGCGGCCTACGAGAACAAGGTGGATACTCTGAAACCGATCGTCGACGTTTACGAGGAGAAAGCATTATCGGACGTTGCCGAAGAACACATCGAGAACCAAGAGCTAAGTTCCGATGGAATTGTCACTCGTTACACCAGTGCCATAGCCACCGTGTCGTCGATGCCAGATAGCCCGGAGCCCACGACCTACGATCCCGTAGTGACGCGCATCAAGGAAGCTCAGCCGCGACACTTTGCCGAGACGACTACTATTCCCGTACCTAATACCGAACGAAAAAATGTCTCGCCCCTCGACGAGATTCAGCGTCACAATATGCTTCAACAGACTCTCATTCGCCGTATGCAGAACGAGCAACAGCAGCAGCAGCAGCAGCAGCATGTTGCTGATAAAATACCAACCAGAAGATTCTCCCAGGAGATTACAATTAGAAAAGACAACCTGTCGCTCAGTCCCACCCAAGTTGGTAGAGTTTGTGCTCTGAAAGCTCTGAACGAGAGTCACAAAGCTCAAGAGAAGATCCACATGTTCGAGGAGAAGAGGTTCAATAGTAAACAGGTGTTCCGACCGGTGAACATGCCGTCCAAGTTGAATTCGCCAGCGCCGACAATACAGAACGAACGATCGCCGATCAGGAGTCCTGTCGACTCGAGCGACGAGTACCTGATGTCTTGCGCCAACAAACCAACCAGAAACATCGTTTTGTCCAAGTCCGAGTCGTGGCATCAGTTAGCATTGGCGAACAAGGGAGGACTACAACTGCCGCAGCCAAGCCCGCAGAAACCGCCGAAACCGAAGTCGCCGATGAGATTTACGAAGCAGTTCGAGGCTCCGGCCGCGTCGGACAATATGCGCAAAATGGAAGAGAAGGTTCAGCAATATTTCCAGAGCAGCGCTGGCCAGGGAGAGGCCAAACAGACCAAATCGAAAAGCAGTCGCAACTTGCAGTCGAAGAAAGCGAGCAACAGCTTGATGAGGAGCCACACGATGCCACACCTGTACGACGATCGTCTGTTCGACGACGCTGTCGACGTTGACCAAGCCTTCGACAGTATCTTCAAAGAGGCGACTCGCACTGACAATCGTCTCTGAGGATGCCTACTCTCTTTCTCGCTCTCTCCCCCCCTCTCTCGCTCGCTCTCTCTCTCTCTCTCTCTCTCTCTCTCTCTCTCTCTCTCTCTCTCGCACACACACACACACACTATGATTATGAGAATACGCTGTGCGAGCGCTGCTGTGCGAATCATAAGTGCAAGAGGATGCGTGTCGTAGATGTAGAGCTTCAACAATGCATAGCCGATGTGATATAGCTCGTGTATAATACTTTGCGCCCGAGAGACTACGCATGCTTACATAGATTTTTATTTGTTCGTTGAAGGACGACCCTCGCGTCGCTGTTAGAGATATTAAACGATCGATGTACAGTGTAGATTTGTTGTCGATGGGGCGTACAAAAGACGAACATGTTTTATCACTTTTTTTTGTATAGAGAGAGAATTTGGGTGAGACGACGAGATGAGTGCACGTGTGTGTGAAAGAGAACAACTTTTTTTTTGTTAATGTCGTGTCTGATGTGTGTTTCCGAAGCCCTGGACTTTTAAGACGGACGTTGCCTTGTACTAAAGGGATCGCCCAATACAAGCAGTGAGTTTTTACTTTCTTGTATAAAAATTTTCCTTTCTTTACTTTATTTTTTTAACGAGGTTGTGAGAGTGTTTTTGCCACGATACAATCGTATGGTTGAAGTATACGGAAGAGAGGTGTCGGACTAATTGTATTTTCTAGAATAATCACGTGTATTTTTTGCCATTACGGTTGGGGTACGTCATTTTCCATTGGTTTCAAACTCGCGTAACTCAGAACATCCATCTCGTAATTTTTCAGATTAGACAATTATGACAGTTTGTTGACTGGCAGCTCGTTTGCAAAGTCATATACAATTTCGATACTTCGACCGTTACGTTGTATTTCAAAGTTTGTAGAATTTGTTCCATAAAAAAAAATGATCACGCTAAAGATAGCTGCTACTAAAGGCCGTTTTTTTCATTTGCTTTTACCAATCCTGATACTAAAACGCGCGTAATTTGATGATGATGAACTTCAATTGACTTGCGGTCGCAATTAATTGATACAACATTTTTAGCACATTCGCATTGGAACACTCGTTTCTTTTCCTCTTTGATTTAATCAATTCTCATTTGATTTTTCCAAATTGGTGCGGTCTAAATAGAAATCTCTTTATTAAGTTGATTTGTTGAAATACTAATACTAAGTATAGATAAAATTTCTTTTGCAACTTGTTAGATTTTTTTTTCTAAGTTGTTACTGTTTCTGCTACTGAAATGAACTTATATCAATAAAGTTGCAACAACGAAACAGTTTTTAGTTAGACAACTTTCAAAAATCAAGTATTATTTATAATTTTTACTTTTATTTACCATCGCAACGAAAACAGTTTCAACACAACAGGAAACACACGTCGGAAACGCAAAATAAATTTTTGGGAATGATAAAAATCCTATTCCAATACCCCTGCTTTATCATGTAATTGCTAACTTTGGTGTTCTAGAAATTATTTTTAAAAGCTACTCTGCCGAGCAAAAATAATAATGCAAGGTATAATGCCAAATTAAAAATCCAATAATTGACTAGTTAAGTTCTGTAATGCTGAATAGAATCTAACCATAGGGGTAATGTTTAAACTGCAGTTGGAATGATGTTATTACAAAACGATTTAGTACAATAAGTGATACTAATCAACATCCCATACAATTATATCAATGCACAATGCCATATTGTTTATTATGTTAATTTAATTTCAAAAAGCGATCATTGCACATTTCATTCAGTATGTTTTTCTGATTATTGCGTTTTATAATTTAAAATGTGTTAATTTTTTATAGTTTCTAGATGAGTGAAAAAAATGAAGTAAATTACATAAGCTGCAAGCAAATTTTAGTGGTTTGAAAGCAAGAAAATTTATTTCTAACAAATATTAGTGACTAAGATCTTGTAAAACACATTAGTTGTAAATATTCTTAATGATAATGTAGCGGAGTGCAATGGTTAGATCAGTTATGTTAACTCTCAAAAGCCGCCATAGCATGATTACCATGGGTTTAATATTTAGCCTAGTTTTTATCCTTACATTTAAAAAAAGAGATTACAGGTGTCATTAAGTAACTAACGCGACTCGTCTTTTTTCAGCTCCAATAAAAAAGCCCATGTCGCCGTTTGCTAAATTTAGACAATTGGATCGGCAGAACAGTGCGCCTGCTTCTCCTAGGTAAGTCAAGCAAAGTACATTCAATTATAGTTTTAAACAAATCACAATTCCTCGGATAGTAAAACTCCAGTGCTTATTGGTTGCTATTTCAAAATAGCAGTTGTAGGCGTGCTATAAAAATTATAAAAATTTATACTTTTCACCTTCCGATACCTTGGAAAAGTAGCGCAAACGCATAAAAATGGCATTCCAATCTGAAAATAACTTGATCTTCCTGCATATAGCACTCCGAAAACCCCGAGCAAGGAGTTTCAGTTTAAATTTACTGATCCAACGGTGCAGAACAATGCAGCATTGATAAAGGAGCGATTGTTATCATGGTGCCGCGCCAAAACCAAAGAGTATGAGGTATAATCACGTTTATTTATGATAATTAGTGACAAATTGTTTTTACGTTATGTAGTAATGGTCTATGTGAACAATTTTCATTTTTTCTCTACAGAACGTGCAATTGGATAATTTTTCAACGAGTTGGAACGACGGCATGGCATTTTGTGCTTTGATTCATCACTTTAGACCAGAAGCCTTCGATTACAAAAGCCTTCGGCCCGAAGATCGCAAAAGGAACTTTGAATTGGCATTTACGAAAGCAGAGTAAGTTGGACTTTCTTTCAAATTTGCTTTGCCAGAGTCCTAATAATTATATTGGGATAAATCGTTAAATTTACTTTAGTAGTAAACATTTTTAAAACAGGTAACTTATTAACATTCAATGTTTACCTATCTTCTAGTGAACTGGCAGGTATCGCACCGCTGCTCGATGTCGAAGACATGGTGATGATGAAGCGTCCAGATTGGAAATGTGTGTTTACTTACGTCCAGTCTATTTACCGTCGATTCAAGGACGAAGATTAACAGCCGAACTCAGTCCATGTATATTGTTACGTTATGTTTATTTGAAAAGCTACAATCTACTTTTGTTGTTTTGTCGCCAAAAAAAAAAAAATAGACGTTTGGTGTTGACGTCGCTAATATTGCAAATCGCTGATCACCCGCAAAATAGCTTAACTCTGTTAATCGCTCATCGGTAACACAGGCAGATGATTATTCAACAAGTGTTTTCACACACGACAACAGAAATCCTGTGTATTTTATACTCCCGGCATCTTTGTACTACAAAGATATGTTTGTATGTTTATACAGGAATCTCGCTGCGTTTTGATGTTTTTTTTATGAATTAATATATGACATTGTTTGAAAGAGACGCTTTTAAAAAGATACAAATGACGATTGTTATTTTTTTTATAAAAACCCTTTATTTTTTATCTTGATCTTGTAGAATTAAACATGCTTACGTTATTAATTAGGAAATTCATCACACAACACTGTAACTGGTTAAAACGAAAAATATAAATACATGTACTGCATTCAGCACTAGTATTTTGTAATATACTACGTATGAGTGAAGTAAGAACAACACAAAGTTATCAACAAAAAGACATTTTGATTAAGAACTAAAGTGAAAGTATGTTAAAGTCTATGCTATTTTATAACTTGAAAGAAGTCACAAAACTGTGCTTGTCAGTTTTAGTGTCTGTATAAAACTTATCTCAACAGCACTGGTAAAAATAACCAAGCACTGTACTAGTCATGTCTATATATAGTATATACAACATTAAAATAGAATATACATTAAAGATGACTATCATCTAGTGAATTGTTGATATCACTTCTGTCTTCACCAATCATGTCCTGAAAACAAATGATGTCATGAAATAATAGTATTAATCACAGAAGCTTGAGATAATAATATTTACCTGCAAGACTTCAACAAGAGCTCTGGACTCATCAAGCATTTCTTTGTAAACTTTAAGTTGATCAGACAATATTTGATTTTCTTCTAGGGCATCTTGTAGAGCTACTCGTCTTCTTTCTGCAAGAACTTTCCAGTAATCTTCACTTGGGCCAGCTGTGACATTCAAGATAATATTAACTTCTGTTCCACTTGACAAATTATATGAATAGAATGAAAATAATTTACATTACCTTCAGAAGTTAAATCTTCACTCGAAATTTTAATTCTTTTCGCTTCTTCAGTTTGTACAGCTTGGTTTTTGAAAATCCTTCCATTTCTTTTAGCATCGTTTTGTACTTTTTTATTATCAGTCTTTGTTTTGTCTGTAACTTTTTTAGAGGTACTGGATTTAGTAGCAGCTGATTTATCAACAGTTTTTTTAATGGCTATTTTTGCTTTATCAGACATTTCACTGTAGTAAAAAATTATCAATAATTATGATTCGAAAATCTTCTGCAATATGATAAATAGTTATAATAAAGTTGTAAAAACTTACTTTTTCATGGCACCTTTACTAGGAGGCGTGGAGCGAAGTTGCCTTCCAGCACCAACTAAATTTTCTTTATCCGTTGCTGCTGGTTGCAGAGTGTGTAATGGTTGATGAGTAGTTTTTTTGGCTTTACCCTTAACGTCCTTTAGATTCTTGAAATTCTATAATCAGAGTTTTCCAAAGAATTAGTTTATTATTAGACAACATATACCTTTTAAATTATTCAAATTTTATTTTATTTTAATTTATTGGAAATATTAATCAACCAACCTTAATACACATAAAAACTAAAAGGCAAACGATTGTTACTAAGAGTTGCTTGGAAATGAATCGGACGAATTTGAAACTCTTGTTTTGAAAAGGAAAATTCCGTAAACATATCACTAACCTGCGAATCGGTGGTTTGGACAGTGACGAATTTTGTAGCTCCGCCGGGTTTCATGATACCGTTGTGTAGTCAAAACTTAAAAATTATTGTATCCTCTCTTCAAAAATCACAATGATTATGAAGATAAGCTAAGTCAGTGCTATTTTACAGTGAAATTCGACATTTAATTTTGATACTTTCAACGGTCAAATTCAAACTTGGTTGACGTGCTCACTTTGACCTTTCTCAATGGATTTTCGAGACTCGACAGTGTATGTTAATCGTTTGCCATCGATGGCGACTGCCCTGCGTCTGGCGCGTTTACCCGCGCCTTCAATCTTTTACTGTATGCGCATGCGTTGCAATATGGCAGTTCGATCTTGGCAATTTAATTAAGTTTGAACTATAGAGCCACCATCATCTGTAGTGGGTAAACTAAACTAATGTGTGACTCTTTGACTTCCGATTTCACACCGTCAAAATATTTTTTCAGGGAAAATTTTTTTTTCATTGCATTTCAAGAGTAATTATTCCGTTTGTAGGGAGCGATATGTATTTTTTATACGTTGATGATAGCCATATCTGAAAAGAATGATGACCTACATAAGTCTGTTAATTGTACAATCATTGTATAATTATGTATGAAAATTTATTCGTCACAACTTATTGTTCTAGATATGTAAATTCAAACTTTACTGGCACTATTGTAGCACTATTCAACAACAAGACTACGTTTCAGTATATACATAAATATAAAATATTAATGTATAATAATAATTATATATTATTAATTAAAATACTATCGGGAAATAATTTATCTGAAACTTACTAGGCAAAATACATTATTGAATTTTGAATGTATTTGGTAAATGAGACTAGTAACGAGCATTTTTAACATTTAATAGCATAACTTTGCACTTAACGTCCACGATAGATCTTACAATTGTTGTACTATGTTCAAATTCATTTTTCTTTATATGATGCACGTATTTTAAAGGATTATATGGAAATAATTTGGAATATCGTGATTGAAAATATGAATCATTGTTATAGCCTACAATTTATACACATCAATTTATATAAATCAACAATAAAGAAAATTATAAATCGATATTATATATAAAATACAATGAATTAATTTCGGTGCAATCGGTATAATTAATTTATTTATAAAACCTTTTAAATTTAATTTATAAATAAAAACGAACTCTCCAAATGATAATAGATGAACAGCTGAAAAAAACAATTAAACATAGAGCGATATGTTAAAAATTTTTTAAAAATAAACATTTGTCTAATGCAGCTGACGGTTCTATTTATTTGAAAAAAGAACAAAGAGAAGTTAACTTGGTGCGCTGCCCATTAGTTATGTTATCTGGGGTGACAGACGTCGAAGTGCTGATCGCCTCGTTAAAGTCACATAACTTTTTATCTGCTTTAAATTCTCTTCAAGAAGAAAAAAAAGTTCACTTTTACGTCGGCCACATCTTGCAAAAACTCTTGAAAGAAGGTTCCAAATTAATTTAACAAATATTCAATAATTTATGAATAAAAAAAACAAAAACTGACGCAATTTTCAACACATTCTCTGATAATTGATTGATAATTGATAGCCATACAGACAGATGTCTCTGGAACCATCACCATAGTGCCAAAATAAGAAAGCTTACACACATGCATATAGATTTACATTTAATATGCTAAGAGCTGAAGCAAGTGAAAATGCGACTTTTTTTAGACGCAGACGAAAAGAAAGAAAAAGAATAGTTCCGGCGAGAGGAAATTTTTCACAAAGAAGACGCTATTATGCGTTAAAATATATGTACAATAGACTTAAACGTAATTAACGAGGTTTGGATTTACGATTAAAAATGGTGATTGATACCCCAGTGCCACCACCCATCCCTATAGCGAAGAGAGCCCTGAAAGATTTTTTCCAATAATCTAAAATTTTTATTTCAAATTTTATTAACATAATTTTGCATTTTTATTTGCGTTTCCGATGTTTTGATAAAGAAAATCTGATTTTCGAGTGCTGACAATTTGAATTTACGAATAAAAATTGAATATTTCAGACAAGAACGAAAGCTCGTCTTATGATTTATAAGGATACTCAGTTTTAAATTATTATGTGCATGAATCTGAACATAACAAATTTTAAAGTACAACTTTTAAGTATGCTCACAATATTAAGAACACAATAATTATTGAAAAAGTATGCCACATTAATTTTTTTGAACTAGACACCTTAGATTAATTTAGAAATATGATCTGTAGATTTTATTGCATATAATTGCTTAATTTTTTAATAATTAGAGCAATTTATTCACCAACTTTAATTATAAATATGAAAATATATACGAAGTCGGTTTTTACTTTGCAAAAGATTATCATCATCTCTTGTCGGACTTGCAGTCCAGTAACGCTCCTAGCAAATACGTATTGCAGGTCACTTTCAATAATTATACCTAAGTTTTCTTTCATAAAAAATATACAGAACTATGAAGTATGCAGATGGATAAATTAATCTCCTTTATGAATCGTTGACACACTGCGACGTAGTATATTAAATTACATTCAGCTGATCCTAATGCAAATAATTCCACGTTAGTATATCGAAATCAAATTCACTATAAGCCAAAGCAGATCGAGATTAGGAATTCAAAGTCGCCAAAGATTAGGGGCCCCTAATCTCTGATTAAGCTTCTGATTTCCGATTATTTCAATTGTAGAATAAGCCTAACGAAGTCGTCGACGTCAACATAAGAAAAACTCAACCCACCACATATGCAGAACAGTGGTTATCCGCGTGACGAAGACGCGCATGTGCACTGTGACAAGTGCCTGCAGCAGCAGGCAGCAGCTGGTTCCATCTAAAAACTAGTAGTGATGTCCTGTTAAAGGATGATGGTTTGACATTTATAAGTGAATTCCAGACAGGATGGCAAGATCCAATTGCCCAGGCGGCGGCCTGTACGTCGTCGAGGGCGAGGTCAGCCTTCTTATGACAGCTATGCGTCGTGGCGTTAGATGGTCTTCCCACTCGCACCAGGTTAGAAAGCTTCTGTCATATGGTGAACTTGTTGCTGGGATTTTATTTTTCTCTTTTTTATAGCATCGTTTACTTAAAATTACTTTGGCTAAACATACGGATATACGTGACACTTCGTCTATTTCGTTGCTTTAGCGTGGGCTGACTATTTTCCTTTTTGGTGCAATTGGCTGTTTTGTACACTGAGATACATATATATACAGTTTCTTTAAATTAAGAATGCATGTCAATTGCGACTTTGCAGTTTAAAGCTCAAAAAAAAGTGATATGATACCTATGGCTTGCAAATATTAGTTTTCGCCATTTTAATATAACATTTGGTTGTTTTTAAAGATTATATTTGTGAATAGCAATCAAAGGATAAATTAGATTTCCTTGTTTACTGCTGATATTTTTAGATGATTATATATGTATAGGTATAATTTAGACAAACATATTCCCTACAAATAACTGATTAGTATGAGCTTTTCTGCATAATTTCTTTTTTTGTTTTAAATAAAAATAGAAGTGCAATATATGGAAGTACCTCTTTCAAGTAGAAATTGTTTTCATCTTGACCTACTAATTTTTTCTTATAATCATATTATTTATTGTATTATATGAAAAGAACTTGTTTTTCTATACAATTTGTAACAAACAAAAAAACTAGATACTAAACACAAGCAAACTATATTATTAAATACAAATATTTTCTACTAATTTGTAGGATGAAGACCAAGATGTTTTAATGAAAGGCCTTGCAACATTAAAAGAGCATTTAGATGACGTCAAACACTTATCTCTCACAGAGCCTGGAGCTTTCATAGCGCCATTCTTAGAAATTATAAGATCTGAAGAAACCACTGGACCTGTGACTAGTCTTGCGTTATCTGCTGTAAATAAAATCATATCTTATGGACTAATTGGTGAGTAAATATTATTTGTAATTAAAAAGAGGTAAAATCTATAAATTGATATTACTTTTTATGTTGTTATTGATAGATCCAGAACATCCTGCAATTGTTCCATGTGTTGAAGCAATAGCAGATGCTGTTACTCATGCAAGATTTGTTGGAACTGATGCGTCTGGAGATGGAGTTGTTCTTATGAGAATTCTCCATGTTTTGAGAGCATTGGTTCTATCACCTCCTGGTGATAATTTATCAAATGAAAGCATTTGTGAAATCATGCTTAGTTGTTTTAGGATTTGTTTCGAAACTCGTCTTAGTGGTTAGTTACATTATTGTATAATTTTTTCTGAATTAAACCACTTGAAGTTTAATTAAATGATTTTTATTGTAACAGAATTATTAAGAAGAACAGCAGAACATTGTCTGAGAGATATGGTGCAACATCTGTTTGTGAGATTGCCACAGTTTGCAGATGATACAAGGGGTCTGTTAAGTATGAAGGTAATACCAGTTATTTATCATTTGACAATGTATTGATTGTTATCAATTCCTTTATTTGTTTGTTGTTAATTTTCCATTTCTAGAAAATGAGAACAGAAAGCATGGAAAATATCAAAAGTAAAACCAAAAAAAATAAAAATTTCAATTTGAAGCATAAAATAAAGCCTAACACAGATGAATTTGATGACCCAGAAGTTCAACTTCTAAGTCCTATTGAAAGAACAAAAATTAATTATTTAGCTACAACTCCTATAACTCCAGCTGGAAATATTGTAGATATGCAAGGTTCATTAAATCAAGTTACACCTGAAAAAGCAGATGATAAAAGTGATAAAGCTAGTATTGCAAAGATTGATACAGGCAAAGATGATAGTAATAAAGATTGTGCAAATGAAAAATGTGATAGTGAAAATAAAATATCAGAAGTTAACAATGATCTTCCGATTCCAAATGTAGAATCTAAGTCAATTGAAGACCAATCAGAAAGTAAACCAGTAGATCCTACTTCAAAATCACCAATTCTAGAAAATCAAGGTCAGTTTGCAAGCTTTTTTCTCTAATAATAAAACTTGTGCTTTTCTTATAAAACTTATTTATATGTATACACAGATAATCAAACTGTAGATGAAAAATATAATCAGTATGCCCAGTCTCCAACAGGTAGTGTGGAAGATTTATCTGTAGATGATGCATCAATTGTAAATAGTATGAAAACACCTTCAGTCAAAGTTGAAGGAGAGTCCATTGATGAATACGTGAATTCTCAAGGAATAACATTCACTGTAATACAGCAGCATACTCCTTATGGCTCACTGTGCATACGAGAACTCTTCCGCTTTCTAGTTTCTCTATGCAGTCCTCTTGATAAACAAAATAGTGAAATTATGATGCATTTGGGGTTGAGTCTTTTACAAGTGACACTAGAAGTAGCAGCTGATACTCTGTCTAATTTTCCGTCATTGCTTACACTGATTAAAGACGATTTAGCTAGGAATTTAATTTTGGTAACGTTGATGAATATTCTTTTACTCGTAATGAATGTATTTACACGTTACATAAAATGTTTCAAATAATTATGAAATCGTGTTAACAGTTACTAGGAACAGATAGATTGTCAATTCTTGCTACCAATCTGCAAGTGTCATTTTTATTATTTGAAGCGCAAAGGGAACACTTAAAATTCCAAATGGAGCAGTTTATTGTTAAGTTAATGGATATAGTCAATTCAGATTCAAATAAAATAACGTATGAACAGCGCGAACTTGCGCTGGGTAAGTATACTGAAATTAATGTATAAAACCTTATTTTTGTTGTTAATTTTTTATAATTTTTTTCGTTGATAATTATATAGAAGCTATAGTTCGATTGTGGAAAATACCTGGTTTGCCAGCAGAGTTGTTTATAAATTATGATTGTGGTTTATATTCTATAAACTTGTATGAGGAATTGATGAAAATGCTGTCAAAGGTACTGTATAATGTAAGAGCTTTTCTACATTAAAATGTACTAATCTTATACAACTTATCAAATCAATGTTTATATCAATGTATATATTTGTAGAATGCAGCAGCAACGGTTGGCAATTGGTTCAGTATGCAATTTATTTCATTGGAAGCTATTTTTACGCTGATTGCTGGCATAGAATCTAGAATTCCAAATCATAAAGATCATGCAAATTCATTGAAACATTCAAGACATAGTGCCTCGCTAAATCTTCCTAAGAAAGAATACTTGCTAGAAATGAAAACAAGAAAAAGGGTGAGATAAGTTTTTTAATCAAATTTCCCCTTCTTATACGAAGAAAACTAATTAATAACACATTTATCTTTTTAGTGGTTAGCCATCGGTTCAGAAAAGTTCAACGAGAATCCAAGAGAAGGCATAGCAAAATTAATGGAAAACGGACTTCTTGGAGGAATTCCAGGGCACGCTGATCCGAATGAGATAGCGAAACTACTCCGAGAAAATCCTACCCTTGATAAAAAAGCTATTGGAGAGTACCTGAGCAAAAAGGAAAACACGAATATTTTGCACTCATTTGTTCACAGTTTCAATTTACAAAATACTCGCATGGATCAAGCTGTTCGTCAGTACATGGAGGCATTTAGGTTGCCTGGGGAAGCACCTCTTATTTCCCTGTTACTTGAAAAATTTGCCGATCACTGGCATGTAAGTTTTGAACAGTCAAACCTTAAGACTTTATTTCATTTATATCAATGATAAATCGGTAAACAGTTATTGTTACGTTTCACGTAAATTTGCAGGATAGTAATAACCGTCCGTTCGCTTCCGCTGATGCTGCTTTTACTTTAGCATATGCTATAATTATGCTTAACGTAGATCAGCATAATCACAATGTCAAGAGACAAAATATTCCAATGACTGCGGAAGATTTTAAGAAAAACCTGAAGCGGGTCAACGGCGGAGAAGATTTTGATCAAGATATGCTTGATGAAATTTACAACGCAATTAAGTACGTAATCATAACCTGTTAAATTTTTATTTATACTTAAAAACTAAAATAATAAATATTTTGTAGAAATGAAGAAATAGTTATGCCGGCAGAACAAACGGGTCTCGTTAAAGAAAACTACTTATGGAAATGTCTCCTGCGACGTGGCGTCAGCCCTGAAAGCCTATACGTGAGGGTTGGCAACTCCAGTGAATTTATAGACAGAGAACTTGCTGAAAGAGCTTGGGCGCTTATTATCAGTACTTTGTGTCGAGCTTATGACAAAGCTCCCGATCGATCTCTGCAACGTAAAGTAGCTGAAAAATTCGAAAGGTAAACACTATATTCTGAGTAAGGATATTCAAGATTTTTAATAATTTTATATAAATCTTTGACCTTTTTAATATACTATACGTATTTATGACTATTGCCTCAATTAAAAATGTTGAATTAAACAACCAATTGACTTCATTTCTTCTTTTGCAGTTGTGCAGCTATCAGTGCACACTACGGAATGACCAGCGATCTGGATACCCTCATAGTGAGCCTATGCAAGTTTACCGGGCTCGCAGCTGGCGGTCAACCGGACCAAGTAGTTTTGAAACTCGGTGGAAGTGGTACTTGTCAATTAGCGACTCAGACCCTATTTAAGATATGTCACATGCATGGCAACGCTCTGAGAGCTTCCTGGAAGAATATAGTCGATTGCCTGCAGATGCTGTTCCGTGCGAAACTAGTACCCATCAACATGATTGAAGTTGAAGATTTCTTAGATCCTTCGGGCAAAGTCACTCTTATTCATGAACCCACAACACCTAAGCCACCACCTGTCGAACAAGGTCTTCTATCGAGTTTGTATTCTTACATTGCCTCGGATACGTCTCGTATGCCTCATCATGTAGAAGCCGCCGCTAAGAAAAAGGCTAAAAAATGTGTCGATCGAATCTATCTGAAACAGATTATAGAGGAAAGCAAACTCCTACAGGTAATTAATTTATAAAAAATTCAAAGGGTATGACAAAGTTATTCGTGTATTGTTATTGGACTGATATATATGTAGTTTGCATTTTCGTCTCTTGTGTTTACACATGCGTTGTGAGTAAATTCAGGAGAGACAAGAGCCAAGGTAGCTTAATAGATAGAACATCGGTCGGGATACGAGAGTATGGGGTTCAATTCCTAGCGAATACCAATGACCAATGACCTTTTTTTCTAAAAGTGTATTTACCAAGAGTAACGTTGTGGCTATGGTGGTTTGAATTCCACCTTAAGTTATAAAGTCTGTTTTCAAGTTGGCACTCTGGATATAATAGGATTCCTGTCACTCTTTCCGTAGAAGCGATTACAGAAATTCTGGATTCATGTCAAAATGTACAGATTACGATAAAATTAAAAACTATGATAGATTAGAGTAGTTGAAAGGTCCTTGAATTTTTTCAATATTTATTACTCTCGAAATTCTAAAGAAAATAAATTACGAAGTTCATCTCTTATATACAGGCTCTTATAGAAGAGATAGTATCAAAGGTGATACATTTAGAGTGCAAATTCCGAAAAAATGTATAGAACTTCATAAAAAAAACCTAACACATGTAAAATAGCAGGCTTTAATGAAAATCGAGAATATCAAAGTTGAGAATGTTTTGAACATAATTAGTACATTACGATACAAGTGCGGAATAGTAGATTCTTGTCTCGTGTGGCGTTTACACCGGAGCAAAGCGAGTGTCGAAAAAATATTAAAGGAATAATACTACAAAGTTTGAGCATATCTTGTAAAAACGACTCGAGAAGAAGTTATATTTATATTAATTCAGTACTTTTCTGATACAGTATGACTTCTTATAGCATATTTTGCATTTTTTAATTAATATAACCAACGACACTGAATTTATTTTCAAGCAAGCTTACTTCTTCATAATGTTTTTTTCAGTTTAGGCATCCGTAAGCAGCTTTTACGTTGAGCAAGCTCTGCATGTAAAAAGCTGCTTACGGACACTTAAACTGAAAATAACTATTGCCTTATGAGAATTCAACTTTGTGTCGATAAAGTAGTGCTCTATGGTAGTTCACGGCATTGTCTATAAGAGAGCCACTACTATTGCCATCTATTAAAACTAACTAAGCGAGGTCGTCGAGTCATCAAATGCTTTTTGCCTACCACAAACACGAATCTTCAGTAGTATAGTGGTCAGTATCCCCGCCTGTCACGCGGGAGACCGGGGTTCGATTCCCCGCTGGAGAGATATTTTTTTTATGATTATTCTATTAAATAAACTTACCTAGTTGTCCCTCGTCAAACCGCACCAAACACTGTAGAATGATAAAACATAAAAGAATATTCAATACATATTTTTTTATATCGGCGTTACTCCATATTCATAGATAGTAACTACTATTGTGTATTTTACTACTTTGATGTATACAATTTGATACATATTGTTCGATAAATTAACTTGAAAATTCGCACTCGGGGGTATTTAAGGTCGCTAATTATGAATCTGAAGTCAGAATTTTAGAACTCGAGATGGTAGATCTATTTTTTATTCAGATTTGCAGGAAATAATTTTAATCCATCACATGTAATTATACAAAACTAACATCCCAAATTAATTTTTTTCTAAATCTGACATCCTCGAAACACGTAAATTTCCCAACTTGTTTACATGAAACCTATGAATGTCGCATCCTTAAACTCTATATCCGTCAACCTCCAATCAAACTGACTTTCAATCATAACATATTTTATTAAAAACTTAATTACTTATCATATGTAAACTAATGAAAATGCTCCCCTTCTAGCAGGCCCTCGATAAGGGTCCAATCGCCACTTTGAAAGGACGGTACCTCCTTCGGTATTATGTTCCCCTTTTGCCCCTTCTCAATGCTAGCTACACCGTCGATGAGACGACGCGCTGAAAAAGGAATTCTGGGTTTCTCCAACACGCCTGGTCAGTACGATGGGTTTCCCCAACACGTACGACAGGGCATTAGGGTTTTCTTTCAACACGCAAATAGCCAGCCAAGTATTTCTACAGCACACCCTAAATCTCGCGGCAGATAGCTGCCAGGCTAAAGGGTAACGATCGATCCTTGATGCAGATAGCGAGCGTATAACATGAACACAATCACAAACTGTCGAATTCGGTCTATATTAAAAATTCGTGTCGAATATTTGTTGACATTTTATCGTCCTGCAAAGTTTGGTGCGATTTGGCGAGGGACACTTAGAAAGGTTTATTTGTAAGTTCTTGTTATTTCTGCGTTAATTTTAGAATCTGGGGACCAAATGACATCATAAAACCGTTTTAATTTTTATTTATTGATACTATTTCATATTTTTAAAGTTATTTATAGGAAATCAAGAGAATTATTATTTATAAGATAACGCAAAATTCGTTTACGTTAGTTTAACGTAATAAATGTATACTTGGAAGGGAAACACAACGAAGAGTGCGATGTTTTATAGGAACGTATATTTCTTTAATGATTCTGTTATTTTTTCAAATGAAAAGACTCACTACAATAGTCGGTAAAAATACGAAAGTCATCTCACGAGTCATTCGCGAAGAACAATTTATAATATGTATAATTTACAGATAGATTCGCTGCGCTCGCTGGTAACATCGCTGGTCTCGGCAAATTCAAGCGACGAGAACTCAACGGTGTTCCTGCTGGAACTATTGATCGACGTAACGATTGAAAATCGCGATCGCGTGAGCAGCATCTGGCCAACGATTCAGGCTTACTTAGACGGCATACTGACAACGGCCGCTCGCGAGAATCAGCCTTGCCTCTTGGAGCGCGTGACCGTCGGCATGCTCAGGCTGGCCATTCGTCTGCTGAAGAACGAAGAATTTACCTCCACTGTGTTGCCTCCTCTGTTACCTCTCACGCACTTACCATCGGCTGGAGCGCCGCCGCTCTGTAGACAAATCGCCTACGGATTGCACGAACTCTTAAAGATCGGTGCGGCGAATATTCACACTACCGAGGATTGGAAGGTGGTGTTCAATCTCCTGGAGTGTTCGGGCGCTGGGGCGCTTCAACCGAAGCAGGTTGTAGGCAATGCTGTGTTGGATGAGGCCTTGGCTAATAGATCGCCTGTGAGTGTTATCTTTCAATCACTTGTATTTTCATTGGGTATATTTTAGAAAAGAATTTGCCGAAATAATAAATAATATGCAATGGTTTTCGTGCAGATCCTTGATACAAGGCCAGGAAGTCCAGTACCAGAATGGGTCTTAGTATCGCCGACAGGCACAGAAGCTCCGTTACCCGTCGCCGCAGACACGATTGTTCTGGACCGTGAATTGTTACCGCACGATCCAGCCGCTATGGTCAAATGCTGCGAAAGTTTGATCTTCCTTGTAAGAGATGTCGCTCACGTGACGCCTTTCAACTTCGAATTGTGCGTAAGATGCGTGCGAACTTTTGCCGAGGCGGTGCTCTGTCCATCTGGCAAACGTCCTAGGGTTCACACGACTGCCAATGTCGAAGAACCTGCTACTTATCAACAGGCACCTATTCAACTGCTCGATCTTATGTACACATTGCATACTAAAACTGCGCAGGTAAATCTTGGCTCCAGGGTAACGCAATAGAATTTTCACATGAGCTTTGACTTTGTATTGTGAAATCATCAGGTGTTCAAATGGTGGGCCGAGGAGGGTAACGGCGATGCGGCAAGTTCAGAAAGCAAAAATGCCATTGCGACGGGTTCTCTGTGGCCTAAAGCTTGGCGACCATTGCTTCAAGGCATCGCTCGACTGTGTTGTGACTCGAGAAGATCTGTACGCGCGGCTGCTATCACGTCCTTACAGAGCACATTGCTCGCTCACGATCTCAGTCAATTATCAGCTGTCGAATGGTCGCAATGCCTCGAGCAAGTTCTTTTCCCATTGCTAGCGCAATTGCTGAGTCCGATTGCCGTCAACGATCCACTGGCTGTCGAGGAAACGAGAGTTCGAGCTGCGATGCTGTTGTCTAAGGTACGCAGTCGTAAGTTTACTTAATTGAGACCAACATTGAACTACAAATCTGATTTTAGGTCTTTCTGCATCATCTGACTCCACTACTGACATTGCCCGGTTTCTTGCCTCTCTGGCTAACAGTTTTAGATCTACTGCGTGCTTACATGCATGCCGATAACAGTGAGAACCTTTACGAAGCGATTCCTGAATCGCTGAAGAATATGCTCCTGGTAATGGCATCGGCGAATGTCTTGCAACCTGAGTCATATCTGTGGACACCAACGTGGCGAACAATCGATGCCTTTTTGCCAAACCTCAAAGGCGAGTTATTCCCGGAACCACCTTTACCATACACATCTTCTCAACCACCGTCGCCACCGCAATCCCAGTCACCCATCAATCAACCACAGTCGATATCCTCTTCGATTCAGCAAGTTCCATCTACGGTAATCAACCTGGTAGATCAGCCAGAAATATCCTATCCTAAGCCCATCCTTTCCCATCCGGAAGACAGCTGCAGCAGCCCCACGTCACAATCGCCACCATCGGACACGAGCTTGCTCTCGACTTCGCCGGTGGAACCGCTCAAAGCGAACGTGCCGTTCGTGCTCGACAACAGGGAGCCACAGCAAATCATTACACTTGTTAGCCAACCTCTACCGAGCGTCGCGAGTCCCGTCACCGTCCAACCACCCACAGCGCAAATTTACATACCTCGGCAGCCACAGCAATCAGTCTATCCGATCGAAGTTAACGCGCCGGAGCAGAGGCAGAATATGGTTTATCAGGCCGATTTCCAGCAGCAGTCCGTTAATATAAAGGGAACCTGCTCACCCACCAAACATCAGTATGCTCACCTGTCACAAATGCAAGATTTCAAAAGTGGCTTGTACGCCGACTCGGTCAGAGTCGCTGCCGATTGCGCAAATCGAGTTGAAGTGAGTATTACGAGTTCAAATAATTTTTACATTTTAATTCAAACATAGAAGGTACAATTTATTATTAAAAGCATACACTGATTTTTAAACTTATTTAAGGAACGTTTTATAATTTGTTATTGTTTGTAAAGTTCATATACACAAGAAAATTTACGCAATGTTAATAATTCACTCATTCTTTACATTTCAAAATAATCTGGTATAATACTATAAAAGATAAAATGTTTTGCTGCAACAAATTTTAAATAATGCCTTATATTTACAGATTCCCACAACGGAAGTTACAACTATATTCAACTCGGCGGCATACTTCAGCGAGGATTCAGCGGCAGATCGACTGTTCGTTGTAACCAATCCTTGACTATGTACTGTACATTCTTCGTGTATATTGTATCATATGAATTCCACGATATCGCATAGGCATATTGAAACGAATGTAATTAAATTACAAGTGTGATAAATGAAATTTATATCTTAAAGACAACAACGTCGTACGTTAGACTCATTGTGGAAATGCATTTTATAATCGCTTATATAACATGCATATTCATGCAATACCATTAATAATAATGTTTATAACTATACATCGTTTAATTCCAAATTTTAGCAGTATAAAAATACATTTTTATGAGAAGAAAAAAATTAGATTACAGTCATTGAATTGAACGTCAAAGTATAAGCTTTTGTCTGTAAACGCTTGATTGTTTTTCACTTTACAAAAAATAGTTTTTATTTTTTAAACGATAAATGCAATAAAAGTATCGATGAGAAAGCATAGTGAATAGTCATGATATCATAGAAAAATATTGAATTAAAACTAGAGTGGTATAAACTGAGAGGTATTGGTTGCACTAAAAATCCTATATTTAAAATACCTGAAAAAAAATACACTGTTTGCAAATCATTATTTGATTAGACTACACTTTTGTGTATTCTAATAAGAAAACTTTCAAGATTTCGTACAAAAAAGTCATTGATCTGGCAAAAAATATATAGTATGAATTGTTTTAAATTTTAAATATTTTGTGTATACATCAAATTATACTTGATACTAAGAATTAATGGCAAAATTTGGCAATTAATCAATTAGATTAATACACTTGTATTGAAATTTAACTTCTTTATAAGTGATAATTAGCTTGAACCTAATTCTGTTATATCTAAACGTTCTATCCTCGGTTACCACAGTAACGGCCGAGTTTTATACACTTACCACAATACTGCTGTAGATGCCGTTTATGTCCGTCTTTCTTACTGCGTTTCTCTTTAGATCACTGAAAACACATTAGAAACAAATATTTTTTTTAACTTCAATGTTATTTATTAATTTGTTGAATTTTCATACTATTCCATTGTTGTGGACTTTATTCGAACGAATCAAATTATGTTCACTGTTGTACGTTTGTCTGAACATATAAGATGTGTAAACGTTGATATATAGCCGCCATATTGCAATAGAATAATCGCTGATAATTTATTTTAGTATTGAAAAAGGGTGTTTGATCATATTTGAATCGTTAATAAAATTTTACATAATAAAACTTAAATTTTCAGTTTACTTTATTTTTATTAAAGAATTGTAATAAACAATGAACTATGATTTAACAAGCTACTAATTTACATATAATTTAAACATCGATAAACAAATGAAATTTGATTACTAATTTTATTATTATTATGTATTAATTCATACCCACCAACTTATAAGTATATATATGTTTATATATATGTATGTAAATTGTGTATGTGTATATATACACACACATACACATACTCAATTTATATACATATATATACATATGTAAATATATGTATATACATATATATAAATATATACTTTTCCATGGCACTCAAAATATTGCTGCCACGTGTTAGCCCAGCTGTGATTATATATTTGTAGGTTTCTCTGATGCGCCGCCGGCGTGACGGAAATGCAGCTTTTCCATTCGAAAAATTGCTCTCAAAATCCCTAGAAATTATCTTGCTATTTTGTGTGGTTCAATCTGAGTTCCCAGTTCCATTTTTCAAACCGTGCCGTTTGCTCGAACAGTACCGTACTTGACTTGGATGACCTGTCCGTTAATTTTATTATTGATTAATTAAAGTCTAATTGTCACACCAGTCAATAGCAATTGTAGTAGAGAATATTGGGTTGAGACGGTGCTTTACGTTGATTAATTTTAAAATTTGCTGTGTAGATTGGGATGAGCTAAGTAAGCTCCGATCGTGCCTTTACACTGGTTGAATTATAAAGAAGTGTATAACAATGGATTAGTTTTTTTCTGCAGGAAACATTTATACACTCAATTTAACTTCTATAAATGTTTTTCGCGTTGATTCGATCCATAGCATGTGCAATGTCATAAACCTCTTTGAAAGTATCAGACTTTTTAGTAATTATTTCACGACATATATCTTGATAATACCAACGATGTAAAAGTTGCTCTATCAACATTCTATCAAGAAGCGTATATTATACTCACAATAAGCAGCGTATTCTTTCAAACGTATAGCGAAACTAGTTATAGGTTCATCTACATTTTTTGTAATTTTTCTAAATTGAATACTTTCTGCGTGATTATTTTTCGTATTAACAAAGTGTGTAATCAAGGTAATTCGGATTTGTCCAAAATTTCTTATCTCCAGTGTATCAGAAGCAACAAGAAATTTGAGAGCATTGCTGTAAGCCCCGTGCTCATGTGCCCGCGGGCGTAATTAGCATAGTGATCTACCGGTACCTTACTTAATTCGAAAGCCGATTTAAATCGCTCAAAGAAGCTTTCACTTGAATTGAACTCTTGTATCTTGAAAGCAGACAGTTTGTCTGAATCTGAAGTATGCGAAGAATATACTCTATTAGTAAGATGAGCAGCAATATTTGGAAGCATTTGAAAATGCCGTAGTGATTGTTGCAATCCATGCATAGTTCAAGGTTTTTCTTGGTTTTAATTTTCACTTATTTTGAATAATGAAGTAACTTGAAAGCGTTATTAGAATTCACCGCTTCCGATATCAGTTGTTGAATATGCATTTTATATTGTTGGTTGTAATAAAGCAATGACAAGACTTTATTAAAAGATCGATATAAGATTTTATTAATAATCGAAGAGAGACTAAGTAAACAGCGAGCGAGTTTTCATAAAATTGAAAGCAACGTGATAAACAGATAGAAAAATAGAATTTGATACATAACAATATATACGAATGAAAAATAATACAAATTTAAAAAATGTAATCTATATTAATCTTGGATATCATACTCTAAAAATTAAGTTCAACAAATGAATAAAAATATTGACAAAGTAGATGAGACAAAATTTCGGCAAGCCTGTGTCATTTTTTAATTGAAGCTTGTAAAAAACTGAGAATTCATTGCAATTGTGAAGATGAACGACTTATAAACACATGAACTGTTTCCCTTGTGGAAAGCAAATCTCCACCGTTTGTAGACAGCTTTTACTGGTGCTATATTTAGTTAATCTATAATGTTACTTATAAAAGAAATTCTAAAATAGTATTGTAATGAGTAAATTATAATGCCAAAGTATCCAAATCAAAAAATAATATAGTAAATTTTGAAGTCATACGCATAATGTTGCACTTACCTAATCAACGTTGAGCACCGTCTCATCTCAATATTCCCTGCTACAATCGCTATTGACTGCTATGACAATTAGACTTTAATTAATCAATAATAAAATTAATGGGGAAATTATCCAGCAGTAGAGTATGGAACTGATCGAGCAGACGGCACGGTTTGAATTTTTGATAAAATACTTTTGGCTGTTTGTATGTGTGAAGTTGAAACGTGAAACGGAACGGGAAATCGAGAAAGTTGTACTTTTCTTCGTTTTATTCATTATCATACTCGAATATATTAACTATTTCAATATGAAAGTATTATGGAGTCATCATGGGTAGCAGAAGTTACAAAATAAATAATATTCATTGTTCATGCTCAAATGTTTATTATAACATTTCTTTTTTTTTTCCAGCAAGTGATGTTCTACAACTACATTAATTGACTTGCATATTCTTTTCGTGACGTAAAATCGAAATCTTGAGCGAGATTATGAATCCCACATTTTATTAACCGTGCACCATTGTTCAGCTCTGCATGTCTTCGCGTTCCTGAAATTTTACAGAGAAAAGAGCATAATTAAAAAAAAAATTAAATTAACCGAGGAATTTGCGATTGTAATTTGCATACTCATGTGATTTACACCAGTAGCTCGGGCCCCATGTGCAAGGATCTGAACCAAGCATTTGTGGCAAGGCGTTAATGGTGGGAAGTAAGATTGCTGTGTGGAAAAAACAAAGAATGTTCCAATTAAGAATGACTCGTTCGCGCCGTTAAGGCGTATTAGAAATGGCCTGCATAAAAATCAATCCGCAGATGGAACTAATCAAAATAGTTTTCATTCGGCTTATTTTTAATACAACACAAATATATCTGTCGAAAAACTTTGCTATGAGCGTCTCACTTGTATGTAATAAAAAATCAAACCGAAGAATAAGTTTTATAGAATTTGAATGGATTTCGTCCACACTTATTTATTTATTTTTTGTTATCTTCAAAAGTTGTTAACACGCGCGCAACTATTAATTACCGAGAGAAATTTTTTGTCACAAATATTTGTTGCGACAGCTTTCATTAACTACTGATGAGGTGAGCATCGTTTTTTTAGGGTTCTTAAAGAGGAGCTACACATTATGGTAAAATTGATATGTTTGCACGAATACATTTTTTATCAATCAATACTGTCTTGTATGATTCAAGAAGTAAGGATACATGCAATGAAACTATAATTTTAAAAAATATAATAATAGCACATATCGTTCTATTACTTTAGCCACATACAATAAACATAGAAAAAGTTTTGTTCGTTGTTTCGTTGTTTCGTTGTTTCGTTGTTTCTAATAATCTCCTATTCGGTTCCGTAACGGGAAAACTAATCTTTATATCGCAAATGCAAATAATTTAACGTTATAATATGCTAATTGATAATAATCAGAGAAAGGAAATATTGTTATTGTTACTGTGACTTCAAGAACTACGTCCGTGTGTCCATATATACTCTAGGTTGTTTAATATTGAAATTGAATTGAGGAAATACCGTAACCTCTTGAATAGACAAGCATCTGTTGATCGGTAATGTACGCGCCCTATTGCATCTAAATTTAACTTAGTCTATGCTTTAAAAGTACGCACGATGATCTTGGAATTAATTAAAAGAAATTCAACAACTAGGCTCCTTACCGACTGTGACAATCAAGACGTAAAGTGTTAGAAGTTTCATTGCAGTACGATTTTCCATCTTCAGCTTGAACGATTCCGTTTACAACTGCGGAGTAAATTCGTTTTCCTCAGCAATATATACCGCTATCGTGAGCGAGTGGTGTGTCATTAAGGTGACACCTTGATTGCGCAACCTTTTTAGAATCTTACTCGCAGTCAACGACACATTCATGACAGTGCGAATGAGCATTGTATTTTTAACGAAAATGTATTTAAAATATGTTGTTTCTATGAAAGATCTGTGTAGATGAACACGCTGTACAATTATTTTGCTTAATTACCGTTTTTACTTTTCCAACTTCGTCAACTAGAGTTATTACAACGGGAGTCGTATTCTGCGTCGCTGCAAAGTCTACTTTCAGTATCTACTTTGACCAACAAGCTTTAAACACATCTTATTCGTATTTGGGAAGTATTTATATAATTTCAATAAATGCAACATTTATTGGCTCTTGACAAGTAGGACTATACAGAGATTAATCATTAGGTAGATGTAACCCTTCCAATGCGAGAATACAATGAGGAATGATTGACAAATCAAATAATGAAATCGTGAGAGCTGCTGCATGCGGTCCATGCTAATATTACAAATGTAGAGAAAGTAGTAAATTCAATTATAAAGTAATGGCATCTCTGAAAACAGTGTATGCGCGATAAAATAACGAAAATCGTTTTCATAAATTATGAAATTATTTTAACACTAGAGGAAAAAAAATTCGACTAAACAATAAGGATATTTTATCTTGTAAGATATTTAAGGTGACAGCTGTATATTTCAAGGTTTGGCATTGTTTGCGCTGATAAGACAAATACGGACTCTGCCAGTCTTTTTCCATGCCAGATTTTTTTAAAGGCCTCTCTATAACTAAGAAAAACATTAATTTTTAAATATTAGTTTAAATTAGAACAAGTTATTTTGTAAACGTAACATACTGTCTTGATTCCCTTATGATTTGTTTAAATGATAAATTTTGTAATGATGGATCGAAGGGAAATAGTGATAGATGGAAAATCACTTAATTTTAATTGTATTCAGCAACGTTTCGTCAGCACATTTACAGTATTTTCACCTCTTGAGGGTGATTTCTCTCGTAGTCAAATTATTATAGGCTAAAACGAATAAATCGTAGCACAGTCAAAATTAAGTGCTGAAGAGGTCAGCAAATGTGCAATCGAAACGTTGCTGAATACAATTAAAATTAAGTGATTTTCCATCTATCATTATTTCCCTCCGATCCATTATTACAAAATTTATCATTTAAAGTTATTTTGTAAATATTTCTAAGGCGCTGTTGCGCGGTTTCATTAGAGAAAAAGCTGACAAATTATTACCTGACTGTAAGGGTTAATACGGCATTGATATACTGTCGATCGTTGCATTGGCGAGGCGTAAAATTCTTACTTTACGATTCAGCTTGGAAAATAATCGTTTTCACATTTTATGGACTCCAGATAATTGTCAACAGCTTTATTTTTTGACGTTACTTTATGACTTCACTTCCAAATTTTCAGCAAAAGTGATGTCATTTTGCAGAAAATTATTATTTACTATTAATCTCAATTAAACTCATTTATCATTGTTCTGGAATTTCCAAACTTGAATTCAATATATCAGTTTTTATTTTATTACTAGAAATAATATCCACATAGGATTCACAAAATTTTTACAAATCATCGAAAGAACTCGCCGAAATACGAATTGAAAAATTATCCAATTAATACGTGATTCACACTTTTTAAAATATATTATTTATTACATAATCATAGACAATTTGTGATTTATTATACCTTATAAGATTATCAGCATGTATTTGTGTAACATTGAACAAAGAAATGTAAATGAAATCTGGTTTTGTTTTTTATTTAATAATTTTATCATAAATAAATGATACACTTACAATAAAACTTAAAATAATTATTCGTCATATTGTAAAGAAGCAAAAGTAGCAGGAATGAATTTTTTACTTTGACTCTATTGGATTTTATATTCGTATCGAACCTATTTTTTCTTATTTCTGATGTGTTTTTTGATTGTTATAATATGCAGGATTGACAGTCGTCTTCTCAACATTCTATGTAATATATTCGGGTATTAAATGTTGTTAAAATACGATTACAGTAATTGTGATCAATTATTGTATTCGTCATTCTAAATAATCGGTATGGATGCTGCGATACCTGGTTTGTATATGACTAAAAACCAAAAGTACTACAACCGCTAATACATTTCGTTTTCAGTATTGTCACGCATACATACATGCGTACCATTGCTATCAACGTAAACTGTCTTTTCGTGAGCGTTACCGCTAAAAAATGTTTCTCAGGCTTTCTAGAAATTACTATATCATCAAATAGTGAATAACAACATCGTATGTTAAATATAGAAAATGTACATATATTATAACTATTTGTTATTGTCACATGCAGACCTTTCTTTATTTTAAAAAGTTTTCGTCATATACGGTATTGTTTACAATGAAATAAAATTCAATTAAATACATATTTCGAAACTCAATTAAATTCCATTGAAATACATATTTCAAAACATACACTGACAATTAGTGATTATATCTATTCACAAATTCATATCTGGATATTATAGCTTTAATCTGACACACTTCGGCCCACAAATAGTTAAGAGTCTTCATTGTTTATATTTTATATTTATATAGTTTATATTTGTTTGTTCATTTGTTAATAAGTTATTTATATGAATGTGAATTCATTATTTTTATACTTTATTAAATTATATTCGAACCCTTATCTGACGATCTGTTAGCAACGATTGTCTATTTTAATATAAAGTTTATTTCGCTGTTTTTGGATAATTTAAGTAATTATTATTCAACGTATCTCTACTTCGTCATATATTTTACATATATATTCGTAAGTACAGTTTGAATGTATATTTTAAATTTTAGTATTAAAAAAAGAAAACTACTTTCGCAGGATATTTACAAAACTTGTTAAAAAAATGTGATACCCACCATCAAAGTGATAAAAAAAGTTAATTTTGTTTAATAAGATAATAAACTGAAGATAACAGTCAAATTCAACTACACTGTGAAAAAGTATAAAAATGATATCTACGAATATTCAAATTCGTAACATTTATTTATTAGTCATCTCACTTTTAATTTTTAAAATACATAACTCTGTATAAAATGACAAACGTGAACTACAAATTTTAAAACACAGTTCTCAGCCTGTAAAAAATACAACTCAACTGTTTTAAACAATCTACAATTCTTTCTTTAAGAATTTACATAATTATATATTTTGTACAAAATTACATCATTATCTTCAGGTAATACACGCAACTTTTTAACTAAAACACAACTAAAAAAGTTATATTAAAAATGTATTTCTAGTATGGCACTGCATAGATCTAACGAGCATTGACAAGTCAACGAGTACACATTATGTACACAGAACATTAATGAACAAAAATTTATACAGATCATCGTTAGAAGCATATACTTATTTTCGTTACATTTTATAGAACGATGCAAGACAAAATCATTTTTTCCTTCGTCACTTACAAACTACGCCAAAGAAACTGACGCTTTGGCACTTTGAACGAGTAAGATATATAAAAAGAGAGCTAAAAACGAGATGCACCAGTTGTAAAAATAAAAAATAATACGTGAGGTCCAAATATTTTTGATCCAATTAAAAATTTGCAACTTATTTGCTCGCGTCACAAGCTTAATCTCGAATTGACTTTTGTAACAGTTGCATAACTATTCATGATTAAAAAAAAAATGAGTTAAACAATTGACAACTTACATAATTCTTAATTTTGACATTGTTACCAGATCGCTCTTTATCTCAAAAATGTCAGTCAACAGATATAATTAAAACTTAAATAACATAAGCTTTTAAAAATATTAGTAACATTATTCATAAGTAAGTAGTTCTATTCAAATGTATATTTCACTGAACACGTCTGCAGTAGTAGCCAAGTGTTTTGCATTTTTCGCAGAGATGCTGCGGGTGAACTTTGCTTTGATCGCTTACATCCAATCCATCGGGCTTTTCTAAAGGTCTCTAGAATATAAAGTTCAATTTATGTACAATAGATCATCGACAAAAATAATTTTCGTCTTGCTATGTACTCGAATAACTTCGATTATATGTAGAAAAAGGTCATCGAAAAAATATAACAGCAAGTGTGAAATAATCTATAATCTATAATAAATCTTTTAGAAATATTAGACAGTATTTCATATCTTAATATAATCGCATGACGTAAACCATATCGAAAATTAACCGCTTGCATGAATTAATATTGTAATCTTTTATTTTGATGTCTTTTTCCGCAATAATTGAAATAAGATTTACAAATAACTTTTATCGAGAACAACAAAAAATGAAATCCAAAAGCAGCAGTTGAAACTTACACGAAGTTAACAGTTTACCGAGGTTTAAAAGTGAGAGTGAGAAAGAGTGAGAGGGAGAGATGAAGAAAGGGAGAGAGAGCGACGGCGAATCGAGCGGAATTACGGATATAATTAGCTTTAGGCGTTTATGCTTCCAACAAAAATTCGTTTGCTCTCATTTATATACCCCTCTGCTTTATATAATTCGTGCGTGTTTGCACGTGGAACTTACAACCGATGATCGCATCTAAAGATTATTCGCTGAAGTGATTGTTATCTTTAGATAGAATTGTAAGCTACGCAAGTGATTTTCGCGAATGATATTTATACAGCGAATTGAATTAGAAAATCAATTAAAAAAAAGAATGACAAATCAATTTCAAGAATACGAATGTATTCACCTGTTTGTGAGGATAAACGTTAATATGGCATTTGATGCATTCTTGGCCCATGTTGGCCCAGCTATTGCCAGACATCCACTTCCTCTTGCACTTGGGACACTTGTACTCGCCGAAGCAACGCTTTTTACCCTGATACGGCGTCTGACCTTCTCCTTTAGGACGTGCCTGGAACAATTTCTTGTTTTTTTCACAATGAACTATACGCAAATCTGAGCTTATTAACGTAATTATTTATGTAAAAGTAGCTAATGAAACAGAAGCATGGTACGTAAGAAATATTTGTTGGTTAAAAAAAAAATGAAAATTTATTACCAACGCCAATCAACCGTTGCACCCTCATCACCTTGACTCAGAAGTCAACCGTACAAAAAAAATACCTAATGTCGTAAACCGTCCGACCGTCCACAAAAGAGTGGACCCGACAAAAGAAAAAAATTCCACACGTCTCGCGATCAAAATTGGAGCATCTTGCTGGAGAAAGAGAAACTGGTGACGTCACACACATGCACACACGAGTCGTGAATGATGATGCCTTGTTTGTTGCTTCAATTAACGCTCAATTGGAGCGCACGCGCGCATGCGCGAAAAGAGCATCGCACCACGCGCGCTCACGGCATAGATCGACTAGCGTCAAATATACGCATTCAGAGCTGACTCATTGGCGTATACAGTTTTACTTGGAAGTCGTGCGAGAGCACAGCGCGCGAACGGAAACATTATAAAAAGAAGGTCTTAGCTTGATTGTACGTTTTGATAGATATTTTGATCGATGTGGTGGGTTCACCCTTCAAAGTCGTTTGAAAGTAAAAAATCGAGAATTAAATCAAAACAACCATATAGCGATGGCTTCTTATGCAACGACGAGCAGTGTGTTCAATATCAGTCGTGTTCGATGGCATTGCACCAAAATTCGACGATACATGCTTCGTGAGCCAAGCCTTGTCAATTCCGCGGATACACAATAATTTTGCTGATTTCAAAATAATTTGGCTTAACAACAAGACTCCGTCTGTTGATTTGTTCTCAATGTTGTTTAATGCTCTTGAATTATCTTTATCTCTGATTACCACGTGATTCTTCCTCTAAGTTCAAGGACAGTATAAACCATTGTTTTTTTTTGAACTGACGGGAAATCATCTGGCTTTCCGTTTTTCAATGGCATTGAACATGTCAGTATTACTCCGGCCATTAATCAAAAGCGCATCTATTGCAAAAAGCCAAGACATAAGAAACTTACTTTTGGGCAGTCTCTAATGTAATGTCCACTCCTGAAGCAAAGATGACACATGTAACCTGTAGGTGGCCTCTTAATTGGCTTTTTGTCGAGCATACAAAGTTCAGTAAAATGCTCAGTGAGATCGCCGATGCTGTCAGCCAAACTGCTGTCATATTGACATGGTCCCGAAGGACTCATCGCACTGCCTCGTAAATACGACTGATAACTGTTCTGTGAATTCCCATAATTTCCCCATATTCCCGGCAACAATTTACTCTGAAAAATTAATACACATCATTACTTCAACATTGCGTGTAGTCTTTCGAAGTGCGCAGTGTCGAGAGAAAGCATAAAAAACAAAATTTAACGAGTTTTCCGAAAGTTGAATCGCATATGTGTAGCTTACTCTAGTCCCATTGAAATTCTGATCGAAAATATATTTTACAGTAAGTTGTTTAGAAAAGCCTTCCTATGTTGAAAATTTTAAATAAAAAAATTTGTCAAATAAACGATTAAACTTACTATTAAATATACTCATTTGTAAATGTAACAAGATTCACAAATAAGTATATTTAGGATAAGACTGATAATTACATAATTATTTTTTAATTGTTACGTCGTCAAATAATTGTTATATATACCAGTATGTCGGGAAACCCCCGAAATCAACATATCAACTAACAATTGTTAAGTTGTACAAACTTTATGATAAATTTTTAACTAAACAAATATGTACCTGGTCGGCTTGGTTGCGGTCAGTGATAGCGAGATAGAACCAGTTAAGAGTTTGCGGCGAAAATTGTGATTGCTGAGGCGTTTGCTGTTGCTGCTGTAAGGCAGTGAGACTAGTATCCATATGAAGTCGCGGTTCTGCAAGAAGATGATGCTGGTGCAAAAGCTGCTGTTTATGAGGCCGACAGGTCGCCATGCTTCTGAAGCTTTCGGCTCTACCTCATTGGATATCGTTGAATCTGTAAATGTTTTTGAATAATTAGAAATTATGTCATTATCGATGACATTAAAATCGATTAAAATCGATTAAAAATGGAAACAACGGATTCTCGTTGAAGTGATTGTTATTTTTGTGGATACTCGAGTGGTCATGGTCAAAGTTTTTATTAAACAAAGTTTTTGAAGGTTATTTTTCATAAAAAAAAAACAAATATCGTTGCTAATTTAGGTTTGGAAAAGAATAATAATCAGACGAAATCGACAGTGAACATCTGCGGTGGATAAAGGCATGTTTTTCTGAAATCTTTGATCTACAAAAATACTCGTTCTATAACCACTCACTAAAATCACGACCTGTCAGTAAAAGCTAAAACTTAGACGTTCATTTGTCGAATTGGACAACAATTAATGAAATCTTTTCAAGGTGAACTCAAACAACGTCAAAACGATTTCAAATCCTATTAAATCATACTATAGCAGACGTAAACGCTATATAAACAAGATCATTCATATAATAGCATGACACGTTGGTGCTGAAATAAGGGGTGACGAACCACAAGCGCGTGCGGCGTGTCAAGCATGCCGCGCGAGCAGATCCATTCACACATGCTGTAATTCTTAAACTTTTTTTCTTAGATCCACTCGTTTTCTTAAGCCACGCGAGCTTTGTTCGCATTAAAATAAAAAGAAAAATATTTAAAAAGTACTGAGGTTTACACTGAAATATAAAAAAATAATAATTCTCAATCGTTAGCAATAAGTGAAATTCAAGAACAAAAATTCAGCGTGGTCCGATCGAAAAAATTGAACATAAAATTTAATACAAAAAAACTGCAACAATCGCATATCCTAATCAAATTCATTTCTGAAAACTTTACGGTGCTACCACTCATCTGCTGCAAAACAAACTCATATTTCGCGTATTAATTTACGTTCCAAGAATCGAACCTCGCTTCACGCTTGAGATATTGGCCTCTTTGTCTCACTCCTAACTCTCCAGTTTGCATTGGCGCCCACACTCCCACCAAGCATATAATATGTATACAAGAGCGTGAGTGCGTGCTGATTAATCGTGTCCTTTATCGATGGCACGAAAGATGCGTCGCTAGAAAAAATATAACACCACCGGATGTATATACATTGCATATACTTCGGCTCGACGAATCTTTGTGGCTTTTTCTTCTCTGCGTGCACGCTCACAAAACATAGATTTAATTTAAGAGAAATACTTGGAATTGATAGTGGACAAGCGATATTTATATATTTCATCTACTTGCATGTGATTTGAATGTGCAAATACGAAATTATATATCACATTTAATTGTGCAAATTTGTGCAACCAAAAGAAAAAAAAACGTCAATTTGAGAGCGTGTATGTTTTAATCTTGACCTTATGTACGAAAAGATAGACGGGAATTTAAAAAATCGGGGACTGACTATTGAGAGTCCAAACAAAGAATGTCATTGACAGACGAGCGCGTTCGCGTACAACGCTGCACACTTCAATAACGGTAACAGCTTGCAGACGCCAGCAATTCACAAATACGCGAAACCTTTTTTCGCCTTTTCTAACTAACAATTATATCAATCAACGATTTTTCAAACTTGCTGCTGTTGTATACTATCAATTGTATTCAGTCGCTATTTGTTTTTTTTTTCAACGTTTTAGAGAACTTTGTAAAATATAATCATTTACTTAACATAACATTTAGAGAGCTCCTGTTTTTTTATAAACAAAGGAAACGTTACTTTTGCGCACATATGATTTTCGCGAGTGTAAAATCTTTGAAAATTCGTGGCTACTGCGTGCACACGCGATTCCGCGAGTGATTCCCTCAAGCTATTTTCGGTATCCTCACTATTTGCCTTATTACTCGTTGAGCGTTTTCACGCATCGAACTTTCGAAGAACATCGAATAACAAGAAAACTCACTGTGTTGATTTCTCGACGTACACACGTAACTCCACGTTAGATTTAACACTTTGTAAGAAATTCCTATTTAAAACTTCACTTTTTTTGCAGAAACAATACACGCACAAACACACGCAAAACATGTAAATATTCGTACTTGTCATCCCATCCTATTGAAAATGAAAGGTTCTCCAGACGATCGTCAATGACAGATCGCGAGTTGGAACTTGCACTGCACGCACATACGCACGCTACGACGAAAACGAGACGAATACAAGCATAAAGAGCGAGCGAGTCGTGGCGGGCTGCAGAGACGCCCGTAATGGCAAAGACCCCCGCCATGTGGTGCGTTTAGTCTATTTCAGCTTCCTAATTCTCTCCTCTCTCTCTCTCTCTCTCTCTACTTCTCTCTCTCTCTCTCACTCCCTCTCGTTCTGCTTCTTTTTTCCAAAAGACTGCGGTTTTATAACTTACACCGCGTTTGGCTTGCGACTTTAAAATACCGCGCTTGTAATGAAATGCGCCTAGGCATTTTTGTAGAAGTGAGTTTATTATCGAAAAAAAAATTATTTTTAGACAATATTACTCTTAGAAATGGCGTGTATGAATGTGTTATTTGACCAATGAGATTAGAAGAAAGCACGATCTTAGCCATTGTTATTGTTGTTTGTTTTGAAAGGTTCACGATACATAGATAAAATTTTATAGCTAAAGAAAAATTGAGATACAAATTTTGTTATAATTTTTTTTTCGTTTGATACTATAATGTATTGAGAACTTTAATTATTATTACAAAGTGAATTTTTGTTTCGTTTGATAAAAAGCAAATTACACATTGAATACATCAACTGAACGGAATCACAATGCGAACGAAGTTTATCGCATTATTATATAGACTGACTGCTCAGTCGGTATCGGTATACGAAAAAGCGCGTTTGAACTTTCATTCTTAGAACCGTGCAAAAATACATTTTTTGACAGAAAAAACTGTCATTATGATTACGTAAAAGAGCACGAGCGCGTAGTAGCGAACATGTCAAAGCTTCGAGCAACAGCTGAGCATCCAAAATTTGCCAAGTCTTGCCTGTCATCGGACATTCTATCATTAGATCATTCCACAAAGTGTGGCTTGGCGTAAAGAAAAAAAAAACAAAAAATAAGGTACAAAAACGTCACGCCGCTCTTTAATATACACAAGTGCTACTCGTCACGCGTGTTTTTCTGCCGCTGTACAAGAGACGTGCGAGAGCCCAACCGACTTCATTGACTTCCCGTAAACCGAAATATATACGCACGCGTATGGCCGAGCTGAGATTTGGTGCGCGTTGGGGAAAACAAGACGAGTTGGAGGAAAGACTGGAATACATCGCCAGTTGTACCTCGTTGAGATCTAAACATTTACATGGCTCAGTCGTGTAACGTTTGATGTTTGCTCGTGTCTCACTTGAAATAGCAATCTACTTAAAAAATGCCGCTGTTAAAAAGGTTGTAATAAACATGTTTACCGTTTTACTAGGGTGTCGCTATTTTTTTCATTCCCCGATACACACGACTAATACGTTCCGATAATAAAAATAATTATTAGCGACAGTATTCATTTGTCGACAATAAATATTGAAATTGAAGCTGTAATAAATTCAAGTAGATAGAAAACTAACGAACTCTAGATCGCAGATGCTGAGAGAGCGGGCGATCTAACGCCGATGCGCTGACTCGTCTTGGCTTCGTTTATTGTTTGTTATATGCGTCATCTTTTTTACAGGAACAAGAATTTCATTAGATGAAAACAGGAATGTTTTAGTTATCAGCAAGTGTTTTTAAAAAAAAGTTGATGAAATTATTCACAAATAAATTTATTTTCATTAACTGCCGCGTGAAGTAAATGTTATTAAAACTATTTTAAAAAAAAGTTCATTCCGATGGGTTCAATGGTCACCGACATATTTACTTTAAAAAAAAGGGGCAATTTGAATTTAAATGTCAATAACTTTTGAAAGAATTAACATATGTAGCAAGTATGATGAAAATCGATGGTGTCAAGGTAAAAAAGGTGGTCGAAACTATTTACACTGTCCCCACGTTTAAAAGTCGAACGGAATTTAGAGGGCAGTACACGCGACGAAAAACCCCGCGAAAGAACAAAAGTAGGTCAGTAAGAGCCGCGTGTATCTCGAGCTTTCATTTAAAGTCAGCCGTTGAATAAATGAAGGTAAGAAAGCTGCGCAGGAAGCATCGGCAATGTCGAATATCGCAATTCCAACTTAGCCTTAAAGCTCTTGAAAGTTTTCGACACACGCACAGTGATCATTGCCTAATAATTACTCTATCAACTGCGTGGTACGATCCGGAAATCGTTCCGGTGCACGGAAGCATGACTGCGCGCACCGCATCCTCAATGACACGCGAGCGCTCAATTAAAACAAGCCCGAAAATCATTAAAAACGAATTGTTAATTGTACGCTCGTCGTTGTTTTTTGTTTTTTGTTTTTGTACTTCTATCTCTCACCCATCGATTCTCCCGAGCGAGCTCCACGGAGGAGCAAAACAATGTGGACGTTACCAATCCTTTATCAGCGGCGTTATCCTGCGCTCGAACGACTTTGAACTTGAACAAAGTGCGAGCACCAGTCAAGGGTAAGCACGCGAAGCGCCTCACGGCCATCGCCAGTTTAGCACCCTGCCAACTGTTCTATATATAAAAGCATCCTGATGCCGATACGATCGTCCTTATAAAGTTGAAGGTACGTAATTGCCTCCTTCGGTCCGGATCGCGTCCTCTTTAACATTCAGCCTAATTGGACTTCATTAAAGTGACATTATTTTAGTTTCATTTTTTCTTTATCTGATTTAGAACACTTTGATGCTTCAAGTTTAACGGGGATAGAGAAGTTATCATCGTGAACATCTTTTCATCGTGAATTACTTGGTAAATGCTTTTTTTCTTCTTTTTAAGGCTCAAAATATCAATTAAAGTCCCTAAAAAGGCCGCGTCATAATTTAGCGCTTATTGTAGTTTACGAGAAGGTAAGACTTGAAATCATTATTTATGATCATTTGAAGTGCAAATTTAATCGACGAATTCTTACTCCTAAGCTTCCATTACTCGAATTTCCACCTTTAAATATTTATATAAGTTAAACTACATTTTGTTTGCGAATAATGAAACTAAATCCACTATTTTTAACTAATTTTAATCTTAATTTTTACATTTTCCCTATTCTTTCAATAACTAGTCTCAATATATGATTTACCTAACCAATTGAACCCTATAAATTATAGGATTATTACTGGATGTACCCGTATTAAGCTGTCCCATTCATACAGATCGTTGCATTTGGAAATTTAGTTATTTTATTGTTAACAGTACAAGTGGTTTTCTCCGATGATTATTCAAATAAAATTCCCAGGGAATCGCCTGGTATTGACTAGTGTCAAGTCTCAAAATATCAATTATAGACCTTAAAAAGTCCCATTAACCGTAACACCTTATTTTTTGTTGGTTTACCGCGCTTTTCTTAGACTGAACACAAATAATTTTTGAAAGGCTCATTTTTTTCCTTTACATCAGTACTCCGGATTACGTGAAGGATTTTCCAAAATAGTGAATTTTACCACTTTTTTAAAGAATTTTATCGAATGCATCCAAAAAACAAAACTGATAAAACTTTGTAAAAGTTCTCATAACATTGGTGAAATGAGCTATTTCGGAAAATCCTTCTCTTAATTCGGAGTATTAATTTAAAGCAAGAAAATGAGCTCTTTAAAAATGATTTTCGTTCACTCGAACATTCAGAGAAGTGTGGCAAATCCAATTTTTTTAACAAATTAACGTGTGACGGTTCAGAGGATTTTCCTAGGGCCCTACATCAAACCTTGGGATTTGGAAAGAAAAGAAAAAGAAAGCATTTACCGAGATACTTGAAGATGTAAAAACGTTGAAGCCGATAACTTTATTAAATTTTTAGACCACGGTAAAGAAATCTTATAATTTTCACTCTTTAACACCAGCTGGTCACCTTCAGTAAAATATAAAAAGTAAAAGTTTAAAGTACACTATCGTAGCGTTTCGTGAGCTTTCATGAAATCGTAAAACATCGACAAAAGCGATGAAACGGTTGAAAATTCCAACAAATCTATTATAATTGTTAGTTGACAGAGGGGGAAACAAGCGACGTCCCGATTGAGCGTCATCCGTTACACAAATACGTAACGCGGAAAGGCATTAAAGTTCAAAAATAGGCCATCGCAACGCGAGCATTCCCTGAGTAATTAGTAGCCAAAGTTGACTCTCGAAACGTACAAAAGAAGAAAAAAAAATCCAGACACGAAAGGAGTACACAAGCCGCGTTCGACCTTGAGATTCCAGCCGATGACACCGACCGAAGCAAGGGTTGGAAACTCAGGACACGCACATCCAAAGCGACTTATGTTTTGTCTTTGCCGTTCACGTGTATTTTTGTTCTGCCATGTCGCACTCGTAGTTGCCTTTGGCGCATTATAATTCCAATCGATTAAACTACATCATTGCGAGTTAATTTGCATCGTTTTCTTGGCGTGTTAGCGAAGAACAAGCAACAGCACTTGGCCTCTTTATTTTTGTACGCCCTATACCAGCTAAGACGCTTTGTTGACATGTGTGCTTCTCAGGTCTGTGCAATGAAACGTGAGTGCCTTATATATATATTACGTCGAACGTGCGCTTCCGCCGTTTCTATTTATAAAGCCGGTGAAGTTTATCTAAACGGCGGAACAAAGTGTGCCCGAGACTTAGGATCGACGCTCGTGACTGGTAGTCGAAATTCATTTCGTTTGGAATTAATTACGCTGGATACACGACGTTATCGTGCTGCGAATCAGTGCTGAATCGTGAACGTTTTTTTTTCTTCGCCATTCTTACAGAAAATGTCATTGCAATGTACTGTTCAAAAAGGAGACGAAAATCAGCCAAGTTTGTCTATCGAGATCGTGATCCTCGAGCGAAAGTCTATTTTAATTGTTCCGGCCGGAAGCCCTCGAAAACTTTCGGACACATTGAGCTCGCGCAAACGAGAAAATCAGACCGTGTATATTGCTGCGACGACCTTTACCTTTGCCTCAAAAACTTTCTTCCGAAGTTTTATCGATTTTGATCGTTAAGACTGTGTCGTGGTGCGGACGCTGCTCCGAACGAGCGAGCGTTTCTGGGCTAAGCTCACCGAAGGGGCGTAGGAAAATCGGAGACAACGACGAGTTAGAACATAGTTGCATATACAAGAGTCAGCGGCTGTACTTCAGCCGAGACGAGGTTGCGTATAGGTCGATACTCGTGACATCGATGACAGACCATGGGGCTCGTCTCGATCTTTCTGCCCCTGTGCAGCTATTAGGCATGTATGCGGCGCGCGCGAGAGGGGGGAAAAGGCGAACGCAACGGTTTCCTTACACAGCTAGTCCGGAAAAAGGCGATCGCGCGCTTAGCGAGCGTTGCCTCGCGATTCGTCGCAGGCGCAAGCGAGACGGTCGGCGGGTAGGTAGGAGCTGCGCCACGGCGGACGTGTCCTCGAAGATCGGTCGAGCTCTTCTCCGAGCGAATCACTGGCGAGAAGCAGCGCAGGTGACACGTCGACGGCTCGGCAGCGCGATCGCGCAGCGAGCAGCGCCGCGCTGTAAGTCGCGCATGGAGCACAAAGAGGGCGGCGCAGCTATAAGAGCGAGAAGGGGGTGGCGGCTGGCTCTACGTAGCGGCGGAGAGGGGGCGACGTCGCGCGGCCCCGCACAATCGATACATCAAGCCTTTGCGCGTTTCTGTATTTTTGCCATGGAGAACGGCGAGAGAGAGAGAGAGAGAGAGAGAGAGAGAGAGAGCGCGCGAGCCGCGACGAAAACGGCGCTAGTCTGTCGCGGCAGCCCCTGCTGTCGATGCGTCGCCGATCGAGTGCTTACCCTCTTGGCATTCCTCGCTGTGGCTCGCTTTCTTGGCCGGCCGACGGGCGACTCGTCTTCTTTCTGGCTCGTTAATCGCGATGCTGCCATTTACGCGTTTCCCCGCGGAATTAGTGCGACGGTGGTTTTCGTCGCGCCGCGTGCTATCGCCGCAATAGTATCCGATAGAAGCCTCGCTTCGTTCCGTCGTTGCTAGATAAAACGCTACGGGAATCGTGATTCGAGTACAGCGCAGTACAGTGCGGGAAAGTAGATAGAGGCACTAGGGACGACGATCTCTTTGTCGAACGCGTCAGCTACGATATTTTTCAAAGCGACCCGTGGAGAGCGCCAATCCGAGCGTGCGGCAAAGTCGTACTTGCCGCACGGCGCGTTCAAAACAGCGTTTCACGTTGACTTTCGGCCCGAAACTGACGCGTGTAGGCGGAAATCGCGATGGTTTTTGGCGTCGCGCACCCTGCCTGAAATAAAAACAAAACAAAACAAAACAAAACAACGACAACGACAATTAGAGGTTTCGTTCGATTCTCGAGTCACGATGCCAGAAATTACCCAAGTGTGTCAGCGTAAACAAACAAACAACAAATTAACCTACAATTCGATTTGTCATAGACGCGCGGCTTTACTTGCAAACGATTAAGTGGCACGCGACGCACTGAACTATCGATGCGAATAATATCAACTTGGCGATCGTGGATGACATCGCCATCTCCAATTGTATACTCATAAATTTCTGCAAATGTCGACAAAGCTTTTTCTTCATTTTTTTTTAAGTGAATAAGGTGCAACGTCGAGAATCATGGAGAAGTACGAAAACATCGAGGTGGTCGGCGAGGGCAGCTACGGGATCGTGATGAAGTGCCGACACAAGGAGACCGGCCAGGTCGTAGCCATCAAAAAGTTCCTCGAATCCGTGGATAACGTGCACGTGAGAAAGTTGGCCTTTCGCGAAATTCGCATGCTCAAGGTAATGTGCATCACGCGTGCTCGACAATGCACGTCCACCGCGCCTCGCTTCGAACGGCTTTTCTCCTGCCGCTCCTGTCCGATGAGCTTCCTCGCTCTGCTTTTCACGACGCGCTGCCCGCGATTTTCCGATTGTTTCGCGCGGGCGATTGCCCACCGAACTCTACGAGGGGGCAAATCGATGCATCCCGTGACTTGACAGTTTCGCAAGAGGACGGGTGGAACAAGCGAGAGAGTTTGGCTAAAGGGAGACAACTGTCGTATGATTGCAGAGACTGAGGCACGAGAATCTCGTGAGTTTGATCGAAGTCTTCAGGCGGAAAAAGCGCTTCTACCTCGTTTTCGAGTATCTGGATCACACGATTCTCGACGAGCTCGAGGCGCTCGGCGGCGGCCTCGGCTTCGAACTTTCCCGTCGCCATATTTTCCAAGTGCTCCGTGGACTCAACTTCTGTCACGGCAATCACGTAAGCACCGCGCGAAAGTCGCTTCCGCTGGCGCTCACCGTTCGCCGCTCGCGGACAGCCCGACGACGGTGCGCGCGATCGTTCCGCACACGGAGCACTGCCTTGAATCGATTGCCGGCGAGCCAGGCCACGCCGCTGTGCGCGATAGCCCGGGTGCGAAGCCATCGCGTGCACGACGGTCGGCCGGCCGTCGCGGCGAGCAGCGCCAGCGCCAGCGACAGAGAGGAGAGAGAGAGAGAGAGAGAGAGAGGGGGGGGGCTGACGAACAACGGGCGCAGATAATGCACCGCGACGTGAAGCCGGAGAACGTGCTGGTGTCGCCGAACGGCGTGATCAAGCTCTGCGACTTTGGGTTCGCGCGCATGGTGAGCGGGGCCAACGAGTCGTGCACGGACTACGTGGCGACCAGGTGGTACCGGGCGCCGGAGCTGCTGGTCGGCGACCCGCGCTACGGCCGCGCCGTCGACACCTGGGCCGCGGGCTGCCTCTACGCCGAGATGCTGAGCGGCGAGCCGCTGTTCCCCGGCGACAGCGACGTGGACCAGCTGTTCCGCATCACGAGGCTGCTGGGTGAGTGGGCCCGGCGGGCCGGCCGCGAGAGCGCCCCGATAACCGGCGACTGCACTCGCGCAGGCGGCCTGTGCGCCCGGCACCAGGCCCTGGTGGGCCGCGGCGCGCGCAGGCCCGGCGCCGAGGGCCCGGCGCCCGCGGGCGGCAGCGCCGGCGGGCCGCGCTCGCTGCGCGCGCTGCTGCCCGGCTGCGGCGCCGCCGGCCTGGACTTCCTCTCGCAGTGCCTGCGCATGGACCCGGACGCGCGGCCCAGCTGCGCCCAGCTCGCGCAGCACCCGCTCTTCATGCAGGACGGCTTCGCCGACAAGTTCCTGCTGGAGCTGCGCGAGCAGCTGGCCAAGGAGGCGGCCGGCAAGCCGCTGCTGCGGCTGCGCCGGGACGAGGAGCGCCGCCTCAGCGTGCTGTCGCTCGACGAGCCGCCCGCCCGGCCCGGCGCCGGGCCCGCCAGGTAGGCGCCGCGCGCCGCCCGCCCCGCTCGCCGTCCGCCGCCCGGCTCGCCGTCCGCTGCGTGTTCGCAGGTGGCGCATGCGGCTCGCCAGGGACGCGTCGCTCGGCGCCGACGGGCCGGCCCCCGACGACCAGCGCCCGCAGCCGCAGCCACAGCCACAGCCGCAGCGCCAGCGCCAGCCCCAGCCCCAGCCCCAGCCCCAGCCCCAGAGCCACCTGTCACGGCCGCGCGAGCTCTGCCTCATCGGGCCGGTCAGCGTCGCGCCGAACGCCACCTACATTCGGCGCCTCGAGCACCGGGGCCTGCTGCCGGCCCTCGAGCCCGGTGCCGCCCGCGGCAGGGCCCCCTTCGCTCTGCCGGCCCTGTCGTCGTCCTCGTCCTCGTCGTCGAGGCAGCCCGCCGGCAAGAGCCTGGGCAGCAAGCGCACCAAGCTCGATCCGCTGTCGTCCCACGTGCTCGGCTGACGGCACCTCTCCAACGGCGGATCCTAGTCGGGCGTCGGCCTTCGCCTCTCCCTTCCTTCGTTGGGCGCGTCGTTCAGCGTTTTCGATCGTTTTCCCCGCGCCGCTGTTTCGGCAAGCTGCCATTTCCTTCGGTTGCGTGTCAAACTCACTCGTCGAGTACTTTCTGTGTATTTCATTGTCGCGACGCGTCGATTCAACTTTATATCGGTACAACGATGTGATAAATTTAGCTGTAAGGTTGATTGTTAGGTGATCTACGTATGCAATGAATTTCGAATAGCTTCGACGGGAGTCTAGCGTAAAGAAAAATTGATCAAATTCGCTGAATCAATGCGCTCCAACATTTCGACACCTAGCATGCTATAATCCATCTGTAAATTATTGATTACTCGCAAAGCTCATTTTGTAAATACACCGAATGTAAATTAACGTTAGGATGTTAGTGGCTGCAGCCAAATAAAATGTATTTTAACTTCTCGTCGTTGAGAGTTTAATCTACAGAGTTTAACGTTCGTGTGTAGAAGGCAAAAAGTGAAAATTTATAAATAGATGTATGTATAATTCAAAATTCGATTAAATTGTTTATAAACCAAAAAATTGCGGTAGCTTTAGCTGCTTGCACCTCGCACCCTCCTAAGTTTTTCGCGTCTTATGCAGTGTTCAAGATTAATTAAACTATTTGAAAGAATTGAATTGGAATTATATAAATATAACATAAATATTTTATTTAAAAAGTTCTAATTTCTAAGCAGCTTGGAAGACTTAGTTATAATTAAATACCCTACTAATGCTTAATATATAAAAATAGTTGTTAACGAGTGTAGTTCTCTTTGTAGATGAATTCACTTTTATTATTGAGACTTTTACATTCCTTATACCCAAATATTCAAATAAGAACCATTCGTTTTATTAAATTCATTTTATAATTTCTGATCAATCTTCAAGTTTTCATTCTCAATTGACCACTGCCAGAAGAAAAAGTCGAATCAAAAAGTAAACGAAAGCATACGAAAAGCTCGCCGGTTAATGTGATACAAACGAGCCTCCATGTTGTCGCCAGTGCGTAGACAAATCGTGCACACGATAGTTGTATGCAATCAATTTGAGGTAGCACTATCATCTTTTGCCATATACCGTTTCTACATGTTCTAATTATCGTTTCTACTCATACATCGATGGAATATTATTTTCTATTCGTCAATTTATTTATGCGTGTGTATGTAAATGTATGCAAAGACAAGCTGCACCAGATAGCCGTGGACACACCGGAGGATAGCCGTAAAAGCAGACAAATGGATTGAAATTCAAAACTCATGACCATCAAATTATAATCCTAGATAAACCGATCGCTCATTCAATTGTGTATTAATCGATGAAGTATAACTTATTTTGCCAAACCAACTTATCGGTCGATCGAGAATTGAAAAAGAATAGAAAATATTGTTGATAGCGTTTCAAGAACAATGATGTAATAATTAGAGACCCTTATAGTTCTCGTAACATCACGGTCATTTAATCTTGGTGATGTTCTCTAAAACAATCAAGCGTTCACAAAAAAAAATCATGACGCCACTAAGCCATAAAATGAACGAAATCATAGTCGAATCGTGGACACTGCTAAATCGCAACTAGAAGTACGGGTACAACTGCGGCGTGCCAAGCGCGGCCTTGCCGATCACCAATGAGAATTCGACGCGACGCGACGAGGCTAAGTCCTACGGCACGAAGAAGTCGATGAGGAGGGTGCGTTCGAGAGGCCGATGCCAAAGCGGTCGATCGGCGAAGACATCGTCACGTGTGTGGCTCAAGCGTGCTGAAGAGAATAAGGGGATTTGGTGAGCTGCCCGCAAGCTCTGTCGGCGCGACGCACCATTTCCTCTGTGTGCAGCACGCCTACCCAAAAGTGCTGTGAAACGGCGCCCCGACCTCGTCGTTGTCGGCACCGATCGACAGCAAGGTTTCTTCGAATACAAGCGGCTGCTCTTACAGGCCCATTCAAATAGAATCGGCTGATATAGCGCCTTCTTGTCGTTCATGCAAATTGACTGTCTGCACACGATAAACTTTAATCTATCGTGGTTACCTTACATATTATATTTATTTTATAACTTTATACGCATATACATAGCTGTATTACCTATGCCTAACTTACTGATCTGATTTATATAAATTCTTACCTAAACGAAAAGATTATACTTTTCTTCATAAAAGCACTAATTATCACATTAACAATTAAAACAAATGAATTTGTTATTTCGTTTTTGACGATTAGTCAATTTATTTCATGTTTCATTTAATTGATATTTCATAATGCAGATTAAACATGTACATATAACAGTGTGGACTTCGTATTTCTATAAATAGCTGTTGTTTGTCGTCGTGAAAAGCAAAAGTGAAAGTAAGTCGTAAATAAAGCCAAAAAAAAATGATGTCAAACATAAGTAATGTATTCTGTAAATTGAAATTGCAGACAACAAATAAAATCTGTCTTTCAATTGTGATACCGATTATAAATTAATATCAATTGCAAGCCCGCCAGCTGTGACGTTTACGTGTCGACATCTGTCGTGAATGATTGAGAAATATCACTTATCAAGTCGTGGTTGACGCGCGCGCGTAAGTGCGGCGATAACGTGAAATTTCAACACACACGGAGATCGCGCGGCCTGAAATTGCACGAGTTCGTTTTATTTTCGAATGGACCACAAGCAGAGTTTAGACAACAAATTTAGATATAACACGCGTTTACTGAATCTACGTACTGTTAATTTTTTAATTTAAAAATAGACGTGATGCTAATATGCATCAATAGGTTAGAATAATCTACTTGTTACCGCAAAAGCCGGCGTTCTAACGTTGTTTTGAACTGGAAATTGTAATGAAAATATAGTTGTTTATGCAGAATTTTTGATAAATTAAAATATTAGTAGTCGTAATATTGTCAAATATGTCAGTTCCGAAAATTTTGAGGTCTTTTGCTAATCAACTAACATCTAGAGCATTGCATACGTCCAATAGACTGTGAGTGTAATTTTATTTGGGTAGTGTATTAAAACATAAAAGTAAGTAATATGTCAAATTTCTATTAAAAATATGTGCTTTCATCTTAGATGTGAAGCAGTTATTATTGATGGACAAACAATTGCAGAACAAGTTCTTGAAGAAGTTAAATATGAAGTAGACGAATGGACAAGAGCTGGGAATAGAAGGCCAAAATTAGTTGCTGTTCTTGTAGGAGAAAATTCTGCAAGTAAAGCATATGTTGGAAAAAAGATCAAAGCAGCCAAAACTGTAGGAATCAATAGCCAAACTCTTAAATTTAAAGATGACATCACTCAAGAAGAACTTTTGAATCAAGTACAAAAGTTGAATGAGGATTCCTCAGTTGATGGTCTTATAGTCCAGCTGCCAGTCCCAGAACATATCAATGAAAGAAAAGTTTGCCAAGCTATTGTACCAACTAAAGATGTTGATGGATTTCATTTACAAAATATTGGCAAATTAGCTTTAAATGATAAAAGTATTATACCTGCTACAGCTCTAGGTGTTAAGGAACTGATTGTCAGATCAAAAATATCAACATTTGGTAAAAATGCAGTAATCATTGGAAGATCAAAGCACGTTGGATTTCCAATGGCTCTTCTATTTCATTCGGATGGCAATGGTAAGCAAAAACAATCAGCAAACTGAATAAATCAATGACATTAAGTATCATAAGTAATTAAATTTTTTACAGCTGAAACTTCTGGATTAGATATGACAACAACAATATGTCATCGTAATACACCTCGTGTTGAACTTGAAAGGTACACCAAGCTTGCTGATGTAGTTGTGGCAGCAGCAGGAATCCCAGGCTTAGTGACCAAAGATATGATTAAACCAGGTGCTTGTGTTATTGATGTTGGAATTTCAAGAATAAAAGTTTCTGAGGGCAAATATAGATTAGTTGGAGATGTCAATTATGAGTCAGTTAAGAAAATTGCAGGATACATCACACCTGTTCCTGGTGGTGTTGGACCAATGACTGTTGCTATGCTTATGAAGAACACCATGATTGCTACTAAAATGAGGGAGTTAGAGTGAAAAGCTATAGAATAACAATTAAAATAAGTTTTATAGAGTACTTTCATTGTTGTATACCACAGGTTGTATTTACAATCTCATTGCCTACTTGATTTGTAAAAAAATATTTTTGAGATAAATAACAACTTTATTTTTATAAAATTACAAGTGTTGCAAAATTATTTATGAAAATTGCTAACTGAACATATTTTTACGTTTCAGTACGTTCGAGGGACTAATTTTTTTTTGTGTTTAATTTGAACAGTTAAGCAAATATTTATTTAATTCGGCAAACCATTGAAATAATTGTATCTAATTGAAATATTTTCTTTACAAGCAAATTAATTTTTTTCAATAAACAAGTCACTTACTAAAAAACAACGCGTCGTAAGTGATTGAAAAAATGTAAATGTTGAAACGAGCACCTTACGAGGTAATTCTCGTACCATTTCAATTTAACTGTCACTCAAAATTTGTTCGTTGAATTTTGAAACAATTGCTCATTTTTAGTAAAAATAAGAAAGAAAAGAAAAAACGAAATATCCTATTAACACAGATATACATTGTTTTCAAACTTTTAATTAACACTTACTCCTGATGGGTTGATATCGCCGTTGAATACGCTTTTCTTTTTCTTTTTTTAGTTGCATCACACTCATATTAAATCTTACATATTAAATCGTACATACACGTACAAGCATCCAACTGCACGATTTGAAAAAAAAAGTTTACTCTCGCATATTTATGAAATCCTAATTTGCCCAGATAAGTACAATATAAACGTGAATGTTATGGTTTCTTCGATAAAAAATAAAAAAAAAAAAACGATACACTTAATTTGACTTTAAATTTTAATGATATGGTGAAAATATGTCGGAAAGCATGTCTCACTAAAAATATTGATCCATTGAGCCTCACAGAAACGTGAATTCTGCCCACAACATTTCAGTTTTACAGTCCTACTAAATGAATATTTCTTGTAGAATTGAAATTGGCCGTCGTGTACACGCCGTGTAGCACCGCGCAACAATTAAGTCAGAAAACTACGCGTTCATTCTTGCAATATAATAAGTATATTGATGAAATCGTATTAATGTTATCCAGAATTATGTTGAATTGTACTCTTATATGCTTGAAACTATCGAATTTTGATAATTGTAAACAGACTTTGCGTCAGTTCGTAATATCAAATTGGCTTACCAATATTAAACGTCTGGGGATTCGTAAAGGGATCAAGGCTGTCGCTTGTTCCGTCCCTTCGGTCGGGGCGGTCGTAGATATAAATAATTGGCCGTTGAGTCTGAGATCGAGTGCATCGCGACTCAAGTATAAGTTGGTGGGCCTGCCGTCGCACTCCCGTCCAAGAAGAAAGGACATGAATTCACGCGAACGAACGAAGAACACGACGAGCGCGCGGCGAGCGTTGGCCGTGCAGTTGTTTAACGCCGGCGTCGTCAGAGCCGGAACTCCTAGGACTCCGGTGCAGGTGGACCTGAAGCGACTGCTGGAGCATCCAGCGTTGTCGGTAAGTCGAAGTCGGTCGATCGCAGGAGCGCAGTAGGCGCGGCATGACGTTGGAACCGACGGCTTGAATAACGACTCTGTCGGCGCCTTCGTAGGCGCACTTGAGCGCTATGCTCTGGTCGCTGAAGGACCGCGGCGAGCAGTACGACCGCGTCTGCGGTATCCCCTTCGACGCGGTGTCGCGCTGCGGTATCCCCTACCGCGGCATCACTTGCGCCTACCAGATATCCAGTCAGGCCAAGATACCGATGCTCTTGCGGCATCCAGCTGCGGCGGCTGGCGGCGCGCTCGACGGCGAGTTCCAGATCGGCGACAGGGTCGTCATCGTCGACGACCAGATCTGCAACGGCAACGACATCATCGAGACGGCGGTCATCCTGCTCAAGCGCAAGCTCAAAGTTGGCGAGGCTCTGGTCGTGATCGACGGGGAACAAGGCGGCCTCGAGAATCTAGCCAACGCGGGAATCCAGGTGAAGAGTCTGTTCGGTATCTCCGAGTTGATCGGCTATTTGAAGGACGCCGCCAAGATACCGAACTGCGAGCGTGCGTCAGTGATTGAGAACGAGCAGACCGGCGTCGTATGGGAGGTGCCAGGTCGTCGCGCCAATCGGCGGATGGGCGTTTGAGCGCGTGGTCGCGAACTCGTGTCGAACAACCACTTCAGAGCGGGCGCTTCGCGAGCCTTCGAAGGAACATCGACGAATCTCGGTGCTCGTCACAGGACTGCCCGATGCTTCCAAGTATACGTCCAGAAGTTTTGGTAAATCTGCATTGAATATTTTCGAGGGTATGATTGAGTTATCTGAGAGCTTAACTAGCCGAACGCCGATGCCGTTCGCTATTGGCTTTTTCCATTCTGTGACTAACTCATACCTCCCTCCTGAAAAAATCAACTAAGTTCTTGCGTACAAATTTACTTAAGAACTTACGTAAGAAACTGTGCAATAATGTATATCAGTCCTTACGTGTAAGTTCTTATGTAAGAAATCACGCAAATTGTTACTCGATATGGCAAATTTATATATAATTATGCAGTAAGTTCTTATATAAGAACTTACTCGGTGTGATAAACGGATGGTTATTTCGGTAATTTTTTACGCACTTTTTACACGTAATTGTTTTTATTATGTATTTTACAGTTAACGTGTGCCTCTTCTTTACGGAGTAAGTTCTTTTCTAAGAACTTGTGTGAGACATTATCGAAATAAGTATTCGTTTATCATGCCGGGAACTTCTTGTATAAGAATTTGTGTAATTTCTTACATAAGAGTTTTGTCGAAATACACGTGTAAAAACTTAATGCGTTTTTAAACAAAGTCTTATGTAAGTTCTTACGCAAGTTCATACGCAAGAGCTTACTTGATATAATTTTCAGTTTTCTGGCGCCTGGGCGGAAATGGTTATTCCAATCGGCCATTCAACTATTTCACATTGTATATTGTATATGTTGTGTATGTGTAGCTGTTTCGAATGACATTACAATTGACGATCTTGACTTGAATCGTCATTCAATGAATGCATATACATCTTTCTTAATGTGGTCTGGCTGTATTGTATTTTTTAAAATTGACATTTCACTTACGCAAGAGTGTATGTGTGTCAAAATGAACATTACGAAGAGTGTATGACCTTACGCTTTCCTCCCTTGAATGACAGAAGTTTGGGCTTTCACGTATTAAGCAACTTTGCTTTTCGTGTAAACTGCATATTTTTATTTAATAAACAGCTACTCATTATGAACTAATAACGCCATCTTATCTCTTATTTTATTGTACGCCTTTGCATGATTAATCCTATGAATACGTCGAGTGAAATATTTCTGAAGAATAATAAAGATTCGAGCATAAGTCTACTGTAAACTAGCGGACGATTAAGGAACGATTATTACACAGTGCGTTGCAATAAAGATTTTTTATGGTTTCCAGGACGTTGAAAAGTTGCACAGTCGGCCCCTCGGAAATTGGGATACAAAATACAAGCATCTAAGCTTTCGATTAGTTTACTCTGAAATTCTTGATGCAATGATGACGTGTAACAATTAACAGCTGGCAAAGAAATGATTGTGTGTAATAAGTAAAAATCAATAGAAAACGACGTGCCCGCGTGTTATCTTCGGTAGCTCGTCTAAATCGATTCGATGTCATCTTCCCTTTCGCCACTTCAGAACAATTTACCGTAATATTCGCCATTAAGTGCAATAAATCTACTTACCTGTCCAAAATTCATTTCACGCCATCCCTACTAATCTACTATAATAAGGTTATTTAAATAATATAGATATTTATTTTGCACGCTGTCTATAACAGTGCTGTTAGATTCAATCTTTAAATGTATTAAAGAAACATCGCAGCCGAAAAACAAACTAGCTTCTATCATGGAACGTCGAAAAATGCGCACGTAACAGTGAAACTTGTGACGGCCGAGAATCACAGCTTTGCCGATTCGTCCGTTCGCCACTTCCATGCCGATTTTCTCTGTTCGAGGTGCGGTGAACGAGACGATTGGTGGGGCCAGGAGCGACCGACGACGACTTCGGATTTGGAGAGGAGACTGACGCGTCGGGCTGAGGGGAAAAATGATTACCGAGCAGCCTGTCGGTAATTCGATTAACGCGTTTGGGCGCATCAGCGTCCCAGCCAAAATCCTAATCCCGTTTTGGATTTTATATGCGCGTGTTTCTTTTCTTTTTTTTCGGCATTTGTAATAAAAGTAAGTGCTATTTAACTGAATGTCAGCAATCCGACTCATCTCAGCATTAGTTTCTGGCACGATTACTCTACACAGCAGGTATATTATTAACCCTCGGAGCTTTCGCGTCTCCCGAATTCATCCCGTTTTTAATAATTTGTACGGGCGACCGCGGGTACAACCCTTCTCCGTTACACGCTAAATTACTATTCGCCTGATTTATACCTCTGGTGAAAGGTGTGTAGGGCGGGGTGTTCTATACGTTATAAAAACGAAACGCGCAATTTGCCTTAGTGAAGATTGCGCCAGGAAAGTATTTCAAAAGTATCGAACGGACGTGCCAATTCATTCTGTCGAATGATCAGAGTGGACGTGACAGTCGAAAACAAAAACCGACAGGCTCGACGTATGTCCTAGGGTACACGCAGGAACGCCGAGAAGATTATAGTATCCGCACACTGATGGTTAAGTTTCGCATCGATCATTTGGTTCCCCCAACGAAAGAAGAGATTCAAATATCAGTTTACATTAAAATTGCCGGTCCGCGATTCGTTTTGATCAAGACGGCATCAAATAAAAACTCTGAAATTCCAGAAAAGCACCGCAAACACTCGTGTGATTTAATCCGTGAATTTGCAATTTTGTAGTTCAAGTTGAATCTAGATACCGGGTAGAAGTCATCGTTGCCTTCGATCTCAGAGGTATGACGTTCTGTTGCTCGATTACGCTATTTTACGCGTGCACGCGTCGATTCCGCCTGACGTCGCTTTCTACGGATTTGGCTGCGTCAAGTGCGCAGTACACACGGACACACGATATTCCACATGTAGCGAACAAATATAAAATATCGATCCTGGAGTCGTCGCGAGCTGCGCGCGCCTGCCAAGATGACAGTGATCAACGCCAAGGTGCGGATCCGTTTGAATTTCCGGCGCAGTCTGCTATTTGCGATCGAGTGTAGAAGAAGCCGTGCGACGGGGCGCATCGCGCTAATGTCAATCGGACACCTGCGCCGGTCAATTTAGCGAGCCAAATCGGGCTCGACTACCTTCGAGACGGAGCTGGCGCGTTACCGCGCTGAAATTTACAGCTCGCGGATATGCGTCGTCGGCGCTTGCTCTTCGCGTAACACGCGGCGATCCTGTTCTCGCAACTCCAATTCCGAAGGCTGCAGCACGCATCTTAAAGGAGCCGCAGGAGTTTCGGGTCGAGAGCTGCTGCCGTTATCATTTCCAGATTTCGACGCGGGTTCGGCAAGCTTCGATCGTCGCGATTCACCGTTGCTATCGCCGTTTATCCACTCGCCGCCACGAAGAATATGTCACGCCAACTTTCACCGTCGTCAGCATATGCGGCTTTCGCAGAAGAATCGCGCTCCGCATCGTTGAAAAGTACCATTTTGATAGTTCCAGTGGGCAATTCAAAATACTGAGCTTCTCGGCTTTGCCTCTAACCAAATTGTCTAAGCGCAATCCTTGAAGATGGACACAAGAAATCCACTCGGCCGATCAGCACTCTATTGTACAACGGATTCTCCTGCCGTTTATGGACTAAAAATCGCTTCCATATTGATTTTGATGGGACTCTGCATTTTATTATACGTTTATTTTCACTTTCATCGGGATGAATAGCTAACGCGATCTTGGACCGATTGTCACTATAAATGCCAATTTCATTTGTAAGTACCTCAATTTTATAAACAGAATTGACGATTGTCATATTATACGTAGTATTTACAGTCTTGGATTACGTATGATTTGTGAAAAGTCATGTATTTTATTCATTAATGCAAGTAGTCACGCGAAGAACATTGATGAATCACGCTCAGTCTGCGAAATGTGACTTTACATATATTATATATGAATTTTACTGCACTTGTAGTATGGAAAAGGTTGACAATTCCTATGCGAGAACGGACCAACGGCATTAAAATGTAGGTAAGATTTCGAATCTCCTGGGGGAGTTCAAAGTCGAGAATGGTGTACAAGGAGGTTGCATATAATTATCTCGCGTTCCGCGAGTGACTAAATAAATATCGACCATGCGTATGCTACATCATTTTCAAATTTTGATCGTTAGATAGAGGCCTAAGAATTTACGCGACTTGGACAATCTGAACAAATTGATTGTATGTATGTCTTTTTTTTTTTTTTATTTAAGTATGTATATGTCTGTTTATTAATTTTAGCCTACATGGCCCAGTAATGGACTTGGGTTTATACGTATAAAATACATCGCAATTTACAATATGCAATATTAAATAATTACAAAACTTTTTCTTACATCTAGTCTTACATATTCAATCTTACATATTATATTTTTTTTATTTTAAACACTTTCTAGTTCTATTGTGATGTTTCAAATTCTTACGCATTCTTAAAACCTTTCTTGTTTTTTCATCATTTTACAATTTACGTTTATACATTTATATATATATTACTTAATTTTACTTTTTCTACATTTTTACCTTTTTATCATTTTACATCTTATTTTTTTTGCATTTTAGTTTATATTTTTACCTTTGTACAATTTTTACAATTTTTGACATATTTTCGCAGTTTCTAATTCCCGCGTTTACATATAAAAACCCTCTCCTTTTTGCTCTTTGCTTTTTTACTGCTATTTTGTATTTACTTTTTCCCTTTGCGTTCATTGTTCGTTCCTTCTTCTCTTTGATTTATCCTTTTTCTTCATCTTCATTTTCTCTTTCTTCTTCTGCTCTTTTTTTCTTTACTTCATATTCCATTCTTTCGATCTAGGTTGCTACCTTCGAGTTATTTTTTCTCTCCTAAATTCTATTTAAATCCTTTTATAATAATTTTGTTTCGCACGTTCCTCTCTTCTATGTTTTTGTTTTGTCGCATTCACTTAATAAACACTCTAGGTTTTCAGTGCCTATTCTGCATAACGTATATTTTGTATTTTCCACGGCTTCCCAGTACTGGTGTGCTTTTTCTATATTTCCGCGTCTAATCCTAACGATTCTTTATAGTTCTTGCATTTGTTTTAACAGTTAATTATTCGAATCTCTATCGTTGCATTATTCTTTTGTACATTTAGGTTATATCTCGCTTTTTCCATCTTCGCTAATACAGCTATCCTTGGATTTCCTTTTCTGTCCCTTTTACGTCCCCTTTCATTTCTAATACTAATCTTTCTATATTTTTAATTTCTATAAGGTGCTCAAACTTATATCGTTCAAATATTTTTCTTTTTTTTTTAAGTACTCCCTGATTTTCTTTTTCCTTTTACTTCTCCAGTAGATCTTCTGTAGTCTATTATCAACAATTTTATTGTGTCTATCATCAACAACTCGATGATTCATTCGTAAGATGAATCTACGTATTTGCGTGATCTCGAATATTCAAGAATGCAAGTTATTTCCATTTTTTCAAATCCACTAGGTAAATTACATTCTAATGATTATATTAAAATAGTTTTCTCGAACAGTATTCTCTTTTTTTTTCGAAAAAGCAAATTTTTTTTAGCGACTACAACTTCAAGCAGATCGTTCTGTCGAAACTGCCAGATCATTTTTGTACGTCAAGCTAAAAAGATATCTATTATCAGCGATATAAAAATAATTTTCGTTACTGTTGGATCCTTATATCTCTCACATATTCGAATAACGTTTACTAAACATTATAGCCTTGCGTTTTCTTAACTTATTTCACAAGATTCGCAAATTTATTCTTGGCCAGACCTCGTATAAACTTGCATTTATATACCATATGCACGTCCAGCTTACTCGTAAGAGTTCATATGTCACGAACTCCGAATTCCCGAATTACCTTTCATGTAAATTTTAAGTTTACGAATTCTTTATATTCTAAATTTATAATCAAGTTTATGTAGTTGGAAAGAATAAATATAACTTAGAATATATATTATTTATATTCATAATATAAATATAAAAAATTGACCAGACATTATTAAACAAAGTGTTAAGTGAGCATTGTTGGTTGTTATTCTTATATATAGTTATATGGTCGTAACAGACAAGCATAAAGGTCGAACGTCATTTCGCTTAACTACTAGAGTATAGTTCGTTATTATTATCACATGAACCAAAAAAACTAGGATTTTAAAAGTGACTATGCGAAAATACAGCTTGGCAGCCGACGAAATAGTTACACCACGGTGCAGCTTGCAGTGCGCAAGCCGCATTTAGCCGTTACAAGTTATCAGCTGATGTGGGAAACGCAACATGTTTTTAGTTAGCGTAAGCCGGCTCGCTTGCGGCTCGATCCGTCTCTTTGCTCGCTCGTTAATAACATCCAAAAACATCAATCAAGTCAAGTACTTCGCGCAAATTGCACACGCCAACATGGTTAGGCCGAAAGTATTGGTAACACGCGTCGACGTTCCTGAGGCTGGATTGAAATTGCTCAGAGAAGAGTGAGTCACTTCACTTATCGCTTTGGTAGCTTTTCTTCACTGCGACTTTTACATTCAAATGACTGCTCTCACAGGTTCAATCTTGACATTTGGGAGCAAGAAGTGCCCATTCCCAGATCAGAGCTTATATCAAGAATAAAGGATGTTGATGCTCTCTATTGTCTTTTAACAGATAAAATTGATGATCAAGTCTTGGAAGCAGCTGGTAAAAAATTGAAAGTCGTTGCTACAATGTCTGTAGGAGTGGATCACTTAGATCTAAAAGCTTTAAAAGCTAGAAACATTCCAGTCGGATATACTCCTGGAGTTTTAACCGATGCTACTGCAGAGTTGGCAATCGCTCTATTGTTAGCTACATCAAGAAGATTAATCGAGGCTAATAAAGCAATCTACAAGTGAGTTTCCAAATGGTTGTACTTATTTATTATCTATTATTTCCTAAATACCTATTAAATAAATGCAGAGGTGAGTGGAAAGCCTGGTCCCCATCTTTTATGACTGGACCAAAACTTTCTGGCTCAAACGTGGGAATTGTAGGTCTAGGGAGGATAGGTTTTAGACTAGCTGAGTATTTGAAAAGTTTTGGAGTTGCCAATATATTTTACACTAGTCGCACTGAAAAGCCAAATGCGACGAAAATTGAACTGAAGAAAGTTGAGCTTGATAATCTGCTGAGAGAGAGTGACTTTGTCATAATTACAATTGCATTGACACCAGAAACAAGAGAGATGTTCAAAACAGAAACTTTTAAAAAAATGAAGAAAAGCTCTATTTTAATAAACATTAGCAGGGGAGAAGTAGTACATCAACCTTCATTGATAACAGCCTTGAAGAATGGTACTATCAGAGCTGCTGGATTAGATGTCATGACTCCTGAACCAATACCTCTTGATAGCGAGTTATTGAAACTGGATAATTGTAGTGAGTTGATATAAAAATTAGTATTGCAAAGGGTCCATTATTTACTTTACAATGTTCTAATGACTCTTGACTTTTAATTTATGTTTCAGTTGTTATTCCACATTTAGGAAGTGCTGCTACAGAAACTCGTAACGAGATGGCTGTAATGACTGCTAAAAATATAATTGCTGTTCTTCACAATAAACCTGAACAAATGCCAGCTTCCTTTCAATTCTAAATATGTTGAGCAGATAAATTGTTATATTATGATATTATAAAATAAATTTTTTATTTTTCTAAATGACTGAGTAAATAAATACTGAGTTTTTTAAATAACCTATAAAATAAGTGTCTTTTTTGCTTTTTACTAATCGAGTAAATACATTTTTCTATTTTACTAATGACATTTGTATAAAAAATTTGCTGATGCAACATTCAGAATGAACATTTTTTTAATTTACCGGGTTGCAGACGAAAACCAGTGGTAATCATGCTTGCTGCCTAATCATTAAATTGAGGTTGAGAACCATTGTTAGCTGGAGAGGATAGGACAGCCGACGCAGCAGATGATAAAAATGTAAATAAAGTGCACACTGTTCTGCTTACAAATAGGATGATTGTAGTGCAAAGATGACTAATATGAAATAGTGTACATAAAGTTATTGTATCAGTCACTATAAATTAGATTATACTGATGAAAAATCAAATAACAAATAGCAGAACATATTCTACCGTCTAATACTTATATTTAGCATAATAGGTTATAAATAGAAATGAACATGCAACCTAAATTTATTTATTTTGTCTTGACGTTTTTAGGTAACTTGAATTTTCTTTTATCTGCTTGTAATTAATGTGTGAACTATTATTATTAAGATATTGATGTTATTACAGCTTTAATGATTCGTATTGGAGGAGAATTAGAAAACTTAGAAGTATTACAGAAAAATGAACTTGAATCATCAAGTAATTCAACAAATACTTTATCAGGCAAAGAAAAATCAGAACAGTTAAATAGCATTACAAATGGTTCTGAAATGCCAGAAAATGAAAAAGATAACTCAAAAACTGTCGCATCAGACTCTGAGGAATTTTTAGAATTTTTAGATGCAAGTGAAATAGAAAGTAAAAATACAAATGATACTTCATTAAGTAAAAATACTAATATAACTACAGCTAATTCAACATCAATGAGTGCCACAAAAGTAAATTGTTTAGAAGATAAAGTATTTGGACCTGTTGAGGTGACCTATTTCTTATATATTTTTCTTAATAATTCAAGTCAAGATAGCTAATGATGAGTTACTTTTAGATTGTCAATTATACACGGTTAATGGAACTTTTGTTGTTGGATGCTGCACCAAATAGAACAAGAAATAGTAAAGAAGATAAAGCACTTCCAGGAACATGTATCCTTGTTATGTTTTATGCTAAATGGTGTGTATTCAGTAGTCAAGCAGCACCACACTTCAATGCTATACCTAGATTTTATCCACATCTCAAAGTTGTTGCTATTGATGCAATGAAATATCAAAAGTAAGTTATTAGTTTTTCAATCAATTTTAGATTTATGCTTATAAAAATAATGAATATTGATTTCAGTTTTAATACCCAATATGGAATTGTTGGAGTACCTACATTGATGCTTGTTCACAATGCAAAACCTGTGGCTAAATTTAATGAAACTGTGTACACTCTAGAGACTTTTTCAAAATTTGTATCTCATTTAACAAACCTGAAACCTAATGAATCTTTATATGTTACATCAGCAGACTTTAGTGGCCCAGTGTCATGTGTTCCTACAAAAGAAACTGACTACTGTTTAGTTTTGTCTTGGGTATTTATTATAGCATGTCTGCTTTACTTTACAATGCAAAGTGCGTGGTGGAAACAATTTATAGAATCTGTACAAAATACTTGGAGAGAAAGCAATGCGCAACATGAACATGTAGATTAAAATGTGTCTATATGAATTTTATTATGAACTGTTTATTGATTATTATCAACCAATTTTTTTTACTATGGTAGTTATAATTTATCTATAATTCATATTTTAAGTGATATTATAAATGATAGCATCTATAAGACGTTAATGTGAACTGTAAAAATATTGATTTATGCAACTATAATAAAATTTATAAGATATTAATAATTTTTAATATTCATATTAGCAAAGAGAGATTCTTAGTTTTAAATACAGATTTTAAATCGAAAAGAATTTTGAATCTTAATTTCTTAACGTTAGTCAATTGAGTGCTTATCTATATAACAATACAGTCTGAAGAGGTATTTAACCCATACGTTACGAAAAGTTATTAGGATACATAAAAAAATTTTAAATAATACTAATGATAGGTTTTATTAATAAAAAATGCATATTTTCTACTCTCGATAGAATTTGATAATCAACTTCCGAAAAAATCTTTACCCGCCAAAACTGAGAGATTACATACACAAGCGCAATATATACGTTGATGTATGTGCCATCTTGAAAATATCGACAGCAAAAGTTAGTAAACAGTCCAAAGGGTCAATGATAAAGTAAACATTCTTCCAATTTTAATGTATTTGTAAGAAGGTAATTTTGCGATTTTTATGTGACATTAATAAGAGTCATCAAGGAAAGTCATCATACAATAAAAATGTATTCAATCGTATCCTTTTCCAGGTGTTTTCATTTGAGTTAGCGCAAAAACTAGAAAATAAAAATGCATCGCCGGGGTGGAAAGCGAATTCGGATGGATGATCCAGTCCCTCCAGAGTATGAAACAGCTATGATTACCACTGATGCCTACGGTGGTGATAATGCTTACGGATCTCAAGCATCAGCGCACGACTTTCAAGATAATGACCCAACACTTTCTGCTCTGGGAAATATGAGAATAACCAGAAACACTCGAGCCAGACTGAGAGGAGGACCTATTCAGCAGCCAAAATACAAAGAGATTGATGAGGATTTTATTCCAACTACACCAAGTACTAGTAAACCTCGTGGAGGAGGAAGAGGACGTAATAAAAGAGCACAGCAGACTTATCATCTAGAAGATGAGACAAGTTTGTACTATGCTGTTTTCAACAACAAATCAACTCTCACAGGCATTGTTGATGAGTGGATTGAAAAGTATAAAGTTAATAAAGAAAATGCCTTGCTCATGTTGATGCAATTTTTCATCAGTGCTAGTGGTTGTAAGGGCTTGATTACTCCAGAAATGCAAACTTTAGAACATGTCCATATCATTAGAAAAATGACTGAGGAATTCGATGAAGAAAGTGGTGAATATCCTCTTATAATGACAGGTCAACAGTATAAAAAATTCAGATCAAATTTCTGTGATTTTGTGCAAATTTTGGTGCGCCAATGTCAGTATTCCATTATCTACGATCAATTCCTCATGGACAATATTATTTCATTACTTACTGGATTGTCCGATTCACAAGTTAGAGCTTTTAGACATACTGCAACTTTGGCAGCTATGAAGTTAATGACTGCTTTAGTAGATGTAGCCCTGACTGTTTCCATAAATTTGGATAACACACAGAGGCAGTATGAAGCTGAGCGTCAGAAGGCTAGAGAAAAGAGAGCAGCTGACAGATTAGAGTCATTGATGGCAAAGCGAAAAGAATTGGAAGAGAATATGGATGAAATTAAAAACATGCTGACGTATATGTTCAAATCTGTTTTTGTACACAGATACAGGGATACCCTTCCAGAAATACGTGCAATTTGTATGGCAGAAATTGGAGTTTGGATGAAAAAATTTCATCAGAATTTCCTTGATGACTCTTATCTAAAGTATATTGGTTGGACATTACATGACAAGGTAGGAGAAGTTCGATTGAAGTGTTTGCAAGCATTACAGCCATTGTATGCCTCAGAGGAATTGAAAACCAAGTTGGAATTATTCACTAGTAAATTTAAAGATCGCATCGTTGCTATGACACTGGACAAAGAGTATGACGTTGCAGTACAAGCTGTCAAATTAGTTATCTCCATTTATAAGCATCATCGTGAAATTTTGAGTGATAAAGATTGTGAACACGTTTATGAACTAGTTTATTCTTCACATAGAGCTGTTGCCCAAGCAGCTGGAGAATTCGTGAATGAACGATTCTTTACTTCCAATGAAGAAATTGAAGTGAAGACTAAACGTGGTAAAAAGCGTCTACCAAACACACCATTTATCAGAGATTTAGTCCTGTTCTTTATTGAATCAGAGCTTCATGAACATGGAGCTTATTTGGTTGATTCTTTGATAGAAGCTAACCAGATGATGAAGGATTGGGAGTGTATGACTGACTTATTATTGGAGGAACCTGGACCAAATGAAGAAGCTCTAGATAATCAGCAAGAAACATCTCTAATTGAAATTATGGTTTGCTGCATCAAACAAGCAGCAACAGGTGAGGCACCAGTTGGTAGAGGTCCTACCAGGAAAATTCTTTCAGCTAAAGAAGTGAAACAAGTGCAAGAAGACAAGCAAAAATTGACTGAGCACTTCATTCAAGTGTTGCCTCATTTATTAGATAAATATCGTGCAGATCCAGAAAAACTGGCCAACCTTCTATCTATACCTCAGTATTTTGAATTGGATATTTACACCAAGACCAGGCAAGAGCAAAATTTAGATTTTTTACTGCGCAAAATTCACGATATTGTTGATAGGTCACTCAATACAGAAGTACTGGATACAGCAGCTAAAACTCTAGAGTACATGTGCGTTCCTGGATCCGCTATTTTCACAAAATGCGATGTAGCAAGATCAACATTGATAGATGCCATTGTCATTAAGTACAGAAATGCCATCAATGAGTTTAGAAATGCCATTGACGGAAATTATCAGCCAAGCGAGGATGAAATTTTTGCTGTTCAAGAATCATTGAAAAAGGTTGCTATTTTCTATAGTTGCCACGATATGAATAACAGTGATATTTGGGATTCATTATTCAAAGATATCAAGGAATCAAGATACAGATTACCAGATGAGGCTGTAAAGTACTGCATCAGTGCTTGTTTGTTTTCTATAATTTGGTCACAGAATGATTTAATAAATTCTGCAGATTATGATAATCGAGCTGAAGAAAAATGTCAAAGACTGAAGCACAGACTACATGAGTTTATGAAATGTATGAGTTATTTCATCAATGCAGACGAAGTTGACATTCCAACTATAATAAGAGAAGAAGCTTACAATACTATTTGTGATTTACTTGTAATATTTTGCAATCAGTTAACCACTCAAAAAAATCCTCTGCTCCATCAGCTTATTTATGACCCAAATCAAAATATGCAGGATATGCTAAACAGATTCATTCAGCAATATGTTTTTTCTGAAGTGGAAGAAGAAGAACATGATGAGCATTCGAAGATTGAAGAACTTCATAAAAAGAGAAATTTCCTTGCTGCTTATTGCAAATTGATAGTCTACAATATGATTCCAACTAAGGCTGCGGCTGATGTCTTCAAACATCACGTCAAATATTACAATGATTACGGTGATATTATCAAAACCACAATAGGTAAAGCTCGGGATATCAATAAAACCAATTGTGCTCTAACAATGCAACACAGCTTAAACATTCTGTACAACGAGATTGCTGAAAAAGAAGGCAAAGTCAATAGAAACAGTGAAGAGTTTACTTCGGTGAAAGAACTTGCCAAACGTTTTGCTCTTTCTTTTGGGCTTGATGCAGTGAAAAATCGCGAAGCAATAACAGCTTTGCATAGGCAAGGAATTTTATTTGCAGTCTCTTGCCCAGATGACATTGAACCGGATCCCACTGGACCCCCACCAAATCTCTCTTACTTGGAAATTTTAAGCGAATTTACCAATAAACTTCTGAAACAAGACAAGAGAGTAGTATTAAATTTCCTTGATAAGCACCTTCAAGCAGGTATGCCGTCTTCTAGGGGAGAAGACTGGCAACCATTACTTTTATACAGAAATAGTCTTCTCCACGGTGATACTGACACAGTACCAATAACAAGCAAGCGAGCTTACACCAGACGTAGGAAAGATCAAATTGCTGAAGAAGAGGAGGCTGATGAAGGTGATGAAGGCTCTGACCACGATTTTATTGGATATTAAATGAGATGTTGATAAGAAAAATAGACAATTATTAAGTGGAACTGTGTGTATAAGCGTTTCATCTAGATTATTTATTTAAAGAAGTTTTTTTATTATTTTGATTTAATATATGTACCACTGAAGATTCTATCATTATCAATATTACATTACTTCATATATTAGCAAAACTTATTTTGCATTTCACTGACTTTTTCTTATGGAATATTGTAAATAAAATTGTAATCAATCTCGTATTAAAGGTGATATTTCGAGAAATCATTATTAAAAGGTATGTTATATTAATTTAAACAAAAAAATATAAAATTTATAATAAATTTTTTTAATAATTTATTTGTAAAATTATCCTTGAAAATTGTGAAACATTTATAATCAAGGACCTTTTTAAATAAAAAACAAAATTTTAAATATTTGATAGTGTAGTTCTCGTTTGATTAAGGTAGTAATGGTCGCTTTTTGCAGTTTGACGCTCATGGCCGACATTTTTTTCTCAACCGTTCACTTATTCACTGCGTTCACAACTTCACGATTATTGTGCACGGCATTTGTTTGCGCTGAAGTTCGTCTTTAATCAATTCGTGTCTCGCAATTCTTGTGGCGGTCTATCCGCACAACATTTCAATTTTATCCATCAAAAAAAGTAAATGTCCACTGACAAACGTTTTTCCTATTTCCCATCCTCACCAAGACCTAAAAGGTTAATTTCGTAATGACATCCCACGGTGTCCAAATTTTTTTCCCGGACCTTGGCTTACCCATCTCCTATGATCTCAGGTTAGATTGTTTATAACAATAATTTTTACTGACAAGCGTCTACGAACAATTTTTCACATTGGTTTTGTGCAAAGAAAAAACAATTTTGTGACTGACCATTAGTCATCGTAACTTGTGATACATTGAGTTCCTTGGTTCGACAGCACTGACAATATGGGTTCAGTAAGTTTAATATGCCCCATGTGCTGTCAAGAGACTTTTAGCAATTTGGAATTACTCAAGGACCATTTACTTAACGTGATGAATAATTTGTATTGCCCTGGATGCTCTGAGCAAATTCCTTCATTATCTGCGTTGATTCAACATTTAGATTGTTGTGACAATACATTTGGAAAAGGAGAAAGAAAACTCACACAGTTAGAGTGCAATAGATTAACTAATGAAAATGATAAAGTACCAGATGTGTTGATGGTAGCTATTGATTATTTTATAATTTTTATAAATATTTCATTAATAACTTATACTTACAGGAAGGTGCTGAAGATGAATTAAATGAGAGCTTTTTAGCTACTGTTAATGAAGATGGAATTATGATTATTGGTGAAGGAAGAACAATTCAAGTAGATGAAAATGGTTTGCTATTATGAATACTGATTTTGCAATGTTTTATGTTATTACTAATGCATTATTTTCATTGAAATATACTTAAAAATAATATTTATTTTTAGGTGATATTCAAGTAGTAGAAAAATCAAGTACAACAAATACAATAACTCATTGTGAAGAAGCTATTATTAACAACATGGAAGATGATACAGAAATTGATATATCTTCTGATCCAGTAAATCAGGAAGAGCAAATAAATTCTACAAAACAGGAAATATCCATGTCTAATATGCCAGATGATTCAGAAATTTTGGATGATAATGACCAAACTTACATACAGTTTTCAGAAATAGAAGATATGGAGCTTGAAGATGAATCTAGAGAAGAATCAAGAAATGTGGAAGAGCAGGTAAAAAGTCTTTAAATTTTATTAACTTTGATTGTTCCAATAGAAATAACTTGAAAATATATTTAAGCACATGAATTTTATTTTATTTATTCCACAGGGAGAAGGAGATGTTATGTTCAGTTGTAATGCATGTAGAATAAGTTTTACCAATGTAAAAGACCACTTGAGAGATTACCATCATGGAGAGGAAGTAGTATTAGAAATGAACGAGGAACAATTGAATGAAATAGAAGCAACTACCACAAAACCAATGTTACCATCTACCCGAATTGCAGACGTGAACGCGTCATCAAAAGTGTCATCGAACAATACAAAAGCAGCTCCAAGACAGAGACAATCCATGAACACATTAAGGACTGAAGAGTGTATAGATAGTGATGGAAGGACGTTTACTCGAAAAGTTGTGCAAATAGAAAGATTTTGGGATAAGTCACCAGTTAATTTGTCGTCAACAAAAGCTCCAATGATTGAAAAATTTTTCTCCAATGTCGAGGGTGTCAAAGTAAATTCAGTCTCAATGATATTATTAATTTACAATTATTTGTCTAATTCAAGGAATTTCAGGTCCGAGATAAAAGTATAACAGTTGCCCCAACGAAAATGTACAGATGTAACCAGTGCCTAGGACAGTTTGCCAAGTTGACCGATTTTCGAGTTCACAATTGTTTTCAAACAACCAACCGTTGCGAAAAATGCGACTTGACTTTTACCTCGGTGAGATCAATGCACGCGCATATGAGGACTCATCGACAGGTGAACGACTATCCTACCCTCAAAATTTTCTTATGTCAAATCTGTGGAACAGAGTTCTTAACGCACAAAAGCTTACAATTGCACAAGAGGATGCATCAACCGGTCAAATCACGCCATGTCGATGCACCTGAGGGTACCGAAGAGGAAACATTTGAATGTCCTGATTGCGGTATTTAGTGAATTTCACATATTCTTATCAACATTGTGAAAAAATTTACAGTATTGCTGTATAATCGTTTTCTTTCTGTTTAGGGAAAATTCTCGCAGAAGCGTACAGAGCTGCACATATGGCCACACACGAAGGCGACTCAATCACATGTATCATTTGCAATCGAAAATTCGATTCCGAGGAGAGTTTACAAATGCATAGGGCAGTTCATGCCGAATCAGGCGTCGATGCTTTGAATGCATCGACGAATGAAATTATTATCCCAGATATACAAGATCCCATAGAGCCAATATTAGATACCAACAATTCGGCAAATGAAATAGTTACCGGCGAAAAAGTCGACGACGAGATTGCAATTCAGAAACCTTATCAGTGTCAGCATTGTGGTCGTCGGTTCACAAGACCTCACGAGAAAGTAAAGCACGAAAGGATACATACAGGAGAGAAGCCGCACGTCTGCGAGGTATTTAATATTGTAGATCAATAGTTGTACATTCATTGTATAGTATATAAAAAATTAAAGACAATCGATTTGGTAAATATCACGATTCTTCAGAAAGTACACCGTTTAATAATTGAGATTCACAGCCGGGCTGATTATTCACAGTATCATTAAAATAAGTTAAGACCGCGTGCTAAAACGTTATGTTTTATACTATTCAAACAAAATGACGTCCCTTTCTATCGATAACCATTAAATAACTATTTGATTTTGTTGTAGGTCTGTGGTAAGACATTCCGAGTTTCCTATTGCCTGACTCTCCACATGCGCACTCATACCGGTGTCCGACCGTACGAGTGTCAGCATTGTGGCAAGCGTTTTAAGGCTTCTTCGGTGTATAACCATCATCTGTTGACTCACGGTGATGAGCGCGCTTACACCTGTCCATACTGCCCCAAAACTTTCAAGACCCGCGTGCAATTGGCTGGTCACAAGAATAGTCACACTAAACCTTTCCGCTGTACCGAGTGTTCACGACCGTTCGCTTCCCTCTATGCGGCTCGTTCGCACATGCAAACTCATAAAAAGGACAACAATTTGAAATTTAGTTGCAACATCTGCGGTGCCTCGTACGGCCGAGCTTTTGCTTTGAAGGATCATCTGAAGCAACACGAAAACGACCATTCGGCTACGCTACCACCAGAGGCTTCGAGGGAAGAAGAAGTACAAGTAGATTTCTTACTACGAGACGATGTGGAAGTTGTTGGTGAAGAGTTAATTGTGCCTTCGCCGCCTCCGCCTGCTTGTGAATCGATAGAGAGTATTGAATTAGCTGAGTAAGATTTCCCGTTGAGTTTGCGCGTTATGAACAATTTCATTCTTTTTTTCTCCTCTTTTATTAGGCCTTTGATGCTGCTATTTTTTTTTTTTTACAAGGCCAATATTGTAAAAAGATATTAGTGCAGAGTTTGACACTTGTTTTTCTAGGTAGCTTGATCAACAAATCAATCTTCAGTCTAGATAATCGTAATTAAAATGATACTGTCTTATTTCATATTTTTTATTATTCAAAGACAATAAGCTATTCTTTACAGCTAGAATCATTTCTGGCAGTAATTAATTCGAAAGATATTTTTCAAATGTCTATATCTACTTTGATATGTATACACATTACTTATTCGAATTAATAGATTTACTTCAATCTATCTTTCACCGCTGAACTTATCGTTTCCAATAATGTTCTCAAGCTAATTATTAATTGCTCACATCTACATAGTACAAATTCAAAATGACAGACCTTATACATACCTATTGTAATGTATTCCTGTGAAATAATCGTGTTGATAATGTATCGAAGAATTATCATTAAATTTCTTAAAATTGACATAATAATAGTTGAACGTGAGGAGGTAACGATGGTTCTTTTGTACATTATGAAAAAAATAAATCAACTATCACGCGGTAAGCGGCGACAGTATGTTTTAATTGTACATCGACCGAGACTCGACATTAATTAATCTGTGTCGCTGCACGCACGTGTATTTACCCGACGGCACGTACCAAATAAACTCAACGCTATGTAAACTAAGTCATCTGCTTGTTGAATATTTTGTTCACTCTAGCCCAAGTTGATATCGTCCAAATTCAAAGTTGTCGAGAATTTGGCAAATAAAACTATATGTTAGCCGCGAATCCGTCACCTGCTGATGTTCCGAATTGTCGAGTCAAGTTGCTTACTCGGCACGGTAAGTATTTCGGATAGACGTCGCCGTAGTTGCATTATCCATCAAATCTTATAAATGCGAATCCAATAGAAATAGCAGCGTCCAGGAGATGCGAGCATATCAATGCTTCCATTTCTTGGTAAAATACAGCTGCGATCAATCTCGGTGCAGATAGTTACGACAGAGTTTCGGCGTTCGTGCTCCAGCAAATCGACTACCATTGCTTACGTTTTCACTGCGTCCGTTTACATTAAAGAAGCACACACCGCTTGATCATGATTACGTGTACCGACACGTATATATGTAACAACTGAACCAGTGCAAGGGTCAAGCGTTCAAACCAAAAAAAACAGCCTAAGTATCTGTCGGTTGCGGTGTTGGCGTTTATCGCGAGTCGAGTACCGTTCACCAACCTTGTCATTCGTCTGTCCTGTGGCAAGAGATTAGCATCAAAACCATAATAATTTTCCGTATCGATGCTAATTAAACAGCTCGTTATTCAGCTGCTCGGTTTTAAAGAGACGTACCATTGATATATGAATATTTAAGACAGTTATTTCTTTTTTATAGATACTTGTACAGGAGATGAAGGAAAGATCTCACTTTCAATGCAAATCGCGAAAGCTGCGATAGCCATCAATAGCAGCTCATTAACAATGCGCATACGATGTAGATGTGTTAATCGTATGGGCATATATTACGCGGAACGACCACCAGCGGACGGCATTAGTAACGCTTCGATAATTCAAGACACCGAAATTCCTCGCAAGGCCGTGGCATAGAAATAAATGAATGAATAAAAAGCTCGTGATCGATTAGTAAAATCGAGCGTTAAATCACAAGGACGACCGCGAAATCTTATTCTGCGCTCGAATAAATCACGTCATTCCCGCGCGGCTACGAGAGTCAAATTGGCGCGCTGCAGCAAAGTGCACGCGGATGATCTCTCGTTTCGTAAACTTGCTGACGCTATATAGCGGCGGAAAGCGAAACGCGTGGTTCGTCGATCGCCAGCCAGAAATCAAAGCCGACCGATTGTCCGCGCAAGAGCGAGACAGTCGCTGTATTGATCAGCTGTGTGAGAGGCGGTGCAGCCCTGGAAACAGATGATTGCGACGGCACACCCACGCGGCCAGCCGAGTCGGACGCATTTGTGTGGGTAAAAACTACGTGGCCCTGTCACCCATTGTTCCGGCGTTCTCTCGCCCTCGACTCTCTTTTTTTGCTATCGTCAATGCGTTTCGCCATGAGGCTCGCCGTTCTCGCGATCTTACTAGGCTGCAGCGTCACCTTCGCCAGCGAAGTCAAATATTCTCGCGCCGTTGTCGAGGTAAGTGATGATGTTTGGCTGTCCGAGGAGATATGCGAGACGAGTTGTTTGTTTTTTTTTTCTCGTCATCGTTTGCTTCGCTATGGTTGCAGAGCTGCAAGGGTTGCCAGTTAAATCAGTTGCCCGAAATCAGGAAGTTCATATTCGAAGATCTGCCTCATTAGTATCCTTTACAAAAATGATTGTATTCGTCGTAATTTTTTCATAAAACCATAGAAAAAATAGTTTTCCTTAATGAAAAGATTTCAGTGAAAATGTCGAATACAAGCACATTCAGGGTGAACCTCCGGAATTAGTTCTCTATGATCGTTATGATGAGGTAAAGTTATTTGTCTGTTTGTACGTACATGATAACTTGTGCAATTGCTGTAAAACTTTTATTTTTATCAACTTTGTATCATGTGTATCAATTATTCTTACGCGATTACGCATAGTCACCTTGTGATATAAAGTTCTTTGATCATTACGAATTCACATCGGGATATCTTTTCGCGACTAGCATTGATTTGTAAAATTTGTATATAGATCTTTCAATTTTTTTTTCGTTGTTTTAAACGCAGGAAGTGGAACGATTGAAGCTGGCCAAATTGACGCGCGATGAGTGCAACGAACTACTCGTGTCCAAGGGATTCAAACGCTCATCGTCAGCAGCCAAGGACGAGATGTAAATCCACCATAGATTTGTCAATGCCGCATGATCGATAACAATGATTGATCCACAATTAAATAATAAGCGCACGCAAGTCGCACAAAAAAAGAACGTAACACACAGTTGTACACAAGCGTATAGAGGCACCCGAGAGAAGAAAAGGAAGCATTTTTAAGTTTTAACGTGTAATTTTTGTTTTTCTTTTGTTCGTTTAAAAAAAAAGTAAATAAATAAACCGTAGACCGAGGGGAGTGCATATAGGAAGCTCTCCTCTCGATGGAGCTGCAATCTGTGATAATACCACTAGGAATCGAAAACGCAATTGCGTACACGTCACAAAAACAAATGAAAAAATCTACCATCCATCATCGTGCAAATCGTATAAGGTACGCAAAAAGCGCGTAAACGTGTTTTTTCGTGTCGTGCACTATAATATTTCTCTACTACACTTTCTCTCTCTCTCTTTCTCTCTTTCTCTCTCTCTCTCTCTCTCTCTCTCTCTCTCTCTCCTCTCTATATAATATACTTTTCATAAACATTATTCTTCTCGTGCTCTGATTATCATTCGTTTTTCTCCTATCTGCAAGCCTTCGTCCTGTCCGTAGAGTTAACGCAGCAATAATATTTCAACGTTTCACGTCCATTCGCGTGTAAATATCGTAGATATTTTCATGATGCTCGGCATATAAGGTAGCGTTTTGATAGTGTGCTTTGTGTTATATTTTTGTATTCTCTCACACTGTGTATCTTAATATATGCACTTATAATGCAAACAGCAAGAATCTTTCATCGACGTTGTTTTTCTTTTTATACTATGCGGTTTATTTTTTACATATGATTTTACACATTCTTATAAAATGCACAAAGTATCAACAAACGATAACAAAAATTTTACATAAAGATTTTTTCACGGGACTTTAATAAGAGTCGACAATTTTATCGCTGTAATGAAGATAAACGATGTTTTCGAGAATCAGTTCTAATTCTTTTTATTTGGTATTAGGTAACAATGTAAATGTAAATTATAATGTAGCGTGCAAAATTGCAACGTATGAGAAAATTGCTGACAAGTTAACATGACAAAAAGTAAACTGCTGCGGCTAGCGCACTCAGTATCAAATGTAGTTTGTTAAAAGAAATACAGTTATGCAGTGTTGCCAGTTAAATCTCGGACAGTCTTAACTTGTGTGTTCAAATTATTCAATTATTAAAGAACTGCATGATGTGCTTTCAAATCATATACTGTATCAGTGCAATAATTCGCACGGAATGTAAAACTGACAGAAAGTTACAATCATTGTAAGATTTGTAGTTGATTGATTAAGGCAAGACCGTGTTACAATTTTCGAAATAATGTAAATTTTATCATATATGTGTATCTCGAGTGAATAAAGAAATCACAAATTACTTAAAAAATTACTTAACTTAATACCTAGTCCCTTTTCTGTCTGTGTTCTTCCCTTTTGTATTAAAAAAAATCCACCATTTTCACTGATGTACTTTATGTAAGGGAGTTATTCATGACCAATGCGTATACTACAACCATTGTAATACTGACGTACTACAAGTTAATAGTTAATTGTTATGCTTTAAACCATCAAATACTCTCAATGACCAAATCAAGAGTGTAAATGTTTTTAAGAGTGTAAATTATTCCTAAGGTTTCTTAAAAACTAAATTATATACAGATTAGATGCCTAATAGTACAACGATAACTGCTTTGGCATTAGTAAAGTATAGTATTTGAAGTATGTAAATTTAAATTTTCAATGTGATTGACAAATACTTTGTGTAGCTGAGGGCATTTATATACATATATTCAAATAATTAATAGTGCCTCCAGGACATAAACTCATTATTCGGCATGAAAAAATTTGCGATTTATTGCGTATACAAGTTGATATTTGGTCGTGTACCACATTTTTAGAGAAAATTTCGTGAAATTTTCATACACGTAATTATAACCTTAAATATTAGATGTACACAATCGTATATCGAAAATTATGCACTTGTTTAAAAAGAAAAAATATAAGAACGTTAATTATTTTGCTAAATATACAATGTACGTATCCAATTCTTATCATGCACCAACGATTTTTAATCGAATTTATCAGGTATACTCGAAGTATTTAATTTTGACATACTACTTTCTTTTTAAAGGAATGCAGAATTTTCTGTGCACAATTGTGTACCTATATTGTTTGGAATTTTAATTACATGTAACACTTCACGGAATTTTCTTATTAAAAACGAAGCGTCCAATTAAATATTATCTTCGACACGTAATAATTCACAAATTTGTTCGTATGTAATAATGCAGTGTATTATAATTTTGTACATGAACGGTTCTCTGTCGCCTTTAAAACCAAGTTGTTCAAATTTTACGCATAACATAAGGTAATGAATCGATATGTGCAAAGTATTCAAAGTTATAATAAAATAATTATGCATTTCTTTCATTTTAATTGCAGTTATTGAGAATTAACTGCTTTTTAAAACCTTTGAGTTAGTTTGAAAAATTTCAGTCAATAGCACTCAAGGTTTTACATACAAATTCACGTCGATAGGTATGATTTTTTTTCTTTTACTTAAGCAACGATGTTGTTGTACAGTAAGTAATATCATTCAAAATATTGTGTTTAATAAAAAGACGCAGTTACTACGACATTTTACTTACAACAAAACTTTCTACTATTAAAATTTTGTTCTTAAAATATACAGGAAAAAGTCGATGTATTAGTACAAGAAGTGGATGAGTGGACTTATAGATCCAGGAATCATACCCTGGAACAAATGTTATGCCAAGAGTAACCAAACAATGAAGGCAAATGCCAACCACAAAAACAATTTTGAGAGAAACGTTTCTTCTTCAAACTGAGGACCTCCATGAGGTGCTGGAAAAAATAGTATTAAAATTAATTCATGCGATTGTCTTGAAACACTTACATTAGAAATTTTGTTTCACATTGAAAAGTAAAAAGTACCTGCACTTGGTCTTGAATCACCATAGTTGAAAGAAGAAGTGAAAAATCCAAATGGGAAAGCACCAATACCAAATGACAAGTGAAAAGTACCATCGCCAAAACCAAAACCAGGGAAGCCTATGTTGGCTTCGTGCTCTGATCTTTGGCCCATCGGACGAGGTGGCACATTATTCCTAATAGCAAACAAAAAAAATACAGTCAGCCACTTGCATTCTAACTGCACTTAGAACCAAAAGAAATAGTAAAAATAACCTTGGATCTTCCTGTTTTGTAGCTCCACGACCATAAAGTGGAATAACTTTTTCTCTACTGATAGCAGCTTTGCAAACAGGACAAACTTGTCGTGTGGGGCGTGTTTCCAGCCATTGATGCAAGCAGGGCCAGCTGTAATTGGTAAAATATTTTTCTTTCAGTGCTGGATGGTATATTAAACAGTTACAACTGATAAAGTCGATACAATCAGCATTACTACAGTTGTTTTGTCAATGACTTGAGCCCAACTTAAGCCAAAATACGCTTACTTGTGTATTTTGTAGAACTACGTTTTATCACTTTATCAACTGAAATCAAAACAGACGTAACACAATCGAATGATTACGTCTGCTTAGATTGGTGAATATGGGAGAGGGGAGGATGCGCACACACGTATAGAAATAATAACATACCAAAACAAGTGTCCACACATACTAACGACCGCATCTTTGGCTGTGTCGAGGCAAATGTTGCACTCAAACATACGATCGTCCTTTTCTTTCTCCTCGGTTTGAGCATTGGGAGGAGTGTTGGACGGTCCAGGTTGTTCTTCTGTGCTGGTCACCATCTTCTCGCACTAACCGAAGGGCGGACTCTTGCACACACCAAAATTCTCTCACGAAGCTTCCAGAATTCCCGACTTTCCTCGTTTCTTCTCGTGACGAGATTTAATCAGAAAACTTGTCTTTCGCTCGTTCAATATACGGACTTGACTTTCTTTTTGTCAACTGGCACTTGCACACGTATGTACACACGCACGACGCACGGCACACGCACTAATAGCGACTCGTTGCTGCTGGTGCTCTTGATAGCATGATGTAGACTGGCCATGCGCGATTATATGGGCGACGATGGCGAAGTTGCTCGAGCTGAACACCACGTAAGTGAACGGAGCGATAGGTACGCTTGACGCACGTACACCGCTAGCTTGACGATACGCAGGCGCCGTCAGAGTGGAAAATACGAGTGTATGCGTGTGTGCGCCCGTGTGTATTTTTACGACTGTATTTCAGTGCGGCGAAATTATTTGGGTGGGGATATGCACGTGATTTGGACTGTATTCCTTGGTAGTATGTATAGGATTGGAGGAAGGTTCGACTTTTGAACTGCGGCTGATCGATCGATGCTTATTTTCGTGGATGCAGTGTTTGCTTTTTATTCGGCTGGAAATTCAAGGATTACAATGCTTTATTCCAACGTTGAATTGGTGTTTATAGCGTATATTTTACCTTCTCAATTGCTGTTGTAAAACCGTGACTAGGTATATACATTCGAAGTTTGATTTTCAAGCAAATTTCGAAAGATGTGGATGGTAAAATTAATGCATTCACTATATGGTGGAATTAAAAAAATTAATTAGGTTATTTACAAAATGTAATCTAAAAACTTACATCTTCCATTACAAGTGAAATATTTCTAATGAAATTCATTAGCAATACATAAAAAAAAATACTAGCTATTCTGATTTTCGATTTTAACTACAATAATTAATTAAAAGATGCAATAGTGAATCGCGTGGCTTCTATTGAAGCTCATTGTTCACTTGGTTAGTCTGTTATTTTAACATGTAAATAATATATTTGTAAAATCATGAAAAATAAGAATTCTCGCAGATGTTTTTCTGTTTTGCGTCAGGGTCATCAGGGATTGTCCACGCGTGCTACCCCATACCCCTATCTCGTACCCTAAGGTCTACCACGTTCAAATGTTCTATGATAGGTACGTCATTTTTACAATTCTGTGATCATGGAAGAGTTCAGTAACCATTTAAGCCACGGAGACTAACCATTGATTTAAAATGCGAGTAACGCGGAAGCATGCGGAAGTAACTATTCCATAGACGCCCCATATAGATGCATTACTCACATTGGTTACTGAACTCTCCCATGATCACGGAATTGTAAAGATGGCGTAACCCTAGAAAATTTGGACAGGACTGTATATAGGCCTCGGGGTACGGGCTAGGGGGTAAGCGGTAACACGTAGATAATTCCTCAAGTCCAGCTGGACAGAACTATAAACGAAGGCGGCCAATTCAGTATCTCTCGTCGTGATAATCACGAATGTATAGATTGGAGTGAATCGCCGGCCATTTTTCCTTAGCTCGGCCCAGCACTGCGATCAAGTCCCAAAGAAATAAGACAAGCCATTGGAGAGATAATTGTTTGGCAGGTTGCATTTTGCAAATAAGCTGATTGATTGCTTCTTTTCAATTTTTCCGTAAACCAACTAAATGTTTCTTTTCAAGGGACTTTGGATTATCTAACGAAATGATAAACGCTTGAAATTGGTCGTGTCGAAAATTGCTCGGAAATTCCTGTTTTTTTCTATCTTTCGATCGCTACCAAAAAATTTGTAGGCGCAGTCCCGTTCAAAATTTCAAGGCTGTCCATTGCTTCTACATAGATATACAAACCTATATCCGGCAATGGGCGCTCCTTTGTTTCATGAATTTTTCTCGGAGAGCAACGTAGGGAGTCGCAAAAATTATCACGTACCAATTTTGCGGCGCCGTTTGCGCTAAAGCAAGTTGAGATGATCCGTTGCAGTTCTTTTTCAGAATGGTTTCTTGAAAATGAACTCAAAACGTAGCTTTCATCAATCTAAATAAAACAAATTACGAACGCATATTTCACAGTGAATAATCTATTAAAACCTGAAAATATCGAGCCACATTATTTGCTGATAATTTATTTAGCAAATAAATAAATTGCTTTGGCGGAAACCGCACCGTTATATCTGTATGTCATGATTTTTGCAAATTGCCACGTCACTCCACCGAGAAAAATTGGTGGAACGAAAGAGCGCCCACAGACGGATATAGGTTTGTATGTATGCGTAGGGGCAGGGAGGGGGGCTATACGAGGCCCATTTTAATGCGGATTTCTTTCACCAAGTTATGAACTCCGAAAGCGAGCTGCTCATCTCTCTTAAACGGTAGTAATGCCCAACTGTTTTCACGATCGACAAGCTCGTTCAAGCTGCTCGCGCTCAACCGTGATCGCGGTCGGTCGAGCTCTGCCTGTGAGACGGGCGTTAGAGAGGAGCGAAAGGACGCGCGTGTTTCGGAAGCGAACCGCGGGCACCAACGGCGACGGAATGAGAGCCTGCAACGTGCGCCAGAACGGCTTACTCGCGATTATCGATTGTGCGCCGAGCGGATGACTTGGTTACCTTGGTATCGCTTCGCGGCATCGTAACGCCGGCGGCAGGAGCACGCGTATGCGAGCTTTCTCTCGATGACGGGCCTGCGATCGAGCGGCCACTCGCTGGCACTCGGTGCGCGAGTTCTGGAACGGCGTAGATTAGCGGATTACGAACGATGCCCTGCAACGAGTGAAATAGAGTGTAACCAAAAACAAAAAAAGAGAAAAAGGCCGGCTGGCCGCGCGTGCAGTGTCGCGGAGTCGCATCGCACTGAAGTTGATCCGAGAAACATCCAAAATAAAGGAAGCGCACAAGCTCGGGACCGGCCGAGTGTGCGATCCGAGTCTCGAAGTAAGTACATCGATCGGTTGCGAGCGGCTCTGCCGAGCAGCTGCGCGGCTCCAGGTCGGCGATGCTGCGGACGCAGAGTGGAGCCGACCGGGCGAGCAGCCCGAAGGCGCATCGCCCGCCGACGCGGCAGGTGCGCCCGCAGCGGCACGGGAGCAGGTCGAGCCAGCGCCCGCGAGACGAGCCCGAGCGAGCGCCTCCGCTCGCCCAGCAGCAGCAGCAGCAGCAGCAGCAGCAGCAGCAGCAGCAGCAGCAGCAGCAGCAGCAGCAGCAGCAGCAGCAGCAGCAGCGCCATCGCTCGACGACGACGGCGACGGCGATGACTATCCTGCAGCGACGGGAGCAGCTGCGCGTCTTCGACGAGGACGGCGAGGACGTGACGCCCAAAACGCTCGTGCACCCCGAGTACGCGGCGACTAAGCGCACGGCCTTCGACGCGATCGCGGCGCTGGCTTGGTCGGCGTCGGTGCTCGGCGCCCAGCCCCAGACCCGTAGGCCCAGCCTGGCCACCGTCTCGTCCTTTTTCTCGGTCTACACGTTGGACGAGATCCTCGCGGCCAGGGCCGGGCAGCGCAGCGACAGCCTGCTCGGCTCGCCGGGCGGCTCCGCGCGCGGCCTCGAGCCGCCGCCGCCGCCGCCGGGGGACGGCGACAGCGACGCGCCCTCGCAGTACCACCTGTCCAGGTGAGCGCCGGCCCCCCCGCGTCGCGCCGCCCGCTGACGTTCCGCGGCCTGCCCCCAGGATCGAGTCGCGAGAGCGACTGTCGCCGGGACAGCGCGTGACGCTGCGCCTGCGCGAGACCGAGACGCTGTTCCTGTTCGAGCTGGCCCAGCTGACCGAGGACGCGGACACGGAGGCGGGCGCGGCGGCGCTCGCCGACAACCGGCGCTACGCGCGGCTGCGCGGCGGCGCCGGCCGCAAGAGCGTTCACGCCGAGAGCCAGACGCCGCAGGTCTACGCGAGGAGCAGGGCGAGCTGCGCGCCGCGCCAGGCGCGCAAGAACCGGGCGACCCACGTCAACGATTGGGTGATGCACGACGACCGGCAGGACCGGCAGGACCGGCAGGACCGGCAGGACCGGCAGGACCGCCAGCTGGCGCGGCTCGGCGAGCGCGCCGAGTTCGAGGAGGCGGCGCGCGTCGCGCTGCGCATCCTCGCCAGCCGCGACTTCGGCGCGGCGCAGAGGCGCTTCGCCGGCCTCCTCCGCCAGGACCCGTGCGACCCGGGCCTGTGCCTCGTCTACGCCCCGGAGCTGCTTTGGCGGCACGTCAGCCCAAGGACCCGCGGCCGGGCCGTGGCGGCGTTCCGCTGGAACCCCGCCAACCGCAGCCTGCTGGCCGTGGGCTACGAGGCCCGCGGCGGCGCGGTAAGCCGGCGTCGGCCACTCGCCGCGGCGGGCCCGGCCGCGCGGCCCTCACGCGCTCGCCCTTGCAGGCCGCGGACGACGGCCGCCCACGGGGATCGGTGCTCGTCTGGTGCGCCAAGAACCCGGCCGAGCCGGACCGCTTCTACGAGTTCGAGAGCGCCGTCAGCGACCTCGACTGGAGCGGCACGAGGCCGCACCTCCTGGCGGTCGGCTTCCACGACGGCGACGTCCGCGTGATCGACGTCAGCGGCAGCCGGCTGAGCGTGGCGTGGCGCGCCGGGGCCGGGCCGGCGCCCGCCTTCGAGCCCCACTGGCAGGTAGGTAGCCCAGCGCCCGCTCCCGGCCGGCGAGTCCTCACGGGCGTCCGGTCGGCGTTGCAGGTGCAGTGGTGGCCGGCGGACGACGAGCCGGGGCCATCGCCGGCGCCTCGCGAGCAGCTGTTCACGAGCAACCGGGACGGCCGGATCTGCTGCTACCCGCCCAGCGAGGAGTTCGCGGCTCGCGAGATCTTCCGCTTGCAGCGGATCGAGGGCAGGATCCCCGGGGTGCCGAGGGTCGGTCACTGTCTCGCCAACGAGGTGCCGCTGAACAGGCATCCGGGCGCGCTGCTTCTCCGCCGGTGGCCCGGTCGACCCGGCGGTTACCTCATCGGCACCGACGAGGGCTGCGTGCTCAGATGCTCCATCGCTCAGCCGCACACTCAGGTCGGCGTTGCCTTTTTGGCGCACGACGGCCCGATTTACAGCCTCGAGTTCTCGCCCTTCTGCGATCGACTGATACTCACTTGTGGCGCCGACTGGACCGCTAGAATATGGGCCGACGGTCTGGAGGAGCCGTTGCTCAAGTTCTCCACCAAGATGGCCTGCGTCAATGCGGCCGCTTGGAGCCCCTGTCATTCCACGATTTTCGCTTACGCCGTGGAGGACGAGGTATCGCTTGCCCTTGTCCGTTGCCCAACGACGAAGGACGCTGCGTTTAGCGCCAGTTTTCGTTGCAGATATGCATCTGGGACTTGAGACGCAAGTCCCACGGACCGGCTTCGGTGACGAAGGTAGCATCGTCCAAGACGACCGTCGTCAAATTGGAATTCACGCACAGCGGCGAGCAGCTTGTCGCCGCTGACGACCAAGGTGTCGTTCACGTGTACGGTCTTACGGGGATGCCACTGCCTCCTCTCGACCAGACTCGGACACTCGTCGACGCTCTGCGCCAAGCTCTCGTTACCAAGCCCGAGCTTTTTAAGAAACTTCAGAAACTTGGCTCGCCTTTCGACAAGTCGTGATCCCATTTTCTTCTTGTAAAGTCGACCACGTATCGTTATTGTAAATATACAGCAACAAGCTAGTTTCTTAAGGAAACCTTCGTTGTTCTTTTCAGTGGGTATTATTGCATAGGAATATAAAAATTTCATTTACGCATGATTTTTTTTTATTGAGAAAAATGCTTTTCGTTATCAGTCATCATACCAATATAAAAATTAATCACTCGTGATGAGAAGTTATGACTTTACTTCATACACACATAATTCATACGTCAGCTATTGCCTCAGCGCGAATCTCTAAAAACTAGCATAAACGTTAAAAGTATAAACGTACGCGATATTATTATGCGTTTAATTATAATTATTATACAGAGTATTACAAATCACGCATTGCCTCGAAGTCAATCGGTTGTCGAGCTAACGCAATTTATTTTCACTCATACTTCCTCGCGGATATATAAATTTGTATAATATATATAATACGGTTAATTTCATTCAACGATACATCTCATAAATAAAATACAATAATCTTCTTGATTAGCTATCTCGTGTATAAGTTTGCGACCAAAAAAACATGCAAAAACATACACGTCAAAGTGGACCCTCGTTTTCTTTGGTTAATACGTTACGTCGTCGTGTCATTCGATTAAGCAGTAATACATAATCAAAGGAGACAATATAAAATTTGTTAGGCTGTGCGTCAATCTCATCAATCATGTGGTTCTTGCGTGAAAAAAGAAGACAACAAAAATTGTAAATAAGCTATTTATATTGCCTTCACTTTTTCTTCAAACGTGATTATCGCTTTCTTTTTTTTTAATTTGTTGTTCACTTAAAAATATTTCTTACTAGATTAAAGCTGTCTCGAGAAAATGGTAGACTGTCTAAAAATACTTTGAAAAATTGCTATAGGGATTAGAATCTCAATTAAAGACGATTTTTTTATTCAACGGTCACGTATTCACCAGTGACGTTAGCGATTTGATGATAGCGTCGTCTGCCTGCGAAGTCTTCATTCTCTTCATTTAACTGTGCCGAACTTGTTTCGACGCCTGGGTGTACTGGCGTTACGACAATTTGTTCGTAGTCGTAAACTTTCCTTCTGAAATAATAATTTAAATTTGACAATCAAAATCGAAATTCCACTAAATTGGATTTTCACTTTCAAGTTGTCGATGGAAAACTGGAATTGGATATAACATATTTTGGATTTTATTATCGCAAGCACGTATTAATATTACTGCTTTATAAAAAATAATCAGAGTTAAAAATTGAAAGTAAAATTTACTATACATCTGGACTAAGACGTGCGATACGGATAGCAAATAAACTTACCCCATCAATCTAAGAATAGAATTTTTAAGCCACGTAAGGAATTTAAATTCCGACGACACACCAGGTTTAACAGCTGGATTCGCATGACCAATATAACTCCAAACCAGGAAACAGACGATTATATTTGCCAGTGCGTAACCCCAGTGTACCAAAAACATTATCAACAATTTTATCAAGGCCTGCAAACGAAAAAATATGTCTCCTAAGTGTTAAATTTACTTACTGTAAATTTGAAGGAAATAAAAAAAATACTCACGCCCAAGAGGGACAACCATCTATTGCATAAAGGGCTATACCAATTCCCCAACTTTCCGTGTATATGAACTTTCATTTGTATTTCACTCGTAACGCTGGTATTTTCTTCAACGCTCGGCGATGAGTCGACAAATCCATTACTTTCGGTGCTCACGGAATTTCTTACAATATTTTTATGCCGCGTCCTTTCTGGGAATAAACTGTCAAGATCATTTTCAGCATCGATCAGTACATTTCTATCTGAGGTCACGTAATTCCTATCCATCGATGGAGATTGTGCGGAAAATCTTTGCTCTCTAGAATGTCTCAAGTCGAATGTTTGTGCAAGAACGAAATACGCGTAATCCAAGCCAGCCCATGTCAGTAAAAACGGCATTGTTACTATGGGCGCGAGAGTATTGATTTCGCCAACCATAATAAATGTAACTGTGACTATTGCAGTAACACATAGAGCATAAATTGGTACTTTATTAGGTCCTCTCTAAAAAGAAAATAAGAAATGTGTTAAAAAGTAGAGTAAGCTTATATATAGAAACCTAATTAACATACCCCTCTTTGTAAGCAGCTTATCCCTGGAATAACATTTTGACCAGCAATCGATTGGAGAACACGCGGTGTTCCGTACATGGCTCCCAAGCAGCTACTAAATGACGATACGTAAAGACCAGCGAGTAATAGAAAAGAAAACGCCGAAACTGTTGATGCAATCATAAAATCCTGTTGTAATGTGACTCTCGTACATGTCGATGCAAGGAATAATGCAAAACAAAGATACAAAATTGTGCTGCAAAATAAGAATTTTATTTATTCTGTGATAGAAACGTTTACGAATATGCTGTCATTTTAATTACCTAAGACTCAGAGCAGCTAAAGAACCATTAGGAATATCTGTTGAAGGATGTCTCAAATCACCACTCATGTTTATACCAGCAAGTACACCAGTTACAGTCGGAAAGAATACTCCAAACACAGTAAACCAGCTGTATCCTTCTTGGTACGAAGGAAATGTGTTATTTTTTAAAATCTCTGTTGACCATCCATCAAATCCAGCATCTGATGGAATAAAAGATTCCAATGTTTACAATGCAACTATAAGTTTATTCATAAATAGATTCTAGAATATTTACCTGGCTCAATGTGAGTAAAACTCCCAACAATAAAATCAAATCCAGCAAGTAATAAAATTAACAGAAGTAAAAATTGAAGCTTTATCACCCACTTGACACCAGCAAGATTAATTCCTGATAAAAGTATCACTGCAGCGCAAGCAAAACCTTGTTGTGCCCATGGCGTTTCCAAATGCACAAGTCCAGCTATGGATTCACCAAAGCCTAAAACGTTTAAGGCGCATCCCACAGCCTTGAAAAAAATAAAAGTTATAAGACACAAGGCTTCAAAATAAAATTAAACATATACTAAAAAATGATATACCTGTCCAAAACAGTACAATAAACCAATAGAACCTCCAAGTCTTGAACCTAACACATGAGAAAGTAAAAAATAAACTCCTCCACTTTCTACTCTACATCTTTCACAAATTCCTATAGCTGAGAGTACAGATACTAATGCAATAAACACTGCAAAGAGATTAATTTTTCAATTCAATAGTTCAGAAATGGAATTGAGTCTAAGTTATGACAGTTACCTGTACAAAATATTATTACTACTGCATTTAGAGCACCCGCCTGACCAACCATCCACCCACATCTTAAAAAAACTATTACTCCAAATATGTTTATCAAACAGGAAGTAAACACGCCATCCCATGTTCCAAACAAAACTGGCTGAGATATAAAAAAATTGGATTTCCACCATGGGTCCGAATTCTACAATTAGTTTCAATGAAATCATTTAACAGTACTATAGTTAATTCAAATATAACAGCTAACTCTTACAAATTCTTGTGCAAATAATTCATTGGTTCCAGTTTGATACATTTCAGGACCAAGTTCTTCATGTCCTCTACTCTCTGATCGAGATGGTCTTCTCTCTGCGTTTCCAAGCCCATACCTAGACCAATCAATTTCTCTATTGTTTCCAATGCTTCTGTCACTTTGATTCCTGTCATATGAACCCATTTCTTCAAACCTTGTATAATCTATATATCAGTTCTCAATTTATCCTGCATATTATTTTTTACCACTTATTCATGTGACTTGTAATGCTTTCTGCATATTTATTGCAATTCCTAAAATAGATTTAATGATAATATCTGTTATGCTCTAAAGCTAATGTCTTAATTAACCTGACAAATTTATCTTTATTCAACTAAAGCGTAGAATTTAAACTGATTACTCATGTTAATAGCTCAGTAAATAATCACAAAAAACTTGATAAAAAATAAGCACTAAGATAACAAAGGTCAGTACACGAAAATTATAAACTATAAAAATTAAACAGGCTAGAAAAACAAACCTTTGAAAGACACTTTGTATTCAACAAAGCTCCACGTCAGCATTAAGTAAAGTGAGCGGAAAACGAGTATAGAACTGAAGATGTTAAAAAATCTATTGGAGTCGATGAATCAAAGATAACGCAACATTGTTCACGCGATAACGGTAAAAAGCGATGGACCTACACTGCTATCCGCATAGGCAGCCATGTTTCCGAGAAACATATGGGATCAATTGGGCAAGAGTTGAAGTATATTGTATCTTGTGTGGGTTGTGTTGATTTTGCGGATGGTAGGGGCATGAAGGCGAGGTTACAGAGAAGTCATAATTATTACCTTACCGAGAAAGTTTATGCGCGTACAATAGATAATTACTTAATATATTAATTTTAGTAATTAATCAAGAATTAAATAACTTTCAAAGTAGTTGTTTTATTAATTTTATACATGAATGTTCAGCAAAAAGTAAATTACAATGTGCACTCCATTAATATTCATCAACATAAAGAAAAGGATTTGTTCAAAGGTTCAAACATACAAACTTTCAAACACTTATTTTACATATAATAATAATTTCACGCAATCTTAGGTAAGATTTATAATGACCATAATCGGAGTAATAAGGTATTATTATATAATTATAACTACAAATACAAATATAATTATAATTAGTTATGATGAAATTTGATGAAATTTACCTAGACTTATATTTAATAATAATTTGCAACAAGAGCTTTTGTACATTTACGTTCCACGTCGCCACTTTTCTCCATTTGTATATTTCGTCATTTCTTTGCCACTGATGCCACAAGTTCCTATACCTACACGACCGTTAACACTTTCCGGAGTCGCAAATATACTTTTCTTGACTACACCCTTTTTCGTTGACTGTAAAGAAAATAAAATATATTAATTTTTAAACATAAATGGAATTAACAATTATTATTTATCAAAATAAATATCTTTATATACTTTAGTTGCAAACGCCAACCACTTGTTTTTCTCCTGTTCCCTTTCTTCCTCTAATTCTTTGAAACGTTGCTGTTTTTTCTGTTTCCTCTTTTTTAAGTACTCACGCTGTTTAGTTGGATCCATACCAGCTATCGCAGATACTTGCATTTTTCTACAGAAAAACAAGTGTATTAGTAAACATGAATAATTTTTTATACATTGTTGCACAAATAATATACATCATATAAAAATAAATCAAGTAAATTATAATCAAAACAAACGGTGCATTTTGGAATTCATTAAGTTTACTGGCAATTTTTAAACATAATAGGCTCTCTTACTTCTTCCTGAAGCGTCAGGTCCAATATTAATACATCAGCGCATGTCATCAATGGACAAGTAGTCAGTAAACATAATTTCAAATCAAGCCATGGATAATTTCATTATGAGCGGGATTGTTTAAGACAGTTGGAGAGGATGAGGAAGGAAAATTTAAAATTAGTAATTTTGTTTTAAGCTTAATACATTCTAATTTAAGAATTTGAAATGAAACTAACAGTTTCTAAGTAGCATTATCAAAATATTAAATTTCAGGCTTACTTGGATTTCTGTTCTGCCCAATCTGAGGCAGGTCTTTTAGCCATAGATTTCAGCTGACTAAGCATTGTAACATCTTTATTTTTGTATTCATTGAAAGTTATATTTACAACTCCATCCTCACCTATTGAATCTATAGTTGCTTCATAATATCTGTAAAAATTTGGTTGATTGAGCAATTAACAGTGTTGCAAAAGGGATTAAACAAAAGCAGTAAAACTCACTTTCCATCCTCGCTCCATGGTGCCATGCACTGATCACCAACTTTCCATTTACTTGCTAAAGCAGCTATTACTTCTGGGTTTTTTTCATCTGTTTCTGGTTTTTTCTCTTGTTGTTGTGTTTTTATCAAGTCTTGTGTTAGTTCAATGACTTCTTCCAAGTCAATTTTCAACTTCAACAATTCTTGGTTATCTGGATCTGACGTAAGTGCAGCTTCAACCTGTAAACATTGATCATTAGTAAGCTAGCGACAAACACAAAAAGGTCATTACAGAAAAGTGTTTGATAAACGGTAAAAAGTAGCTGAAAAAAAACAATGCAATTTAGTTCACGGTTTAATTCAATGTTCAGTAACCTGTATCAACAATGATGAGTACGATAAATTCTTTGACAACGAAGACGCAGAAAATGTAATCATCATCTCAATTCATCACCAAAATTGTTTATAAATTTTGTAAATTAAAACAAACGTAACCAAAAATACTCACTTGCTGAAGCTGCAACTTATAATTCTGTAGATCATCCATGTTGGGACGTAATAATTTAACTACGACACAACAGAAGGGATGTCGATGTCGACAGCAGATATTAGGTTATCCTCTGTCGAGAGCTCAGATCGACGAGCACAAAGCGAGTGCGCTCTCAACCTTAACAAAACAACAAGCAAAACGTAAAAGTTGAAAGGATATGGGATGGAGTCACAAAGAAGATGAAAAATTTACACAAAATTCTTATTTAGCCAAGGCATTCAGCTCTATTTACACCACAAGAACTGACACTCTAATAGCGTGAGACGTCAGAGTAAACTGCAAGTAGAGATCAGTCAGACCAGATTTCCTGACTTGCAAAGCCAAGCTGAAATGGTATTATAATGATCCAAGCATGCCAACATTGCCAGCGTCATGCGACGTGCGACATGCGTGCAATAAAAGAATCGAAAAAGTTACTATTCAAAAGATAAACTTCTTTCTAGTAACTTTTTCAATTCTTTTATGGTAGTGATAAATTGAATGATGATTAACTGACATATCCTAAAATTTATTTCAGAATAGACCCCTAGAAGTATTATTGAGATGCATGGATCCGGTTGCGCAGTAGCAATTGCACATTGCGCAGTTGCAATATATAGAGACTGCGCAACCGGATATTATTATATCGATAGCACCACAGCGGTTAGCGTCATCCAAATTGCATAGTGACATCAGTTCATGGGGTGAAAACGTCATTTTTGCTGGAAAAGTTGCTTTGCTAAGCCCCTATAGTAAATAGCCCCCCTTCCAAAATTTGGCGAGATTTAATTGCGTTTGATTGTTCTGTTAGTGCACCGATGCGAAAACAGCCCGACACAAATAACATTTTATAAAAAAAAATGATCACATGTCACGTATGTCTAATTGTACTTCTCGAAAAAATAATTATTTGTTATTGTACCATTATATTTCTCATAAAAAATAAAAAATATCGTTATCGATAATTCACCTCCTATTTATTCATATAAAAGATATAATTAAGCAAAAATAAATTCACAGAAAAATTGTACCTTCTGTAGTCTAAATTGTACCATCAGTACAATTCTATAAATTTGTTTCTAAAAGAAATAATAGGACAATTACAAATTACCACTAATTGTTACAACTTACAAGGATGTCATCCGTAAATGCACTTTGCGCAGGCGTAGAGCTTTGTAATTGTCCTATTATTTCTTTTAGAAACAAATTTATAGAATTGTACTGATGGTACAATTTAGACTAAAGAAGGTACAACTTTTCTGTGAATTTATTTTTGGTTAATTATGTCTTTTATGTGAATAAATAGGAGGTGAATTATCGATAACGATATTTTTTATTTTTTATGAGAAATATAATGGTACGTACAATAACAAATAATTATTTTTTCGAGAAGTACAATTAGACATACGTGACATGTGATCATTTTTTTTTATAAAATGTTATTTGTGTCGGGCTGTTTTCGCATCGGTGCACTAACAGAACAATCAAACGCAATTAAATCTCGCCATATTTTGGAAGGGGGGCTATTTACTATAGGGGCTTAGCAAAGCAACTTTTCCAGCAAAAATGACGTTTTCACCCCATGGACTGATGTCACTATGCAATTTGGATGACGCTAACCGCTGTGGTACTATCGATATAATTATATCCGGTTGCGCAGTCTCTATACTGCAATTGCGCAATGTGCAATTGCTACTGCGCAACCGGATCCATGCATCTCAATAATACTTCTAGGGGCCTATTCTGAAAAAAATTTTAGGATATATATGTCAGTTTATCATCATTCAATTTATCACTGCGATAAAAGAATCGAAAAAATTACTAGAAAAACGTTTATCTTTTGAATAGTAACTTTTTCGATTCTTTTATTGCACGCATGTCGCACGTCGCATGACGCTGGTAAGTTGGCATGCTTGGATCATTATAATACCGTTTGTGCCGAGCTGTTTTCGCATTAGTGTTAGTACCTACATACTGCTTATTCAATATTCACTTTAGTATAGTGAATGGCAAATGTAGGTACAGTACTGTCGGAGCAGATAACGTAAGCAAATTTCTCCAAATCTGGGGATTATTTTCTAGAGGGCCAACACAACAATTTTTACAACAGAAATGCTGAAACTGAAATCAAAATTACATATATAACATATATATTAATTCGCGATCCGCGAAGTTAAAAATCCAAATTATTTTCGATTGACTGAGCATCGGTGGCATTAAATGGATTTTTGTTTGGTAAATTGCAAGGGTACAGCTTATACGAAAATAAATCCTTGATCTATTATAATTTGGATTTTGAACTACGCGGGTCGTGAATTAATTTCCAGGCAGATTAAATTGTAATTGACCCATGACTACATGAAACAGGTAGTAAGACGAAGAATGGTAAAAATGATAAGATCTACATAGTATATTCGTTGACAGTTATTTGCTAGAAGAACACGTTTTGTACCGATTGTATATAACCTAAACCTTAAAATTATTATAAATAATTATTGAAATATTCTAATTTTTTGTAAATGCAAATAATTGAATAATGGAAGTGTCTGTAGGTGACGTTGTTATGCCAGGTGATAAAGTTAAAGATATTGAATCGGTAAGCGATAAACAAAGAGTGATATTGGGTCCTGGTTTGAGAACGGACGGCGCAAATGTTTATGCTTGCAAAGCGGGAATCTTAAAAAAGAGAACGGCAGTTTACTTTGTTGATAGTTATCAGAAAAGGTATATTATTTTGTTAATTCCAAATACATTGACTGGTTCATCATTCGCTCTTAAAAATAACCAACGTTTATTACATTTCAGATACATACCCAGTCAAGGTGAAAATGTTGTTGGTATAGTTACGCAAAAGGCTGGAGATATCTTTAGGGTTGACATTGGAGCCAGTGAACCAGCATCTTTATCATATTTAGCCTTTGAGGGTGCCAGCAAAAGAAACCGTCCAGATGTACAAGTAGGAGACATTGTTTATGCCAAACTTTTAGTTGCTAGTAAAGACATGGAGCCTGAACTAGTGTGTGTTGATTCTTTCGGTAAAAAAGGAAAGTTGGGTGTTTTAAATCCAAATGGAATGTTATTTAATTGTTCTTTAAGCCTTGTTAGAAAAATTCTTAAACCAGATTGTCCATTGTTCAAATTGTTGTCCGATGAATTGAAATTTGAACTTGCAGTAGGCATGAATGGTAAAATTTGGATTAAGTCCAAGTCATCTGTTCAAGATACAATTGCTGTTGCCAATGCCATTTTACTAGCAGAATACAAACCACAAAGTGAACTTCCAGTTCTGTGTAATTCTATTATAAAATCATTGGCTGTATTGAGATAAGATTCAGGTGTAAGTAAGAGAAAAGAACGTTATGAATGACTTTATTATTTATTGTACCAATATTTGTAATGAGTTTTTGTAAATAAATTTTCACAGTTTTCTTAATGACAAATTATGATTACAGAATCGATCATAGTGACATAATGTGTAATGAAAGGTTGTTTAGCGTATGTAGTGTGTTTATTATGCGAGAGTTTCAGATGATCGATTACATTAACATCATGAAAGCAGAGTCACTGTAAGCGATACATTAAAGTTTATCTATTAAAATTATCTTTAACTTTTATAACTGTTTTTCTTCACATAGGTACATTTTGTTTAATAATGTCAAGTTACAGCAATTATGATTGAACAATTACATATGAAACAGAACGCAATACAGCATTTGTTTCATCATTCCTCAATGAGAATGACAAATTAATTTGCAAATCAGTGATATGATTTTGCATATATATGTGTAGATATACACTTACTCTTAGGAACAGAAGCTTTTTCAAACTATATCATAGCAATTCATACAGCGTTAGAATGTATCAGGTGTTACACAGGAATGTCATTTATTACTGAAAGCAAAATTAATGGAAAGCATATCAAATTTTCAAACACACATCAACACATATTCCTTGTAATCTCAGCTGCAACTTGCTCACAAAATTTGATATGTGCCTAATACTCGCTCTCGAAGCACAGCAATTGAAAAAAACCTCGTCTGATTTCTATATAATCTTTGAGGGAATGGGGGAGCAGAGGTAGGCAGAGGTACGCAGAGGTACGGGGAATAATAGAGCTTTGACAAGAACGCGTTACATTTCTCTTTTGTGCACAACCTTTTAGAATTAATTAAAAGATACTTGACTGAGGTCAAACACAGCCTTAGCGACAATTATTGCGTGACTCGTCGCCATACTCGAACGTCAACCTTTCGTTTCTTGATCACATAGATTATCTAAACTTATTGCTATAACGTATCAACTAAAATATCTGTTCGTCTAAAGGCAAAAGAAAACCAAGAAAGCGCTGCTCTGAGAAACACGAACGAGCGCTTTTGTACTCAACAGTGGTAATGTGCAGGTTTCCCTATTTCTTTTCAATTACTTCTTCCGTCTTTCGTTCAAAGTACGTCGATTAGATTAGCCGTTTGAAAGCAACTTGTATCAGACAAATTCCGATTTATCTCAACAATTTTTATCTATAAATTTGCAATATATACACGCGCATACCAATGTCGAGTTTACCAAGGATTCCTTTTTTGTTGCACGATGTGTCTGTAAATTAAAAAAATATATAGATATATTTCCTCGCGATGGCTGGTATCACTGTCGCGCAAGCAATGTAGGCGAGGTAAGATTCGGTTCATACAGATGCTGATTCTACACGATTTTATTCATCACGAATTTTTTAATTTTGCTTATTTAATACAATGCTTGTCTATTGTACACAAAAATTAAAATACTATATTTACAAAAATGAAATATTATCTTGTATTGAATCTTTTTTACAAAAAAATTAAAAAATGATTATTTGGAGTAAAATATTCTCCATGACATAATCGTACACTTAATTATTTTTTAATGATGAGCAGAATCTTAATCATATAATTCTTTCAACAATTTTTTTATTTCTGCAGAAATATTTTATGTAGATTATTGATGGCTAATTATTTTCCAATCGAATATTTTGTAGAATATTTATGTTACATAATATTTTCTTTTTCAAAGAATACTATTTCATGTTTTATGTTCAATTAATAACTAATGGTTAATAAATAAAATTAAAAAATTTGTAGAGAATCAAATCATGTAGAAAAGATATCTGTGTGAAACGAACCCGGTCGTACGCGATAGATTTTGTTGTGTTGAATTTTAGGTCCTACACATATACATACCATGACAATCAAACAAAAAAATCGATACACTTAACGTAGAAATCAAATGGTTCGACGATATACACAAATATCACGTGGCGATCGTAGCTGTGCTGGGGGAGGAAATCGATTGTTATTTCTCGTTTCATCATTCCGTTTCTCAAATTGTACAGCTGCGACAAGTCGAATTTATGCACGACGTCGAGCGAGTATGAGATACAGAGATGCACAGAGCACCATGGATGATTTTTTTTCCTACAACGCTCAACTTGTCACGCCTATCCTTCGGAAATAATGGTTTTGCCAGCAACCATAACAGTTAATATTATCGGGTACGGGCTAATATATACTTAATTCGTTTAACATATCTATATAGTCATTAGCGCGTTAGTTTATATAATAGATACATCCGACTACGAAAGGTGCATCGATTATTCGCTAAGCAGACAGAATTCTTTTTTTTCCTTTTTTTGTCTTCATTTTCTTTTTTGCTGGTCTCTGCCTCTCTGTTTCTGTCTCTGTCTCTCTCTCTCTCTTTCTCTCTGCTATTTTAGTTTACTCAGATATCTACGCATTACGCATATACGCAAATGCATCCCAACGGAATAGAAGAAAACTCTTTAAAATATTCCAACTTATACATTTTTTCATTCCTTCTTTTTGGTTCTTAGGTAGTTATATAGGTATACTCTTTCGAGACTACTATATGATGATAATGATGATGATATGGATGAGCGAGTGAAGAAACATCTGCCATTTTATCAACATACTTTATATAGATTATCATTTAAATTTTCTCCCGTTAACATTGCTTACTGCGAAATATTAAAATATTCTCATTTGTTGGTTAAATTTGAACATCTTTTTTATTACTATTTTAGTTCTTTGCTTTCTCTTATTTTTTACTCTATTTTCCTTTCGCATCTAGTAACTCAAAGTTTCTGCTGTTAGTTCATTTAGCTGCTATTTGTTTTTTTCTTGAGATTCGCGATAAGTCATCTAATGGCAGATATTCAAAGTGTATTGCGTCTTTGATGATGAAGTGAGGCGAGGGAGATCTAAGAAAACCTACATGTTATCACTTCGAAAACCCTTGGTTCCGTCAGTTACAAGAATAATTTTCTTTTTTTCTGTTATTACATTTTACAATTTGTTAACGCGTTAGACAGCCTAAACTTAAATCTTTCGTCTCCGCGTGCTTCGCGTCAACTCAAAAGCGCGCTTGCGACAAAGTGACTATATACGGTGATTGGAGCTGCCAACGTCGGCGAGCAAAAAACGCGACCACTCGAAATTAACCTTGCGCAGTTTAAAATTAGCGTACCCCACGTTCGACAGGGTGTAGCACTGGCATCACGTACGAAAAATTAACATTCATATAAAATTGGCGTCGTCATTGGATTTTACTGAACGTCGATTTCGAGTAGTCGCGCGTGCACGTCCGGCCGTTGGCATTCGCGAGCTAGTGTAAACGAACGAATAAGCGAACAAAGGCAAGGAACATGATCGCTACAAAGGTCTTTTCAAGCCGAGAGTCCACCGAGTATCTAAAAACTCACTGCTTTCTCTCGGCCTCGAAGCTTCTTCCCTTTTCTTTTATTTTTGGTATCAAAGGATAAAACTTTTTGTTTGCCATTATCATATAAGTTTACATATATATATATATATATATATATATATAGGTAAATATCTTATATTCAATGCGGCTCTTTCCCTTTCCGTGTCTCATTTTCTTATTACTTCGTATATGTTTATAAAAAATTGTCCTTTTGCTTATTAATAGCTAAAATATTACGATGTCTTGGCTGTATATATATACATATATACATGTATATGTATATATATATAACCTTTTATATATCATTATTGTTTTTCTTTCTCAGTTTGTCGGTTTACTATGCCAGTTTTATTCTTTCTTTATTTTTGTCAGCGTGTTTGTTACGATCAATCAAATATAATAGTACCATTCACAACACAGAGTGCATAGTACGAAGCTCTACCGAGCTTATTCAACCTTGCAATTATATACTCGCGGAAAAGGATAAAAATGAACAAATCGACGTGAGATTACTAAAGCCGCTAAGCACAACCGATTAATTGATCGTTATTACAACCTGTGTGCACCAAATGAGTATAGGTACATGAATGTGTACTGTGTTCGACACGGACGAGCCGCTAATTGTTTCTTTACAACCAAATGAGCGGAACTGTTTTGAGTATATGTATATCACTTGGCGCGTTCTCGTTCCTTTTGCACCGGTTTAGTGGCAGTTCGCTGACTATCAAGTGTTATCGTGTGATCGAAACGCGTCGACTTGAAAGGCTGCTCGACCAACGGAATTTCTTCTCGTAAACAATTCATCATTGCGAATAACCATACGACATCTTCGCTGTAAAATGTGCCGAAAAAACGTGTCGGTCGACAGCGCGATGACACTAGACAGGCAGCACAACGGCCGGGCTCGCGATTAAAAGTTTGCGAGGCGAGCGCGCGCCGACCGACCCACATGGCGCACTGCTCGCGTAGACTGGCGCGAGGCGACTTCAGCTCGCAGTGGCACGGGGAACGAGTGACGACACGACAAGCAGCGACAGGAAACAACGTACCAAATGGAAGCGAAGAGGCAGGTATCGCGAGTCGCGGCTGTCGACCGCGACCTCGATATTAATTCTCGCGTTCGCGCGAAGAGGAGACTGAAAACGAACGGACAGAAAACTGATACTTTCCCAAACAGTTGGTTTCGTATTACGCAGTCTATGATACATATACATATATATATATTGCTCTCGCTGAAATCGAAGCTCTTCGTTTTACCAGCGTTATTGCCGGTCTACCGCGAGCACGGCAGAGACTAGTCGATTTCTCTCGACTCGCTCCGCGGATTTCCGATTGTTTCCTGTTATGTTTACTTTCATTTCTGTGTGGGCGGCTTGTACGTGGAAATCGACTCTGCCATGCCGAAGCCCTCATGAAGCACCCGAGCCAGCATTATTTTCTCTTTGCTGTTCGATTTACAGATGATTGCCTGGCGCACAGTGGTGGATTATATGCGACACATTCACTTCGTTTCTTTTATTTTATCCTTTATTTATTTTTTCTTTATCTACCTCGAGCAAAAGCTGTATTTGACTTAGTTTTATTTTGATGCAGCTTGATTCTCTTGCATTACGATGATAATGAATGAGCGATGGGTAATAAATGACCCTCGAAATCACGATTTTCACAGTGTGTGTACTCGAAGTTTTTTTTTCATCTCGACTTTTCATCACATCCAGAGTGAGAAATATGTAAAGTCCTTATTGCGCGACTACGTGCTCATGGAAAGTCGTGATTTCCCTTGCTAACCGACCATCCCAGAGATAAAAAGTAAAAGTTGTGAACTTTGATCATCAAGCTTCTTATATATTTTTTTCGTGCTGTTCGTTTTTTGCTGAGTTTGTCTATACGACGCCGCTAGTCGACGAGATCTTTAACTACGTCATGATATGCGTTGAGCTGGGGTTGGGGGAGGGGGATATCCGGTCGTATTTCATCGAGAGGAAAGAGCGCATTTTCGTTCATTACGACGTCGGTATGATTTTTTCTTTCCTTTTTTTTCTACGTTTGTTTCGTAAAAAAATCTTATCTATCGTTGAAAAGCCTGCGTGCAAATAGTTTGTTTCTTGATTTTTTTTTATAAAATCGCGATGACCCACGCATACAGCATTAATTAGAAACGGCAGTAAAAATAACTTTAGCGCGCTGCTGATCGAATTTCACATTGCGGCCGACCATCGACCATTTTGTTGCTAGTACTCGTACAAAAGGTTTGGTTTGCTCGCTTCGTCCTGCGCCACTCACTTTCTGCATGAGCTTGCTCTTTCGACGCCGTCGCGATGGAGGAAACTCAGAGGCACAAGCGCGCGCAACCTATAGTCAGCTATCAAGTCATGGATAAAAACTATACGTATATTTTTAAAAATCCCTAATTATACGCAAATCCAAGTAACTTATCATTACGAAAAAAGCATTAGCAGGCACTTTGTAATTGAATCTCAAGCAATCCTTTTTTGTTCTTTCTCCAAATAGATCTCATGTTACTTTTCTTATTCCGCGTTTTATCCTACTGTTTTTTGCCTCGAACTATGCATGTGTGCTATTCTCGCGCGAATACTGATAAAGTGTAACTTATAAGCAACTAGTTAAAAGTCTTAACGACTACATCAACGAAAAATCGAGTAACAATAAAGAAAAGCAAACAAACAAACAAACAAATCGACGCGTGATTCTATAAACCTAAGTAACGCAGTAAGTTAATTTTCCGCGCGTTCGTGACCATTCTTTGGTTAAAAAGAAAAAAAGACACTAACATATGAATTATCAAGAGCCCATCTCTGCTGCGCTACAATATATGCAATCAGCAGTGTGCAATACAATACGATATATACATATATAAATGCGCGCGCAACAAGAGAGCTCGAATTTCTTCCTTCTTCCTTTCAGTTCTCGCGATCGTCATGCAGAAAAAGAGAGATGTACGTTTTCACGCGTGCAATCTTTCCTAGGAATGCGCTACATCTTACATCTCTCTCTCTCTCACTCTTAAAAACAGTCTTACTAACAACGCATGAGTTTGAAAGATTCGTGAATCGAGACGTATAAGCTCTCGCGCCTCGTTCGCCTTTTGTTTCTTTTGTTTTTTACAAAAAAGTCGCTAATTCGTTTTTGGAAAACCTACGTGACGCCGGTAGTCTTTTGCATTGTTTGTTTTTGCGAATGGTTTGTTTTGAACACTTGGCCAACTATCGGACAATATTGAGCCTTATTTATACCGAATAAAAATTGTATGTAGGCTACGATTATATATATAAATATATACCTCGGATCCTTCAGCAGTCTTAAAAACGAGTCCCGAACGAAGGTTGTTTTCTTTTTTTTTTAAACGAGCTTTTTCGTTAAAATTTAGATCAGTCGCTAAAGTCGTCTTGGCTGCACGACGCTGTTGTTGTTGAGTCGCGTGGTCGTTTGCGTGTTAAAATTCTCATCCTGGGGTATGCGCTCGGTTCTCTCGTCGAAGAAACCTGGATTTAGGATGATGTTAGGCACCAGCTCAATCACTTCCTGCTCCTCCAGCTGCGCTGCAATTTCGGAGCGGAGATTAATTTTCATTGGCCCGGTCCATGAGCCAATTTAGCTTCTACCCTCTCTCCTTGACATTTTTTTAACACTCGTACTCGTTCTCCTTTTTTTCTTTCAAAAATCACTTTTCTTTTGTTCTTTTGTTTTAATGAAAATATCACTGCTTCAACTGTTTACTCGTGACCTATAACTCAAAAACTGAACGAAAAAAGAAACTGCAAATCGAACTAAAACTAAAGCTAAACACAAAAGTTGGTAAGTTTTCTTGAGGCTCGTAAACGTACTAAATTAAACTCTATAAACTATAATTTAAAGGTAGTCTTAATTTACTGCTATGATAATAAATTAGGAGTAAAACGTGTGCAGAAAAAGAAACCAACTAAAAAAATTAATTTTCCAAATATAAATAAACATTATAGGTTGAAGTCTAGTAATCTGTCCTATCCCATTAGGCATTCGCTACATTGAACTACATCTACAATAGCCCGATTACGTTTTCTAGCTCTTATTCATGTTATTAGGAGGAAAAAATCACGATGCTCTACATCTAAATTTCAAGTAAATATCGTAGCACGGCTCTCAATGCACTATTATTGTATAATTTACGATTAGTTAGAAAAAAAATTGTCTGTATTAAGTATTAATAGGAGAATTATTAAAAGAAAACCACCAAAACTTATTACCTTAACTTTAGCAGAATGCTTCGGAAAGATACACCTTGAAATAGCACAAAATTAAAATAAATTATTAATTAGACCTCAGAGAACTGTCTAGATGTTGTTTTTTTTTCTTTTTTTTCGAATACTTATAATATTATAAAATATGAGATGTTTGTTTTATTTTGTCGCCGTTCATGAACATCTAAGAGAAATCTAATGCAGAGGAGAAATAAAAGAAAGCAGAATCGAATGACATTCATCTCGTCGAATAAGTTTGGTGGTTACATCAATGTGTACAGGTATAAAAAGCAAGATATACGTATACGTTCAATGTACAGATGTAGGCGTGGAAGAGAAGAAGGTGTACAAGTGTATAGCGTATGCAGATGTATATCTGTCGCGTGCCATATTTGTCAAGAGTACAGTTGGTCGTTCGATCGACAGGTGCGTTAAAAAAAAACAAAACAGCGAGAGGAAGAGATATATATATATATATGCACGAAACGTGAAGCTGAGATAGTCAGAGTAGTCGGAAGCGCAGCAGCAGCAGCAGCCGAGAGAGAGAGAGGGAGGCGACGAAAAGTTACCGTGCGCGAAAGAGGTGGCACACAACGCGGCACAGATCGTACGATAAGGGGCGCACAGTAGGAGTTGCGGCGCTGTGCACGATGACAATGCAGATCGGGGCCGCGGATAAGTCGCGAGTACCGTCGTCCCTGGCGCGCAATCAGCCGTCCGCGATGCTTTAATTGAAGGTCGGTCGAGACGACGGTCAAGATTCCGGCGAGAGGGGGGGGGGGGCTACAAGACAGCGGGAGCAGAGTACAGAAGAGAAACGAATGCTCGAATCAAAGAGACAGAGTAGAAGCGAGATAAGTATACATAAGAACATCGTAGAGAAAGCTGATAGATGGGTGGTCGGGTCGCAGATGCTTACAGGGTACTTTGCACTCGCGGTAGAGCAGGTAGCAGGTGCCGAGGCCGAGCACGACGAGGGTGCCCATGACAATGCCGACGGCCGCCACCCAGACGCGCGTGTCGAAGGTCTCGAAGCCCGCCAGCAGGTGTTTGCGCAGCTCTGCAACAGACCAAGGTGGCTGGTTAGTAGGCTGGCAGCCGCGGTCGGCGGTCTCCGTCGTACCGGCCTCCTCGTCGCTGAAGTGCGTGTGGCCCTCCACCTCGACGATGTCGCCGCGGCCAAGTTGGTTGGTGGCCCACACGCGGAACCGGTAGGTGGTGTTGGGCTCCAGGTGGTACACGTCGATCTGCCTCTGCGCAAGCAAACGGGATGGGTGAGCGCGCTCGCGCGGAGGGGTCGGGGGGTTCCGAGTCACGCTGCGACCGGCTTACGGAGTTAGGCGGGATGTGCGTGGGCATGATGGGCTTCCAGTCGGTCCTGTTGCCGGCCGCGGGCTTGAGGCCGTACTCGGCGGTGAAGTCAATGATGGGGTATCCGCCGTTGCCCTCCACCTCCCACAGGATGTTGGCCAGGATGGTCGAGGGCTTCACCCAGACGTTCTTCAGCGCGGGCGGCGGCGCTGCAAGCAGCAATCGCTCAGCGGTCAGCGGCCGCTCGGCCCTACAGACGGCGGCCACTCACTTCTCACGTGCACGCGGATCTTGTCCCTGATGGCGTCCTGGTCATCGAGGGTGCAGTAGTAGCTGCCCGAGTCGAAGCTGCTCACGTTGTACAGGCTGAGCAGGCCGTTCTCGTGGACGGTCAGCCGTCTACTCTGGCCGTCCTCGCGGCCCTCGCGGATCCACGTCACTCGGCTGCCCTCGCCCAGGTTGTGCGCGCCGTCGCCGTTCACCGAGCATACCAGCGTCACGTTCTCCTGCAGGTCCACGCTCACGCTGCGCTCCTTCGGCGCCATCCTCGCTGCTGCTGCTGGCTCCGCTGCTAGTGCTCTCTGCCATCCTATTCACCCGCGTTGCGTTCACCTTTCGTCGATCTCGCGCTCTCTCTCTCTCTCTCTCTCTCTCTCTCTCTCTCTCTCTCTCTCTCTCTCTCTCTCTCTCTCTCTCTCTCTCTCCCAAAGCCCAACACATCGGCAAACTCGATTGACTCGACATTTTTCGTTTGCTCTATGCCGCGACGCCGGCAAAAGAATTTTCCTCGAAACGACAATTTTTTTGTTCTCGTACGCGGTCGAGCTTTCCGCAATATCGGAGTATTTCGGAAGCGGATAATCCATCCGCGGCCGACGTACGTGCCGTGTGTAGCTCGTTTATGCAAAACAGCGTAATATCCTGCCGCGAGCGAAAAGGCAAAAACTACGGTGGAATGTGTGTCAGTTTCCGGCTGTCGAGTCTCAATTGCAGCTCTTGACAATCGCGACCTCGATTTTTCTCTCTCTCTCCACACACGCGAACAGGGAGGGAGAGAGAGAGAGAGAGAGAGAGAGAGAGAGAGAGAGAGAGAGAGAGAGAGAGAGAGAGAGAGAGAGAGAGAGAGAGAGAGAGAGAGAGAGAGAGAGAGAGAGAGAGAGAGAGAGAGAGAGAGAGAGAGAGAGAGAGAGAGAGCTTGTTGATGAGGGGAAAGGCGAAAAACTACGAGAATCGATCGGCGCGTCCGAGCTTGGGGCGAGCGGTCGAAGGCTCTGAGACGGCAAAACCAGCTCGTGTCGGGACAAGGCTGTCCACGCGAGAGCGAGCGGCTGCCCCGACAACAACAAACGGTGCGCGGGCGCTCGCAATCGATACGCACGAGACGTCGGCGGACGGACGGCGCGCCGTGCCTCTGTGTAGGAGCCACGGTGTGAACGAACTCGCTTTCACCGCTGGCGGACGAAAACGGCGGAAAATCGTTACTCGGGCGCGCGCCTCGCCGAGTCCTATCACGCTGGCGCGGTGCAGTCGTCGCGGCCGCGTTGCGTAACGGCGCGAGCAAGGAGCGCGCCTACCTGCGAGCAGGACGGACAGCAGCAGCAGCGGCAGCAGCAGCAGCGGCGGCGGCGGCGGCAGCAGCAGAGCGGCCGACATTCTCCCATATTAGTTCGCCACAACGCAAATTCGTCGCTGGCCTCGCCTCGGTCCTCCTGCTCGTCCTGCCGTCTCCCCGACACTGGCGGCTGGCGCGGCGTCCGTGCCGACTGCGCAAGCTTCGCGGCCCCCCCGCGAGCAGAGCTTCGACGACGCACGCAGCGGCTCGCGCGGCGACAGCTCTGCCCGAGTGCCGCGGACCTGCAGCGCCGCCAATGCGCGCTTTTCGCGCTCGCTCTCCCCGAGTCCCGCCGCCCCCCAACCGAGCTCCTTCCTCGCGGACGTGCCCGCCGCGCGCATCCTTTCCCGACCCCGACCTTCGCGCCTTTCTCCTCGACTGCCGGCGATCACCTGCAGTTCCGGACGATTCGCGCGCTATGGGCACCGCCGAGGCTCGTTGGTGGTCCGCGGTGCAAGGAGAAAAGCCGGCGGTCGGCGAATCAGTTCCAGCGTAGCATTGTGCGGGATGCGAGCGACTGCTTGCTATTCGGAAATAATCGCGCTCCGCGACCTTCGACTCGCGCGCGGATGCTCCAACGAAAATACATGAAACGCCCGCCTTCGCTGCCTTCAATTAATAATCGCTGCGTCCAAATACGTCGGGCAAAGGGTGACAGAAGGGCGGAGGGGAGGGGGGGGGGGGCGATTTAATTTTGCAGCCCCCGCGCGGCCGACTGCTGTATGTGTATACGCACACAATGTCAATCGCAAATACTCGATGTGCAATGACGCACAGATTCGAAATCAAAAAGTCCGTCGTATCAAAAAGCGCGACTAGACAAATTATAATCTGACTTGACCTCGTCCGTCGTCGTCAAGTCGAGCGCGCTAGAAAGTGAATTGACCGTGGACTCTCGTGGGCGCAGCGATTATCCGGTTTTACAAGCAAAACTTACGACCGATTGCTGGACACTTCGAGTAGGACTCGTTATAATTTTGAGATCTCTCGCAATATTCTAGCTACTTTCTGTTTAGCTTCTACGTCAAATCGGGTACAATAATAAATGGAAAGTGTGCTATTTACGAATGTAATAAGTACACGTGTTAGATAAATTCTCGGTATTTCTTATTAAAAGACGATAATGATAAGCATGTCAATTACAACTATTTGAAATCCAATAAGTAATCGAAAATGTCCACCGCGCTATCCGTGGCTATGATACGTACATACATAGCATTCTTATCAACGCACGGCGTCTCGTAAAAGTATAACTCCTGAAGTGCCGACGAGAAGTGCGCAGAAGCAGACGACGCGTCGTTTCTCGCGTTATATATATGTAAGCACGAGTAAAGGTTAGTCTGCTCTTTCCACAAGCTGCTGCACTGACTGCTACACAGGTGTCATCGTGTCGTCCTGTCTGTCAGATGAAAAGCTGATCGAGCGCGTGCGATAACAATGCAGAAAAGTCAATGCGCAGAGAAGCAAAAGCATGTCAGGATACTAATTAAAAGCAACTAATTAGCGTGGTAACGCGAGCGATACGTAGCAGTGTGATAGGAGTCGCGCGGCGCGACTTGATAATGATTCCGCTTGCAGAAGTCGCCAGGAAATCCTCCGATAACGATATAATACAGGTCCACACATGTCGTTGAATTTCGACGTCTGAGAGACACATTGCTGCGTTGGATCGAACGTGTACACGATATAGAACGGTAGGCCGACGATCGTTTTACGACTTCTTTTCTTCTCTCGACGTGTCCTTGTCCTGCAAGCTTTTTTTTCTCTTGCCACCGCCGCAACAGTAGACTAGAGTTGAAAGTCGTCCTTGATCGTGACTGTTTGCTCGATTGATTTATTGTGAAACTGTATATTTCATGAATCGTTAGACTTTTATTGTCTGCTACTCGTGTTATAGCTTTTGACAATATATATGCGCGAAATAAAGTTTGTAAGAAGGTGATTAACCCAATACACTTTTGTTACAGCAAAATGTCAAAGTTACACTACATTGGTCTCTATTTGCTCTTCCTTGGGGGTTGCAGCAGTGTCTATCCCGACTGGGAAACCAAATGGCAAATTCTGTGTCCAGCGCTATATCCGCATGTTTTTACAAGTTACGCACCAAGAGGCAATCTGACAGTTGGAATCTACACCAGGCAACCACATCTAACCGACATAAAGCACTGTGTAGCAGCATGCTGTAACCAACAGCTGTGTCATGTAGCCATGATCTATAACATGACTTGCTTTCACATACAGTGCACATCGTCAAACATTTGTTTACCACTGTACAGACCCAATTTGGCAAATGTGAATCCACCAAGAATGGTCCTTGTTAAACCTGTTGATGAAGAGGAGTCATGGAATGACTTTATTGATCAAGACTCTGATGTACCTGGGTAAAACATTGTATGCTATTGAGGCTTTTGATTGAAATAAACCATTGATTTTATTGTTTTTAGTGCAATGTCAGATGCTACAGAACCTGAAGTTTCATTTTTTGGAGCAAGCAGCCTGCAATGCAGCAGTACGGAGGGATGTATGGAAAATGAAGTATGCGTAAAGGATCTTAAAAAGTCTGAAACAGGAATATGCGAATGCACTGTTGGCTATAAAAGAAATCTTGCTGGTACCATTAAAATTTAGATCTACTTAGTTTACTTTGAATATAAATTGTACTTTTTGCATATAGGTATTTGTAGCAATTACCAAAATCTTCAAGAATTGGATGCAGTATCACCAGATTCAATGAAAATGCGAATGTCCAAAGAGCGGACATCTCTAAAACTACCAGTAAAACTAATTTTCGTCAAGACAATGTCCAAGGAAGTACGTTTGCCGGAAAACGAAGTGTCGTTATCGGCGTTTACAGTACCCTCAGAAGATGAAAATGATCATTACACATATGCATGGACTCTTCTCAGCCAACCAGAAGCACACACTGGCACAATGACCGATCAAACGCAGAAAACAGTTAAATTGAGTAATTTGTCAGAAGGATTGTACAAATTCAAAGTAACAGTTAATGGGGTCAATAGCTATGGTGAATTGTACAAATTCAAAGTAACAGTTAATGGGGTCAATAGCTATGGTGAAGCATACGCAAACGTCACTGTATTACCTCGTAAGTTTTTAAAAATTCGATGTTTATTTATTATTTTAATGACAAGTTACGGAATCGCAACAAATCTACTGTCATTTAGCTAAAAGATTGAACCAGGTTCCAATTCCTATAATATCGCCTGCCTCACAAATTGTAAAATTACCAAATACTGGAGCCGTGTTAGATGGCTCGGCGAGCAAGGACGACGATAAAATTGTCTCTTATCACTGGGAATTACAGCAAGGTCCCATTGGTTATCAACCTAATCTTGTTGACACACCAACTCTGCAATTGGACAATTTAATTGCTGGAAATTATACTTTCAAGTACAATAATAATTGTTATTATTATTATTACAAATTCGCTCGATAAACATTCATTTTTAATTAACGTCATACAGATTGACTGTTGAAGATTCTGATCACGTGACGAATTACACAACAGCAAACATTACAGTTTTGAAAGTGACAGACTATCCCCCAAGTGCTAACGCAGGCCAGGATGTCATTATTTACTTGCCGCAGAACACACTCACTCTTAATGGCAATTTGAGTACAGACGACAGAGGCATTTCCAGTTGGGAATGGACGAAGAGTCCGTCGGACGAGAACAAAGCCGTCGACATGCAAGACACCAGGACTCCATATTTGCATTTGTCGAATTTAGAAGAGGGAATGTACACTTTTGTTCTAAAAGTCACTGATGATTCTGATCAATCGTCAACGTCCGAAGTTCACGTCTTCGTGAAACCGCCTACAAACAAACCACCTAAAGGTATTTATGAACTTTCATTTGCTTTTCTTTTATTTACGAGTCGAAGAATCATTCGGAATCTGTGTTTTAGCTGACGCTGGAGATGATATTATAATTGCTCTGCCTGAAACACAAACTGTGCTCAATGGTTCGAGAAGCAAAGATGATATTAAAATAGTGTCTTATCACTGGAAACAAAATTCTGGGCCTAGTAAAGTATCGTTTACAGCCTCCAACGAGTCAATAACGAATGTTACAAATTTAACAAAAGGGGATTATTCGTTCAGATTGACTGTTATTGATGACAATGGTAATAAAGATTATGCAGATGTAAAACTTAAAGTGACTCAAAGTAAGAAACTAGTTTCTTTTATTATTTTTCTTGGATTATTATTATTTATCATTGTCATCGCGGCGGGTAATAACTATTTATTATAACTCAATCAATTTTAGATAAAAATGCACCTCCAAAGGCAAATGCAGGAGGAGATCAAACTATAATTGCACCTGTGTATGCTCTAATCATCAATGGCTCTCAGTCAACAGATGATTTGAGAATTAAAAAGTGGTTGTGGAGTAGAGATCCAAAAAGTTTAGCAATTGGGAACATTGTTGAAGGAACTGATAAATCACCAATTTTAATGGTATATTCTGACTGTGACTGGATTTTGTAATGTACTTTGATTAAAATTTTCTACAATAACTAATAATTTTTTCTATTAGGTGACAGATGTTGTTCCAGGAAGATATGTTTTCACATTAAAAGTTACAGATGATCAAGAATTAAGTAGTGAAGATACTACTTCAGTCATAATCAAGGCTGGTACGTCTAGTAAAAATAGTATTATTCAATAACACAATTTTCAGTGAATCCAAAATTTGAAAAATTACAATTATTAAAATTGTTTTTTTCTAGATACATACCTTCTTAATTTAGTAGAATTAACATTAAATATTGGTGCTCATATGTTAACTGAATATCAGAAAAATCAATTAGTTCTCAAACTGCAAATGCTACTTAGAGAAGAAACTTCTATTGTTGTACGTAACATAAAAGCCAATTCTCATTCCGGCAAAGTTGTTTTAGTGTTTTATGTGGTGAAAAGGGATGGAAAATCTACAATGCCTGGACCAGAGGTAGTAAATAAGTTGAAAGAAAAACTTAGACAAGATTCTGGTATTTTACAATTATCAGTGGTCAATATCGATACAGCTGTTTGTCAAAACAATTGTTCAGGTAAAGTATCCTTTTCTTTAATAGAAAATAAAGAAAAAAAGTAATAAATTTTATATATCTCGTTGTCACAAGGTCATGGAACATGTGATCAAGAAACCAGACAGTGTATGTGTGAAGCATTTTGGATGCAAAATCTTGTGCAAGTATATTTTAGAAATGGAGAATCTAATTGTGGTAAATTATTCATGATAATTTGAAATATAAGCTACTCAGAATCAATCAATGTACTCATATATATTTTTCAGATTGGAGTATTTTATATGTAATTATAGGACTGTTATCACTTATCATATGTTTAACTGGCTTTATATGGGGACTTGTGTGCTTCTGTCATAGAATATGTTATGGAAAGCGACGACTTACACGTCCAAAGAAGAAGCCGACTCGCTATTCCCTGTTACAAGCAGAGCCTGGAGATGAGAGCACTACATGTAATTATTAATTAAATGGATTATTACTTAACAGTAACAAATTTATATGAAGAGCAAAAAAAACATGGTATTTTATAGTTTCAGCTCAAAAAGTTGTTTTATCGGAATCTGACACAGACTCTGACGATGTAATGTTTGATAAATTTAAAAGTAGTAAAACCAATGGACATTTAAAAAATGCAAAGTTTCGAAATGGTTTTTCAAAATCCAGTTCAAAAATAAAAACATGAGGTAAATATCAACTGAGCCAAGTAGAGATCTTTAGTAAATTATTAATTTACTTGAATACTTCTAGACTATTTTGAGAATAACTAAGAACAACTTGAGAACTAGATGAATGCATAATTTGCTATTTCTTCGCCAAATAGATTTAACTAGTCAGTAAACACTGAGTTTCTAAGAGATGTAACAAAAAAGAGAAGAATGTCAGGTCTAAAGGACTCATAATATAGTCTAATCGCCATTTGTATAATAAATCATCAAATAGAACATAATCTGCTTATAAACAAGCAAAAAGAATTTCTGTATTTTAATATTGTGATCCAACTTATGAAAGATATTGTAAGTATTTAAAAATATTTGATTTCTACTGATGTAAAATTTTTATGACGTGCAACAAGTAGCTTAAGCTATGAAAGTTTATAAAAAAAATATATCTGCAATGTGGCAATGTTTGTAAACTCTATACTTCAATCTGAAAAAATATGTAAACATTATTAAAAATAACGGTTTTTGAATGGTGTACAATACTATACCTATTTTACAGTAATCATTGATTTACAATAATTCTTTTGCTGGGTAAAATTCTTATACCAAATAATAAGAATGAATATATAGAAATATTCATTGTAAAAATGCATCATGAATTTTTTCAAGTGCACAAACTCATTGCCAAAGTAAGAACGTCATACTCCAACAAAACTGTGATCATCCCATCACATTGTGGTGTTTCATAAATAAATACAAATGAAGAAAAAAAAAGGAAATGATTTAAAATATGTATGTGTTACATCAAGTATTCCTTTGTATTTTTAATAAATTCTACATTATTTATGAATATATTTATGTATATACATACATACATATATATGTCAGTATATATATATATATACTGACATATATATGTATGTATGTATATACATAAATATATTCATAAATAATGTAGAATTTAATAATAATAACAAGTATATATATATATATTGCATAAAATGTTCAATAATAAAACAACTTTGAGAAATTGAATAGTCTTATAATTGTATAAAAAATTTCACATGTCATCACATTTTATTTGGTATTATAATAATTCAGAAAACTCCTTCATTAATAAAAAATGCTAGTTTAAAAGATAAAAATAATTTTCTAATATATAATTGTCTTAATTTTCTGCTGGTTTATCAATCACAGTCAAAACGCCATTTTCTTGATATTTTTTGCATAGTGGATCATCGTCTTTCACAACAAATGATAAAACAGCCTTTTGATAATAATCTGAACAGGTTTCTATATTACTAATGACTGTAGAAAGCAGGTGAGCTTTTTCACAATATATACCTGGATAAGAAAAATTATTGTTAGTAATGATGTGTTAATAACAATAATGTTATATGTTAAATAAAAGAAAGATGATATTCCACCTGGTGTTTCAAACATTAGATAAGTGAAGTGAACATGTAAATGGTAATAAGAGGGTTGATAGTGGATATACGTTCTAATTTGCGATGATGGTAAATTGTACTGTTTCTTAATGACATCTCTTCCTGTATCTCTGATATTTTTTAGTAGTGGCAAGTGAGTTTCATTAAGTTCCCTGAGTGACTTTATTCTTTTTTTTGCTAAAACTAATATGTTTAACGACTGTATCGAACCATCCCATTTCAAATCTGGTAGCATGAGAAAACCATTTTCCTTATCTTTATCCTCATAAATAATCTTATCAAATTCTGCTTTGTAGTCTAAGATGTTGTCCACCCACTAAAAATAATTTGTTTTAATAAGTCACAAGAGGTAACTATTTTTAGATTAACAGTGTCACATACCTGAAGAGAAAATGCAGTAGATTCTATGTGCGGCCGAGTGATTTTTTCATAAATCTCATAAGTCTCTTCAACAATATAGAGCTCTTTTCTTGAAAACTTATCCAAATGTTTCTGACTTGCAGGATGTATGATTATAGTGTTTAACCCTATCAATTTATAAATATAGTAAAACATTACTATAACTAATTTCTTAGGATTTCCTAAGCTAATAAATTACATTTTCAAAAACATTAACTCTAAAATATAGGCAACCTTTGTGAGAAAGATGATATAAATCTCTGAAAATGTTGCCAACACAAATGTAAAACTATAAATATGGAAGCCGCACGATGTCACATTGTAGTGTATCGCGACTGACATCGCGCGAAAAATTGTTTATAACAACAGAGCGACAGCGTGTCATTGTTCGATTGACAAATAAATAATGAGAAGTAATGTAACTCACCGTTATGCTCACGAGTAGGAAAGCATTCGTAATTGCCGTAGATGTCGTTATTGTATAGCTTCCTGATGATGGTGCCTTCGTTGAAGAAGCCTCGCTTGAGAAAGATCTCATCTTCAGGAAAGACTTTCTTCTCGAGAATGACAACCGCCGGTGCCTCATGTCCCTTAAACCTACCCTCGACGAATATTTGCTTCCTGTTGCTGTTGACGTTGAGTACCCGGGTCATTTGGAAACTCGACAAATTTAGGACTGCATCGTGGACGCTTGTTTCGGCTACGGCGGCGGCATTCTCAACGTCGTCACCGTTGTCGCATTTCGGCTTCTTGGAGACCGGCTCATCGTTCGTCGGCGCACTCTCGACACTTGGGTCCGCCATTTTTTCTTTGTCCTATCTTTTAGCAATAGGGATTGCACTGGCACTTTTTTGACAAAGTTTCGCCGGTCGCTATCACGAGGCCGCAACTATAAGCAGGTACACGCCGAAAAGTGAGACAGAGAGATGCGGAGAATGTGCCGCTGTTCGCAGACTGTGCCGTTGCCGGGCGCTAGAACGGAAGGGGAGGGGGCAGACAAAACTGACCGTGCACGCGCGCATCTTTCGCAAATGCGGCGCGACTAAGCTTTTAAAAGATTCATCATGTAACTTATTTGTAGTTTGCAGTCGTTTTTTATGTACAGACGTATAATGAAGCAAATTGCTTTTAATATATATTGTATAGCGTACATTTTCTTTTAATTTTCTTATATTTTGTATTATATCTAATGAGCATATATAGTACTCTCGGTAATAGTTTTTAAGTTCTTTTACGTACACTGTAAACACATGAAAGGTGAGTAATAGAAAAGATTCAATTTAGTAGATCTTAGTAATACACGCAATTACAAGTAAGAATTTTTCATTAATTGTAGCTTAATGTAGATGCTGCGCGTGTATAATCACAAGCAGAATATCCTGCATTCACGCCACAGATATAGCAGCAAAACTAACTGTTATGAACTGGTACACATATTGATTTAACTGGAAGAAGGAATCATTTTTTTTATCGAACCGAATTATCGAATATTTCGTATTGAAATTTATAATTCTTGTGAACTCCGCATTAATCGATACAAAAACTTTCTGTTTAAGTTGAGAAGTAAAATCGCGAAACGTTTACACTTTTGATGTGCACTGAATTCAAGATTAGAACTTGAAACTTGCATAAATTTTATAGAAATGTAATGACGCCGTTATTATATGAGCAAAAAAATTCCACAAGAAAGAGTCAAATACGAGATATGTTGGTATGGGTAAATTAAGGATGTAACGAGAATGCGACGTGTGATATGGTAATTATTTTGTTAGGTTTCATGTGTCCCTAACAGTATTAAAATCGTACGACCGAAAGAACGATATGAGAATTCTCCAGCTAAGATCATGTAGCATGTGAATATATGCAGCTATAAGATTATGATCAACGAATTATTCTGGAAGATCAGTCAGCTATTTTTATTGTAATTATCGAATATGAGCGAATATTTAGTATTAGATTATATACAATCACGCTTATACAATTATTTCACATCAAAATGATGCTTATAGTTCAATTTAAAACAAAATATTTTGGTTTATAAAATTGAAGGGTAAGTTAAAACGCCGAGATATTGATTATAAATATAAATCATATATAAGCGTCGGAGGTGATTTTGTCGTGTCCGACATTGTCCTACTTATTTTGTTAAAGAACGGCAATTTCCAATAGTCGTTGGTCCAGTGTTGAAGTTCGAGGCATAGACGCTTGGATTTAGTTTCTCTCATGCAGCTGTGCTACGCATAATAAATATCAATTGTACTGACACAAATCGTTTAGCATTGCCCACGAATAATTAGATCGTCAAATGGCTAACAGGCGATGATGAAAGCAAATTTTAATTTGAACAAGAAGTATTAACGGACCAATCGATCATAGAATGGCATCCTTGCGCTTTGGACAGTGATTGTGTTTGGCTTGTACGGCATTAAAAAGACTCCGAGTTCTGGTTAATTGCTACGTGGAAATTTTGATTAAAACACACGGAAATTTCGCGGCGTTCATCTGAGCATTATCAAAATTACAATTGAGTGAATATTAGACATAACGAGGACATGTAAATCGTGCGAGTCTTATCACTCAGTTAATAATCACATCCACTATATCTGGAAATGTTCTAGCACATTACGATCGAAATAAACTTTATACTATTTTTGTTTTGTATTTTAAATTCTCGAATTTCTTTAGACTAAGAATCATTGAAAACTTACTGAACAACAATGTAGTTGATTTTTATAGATGCTTCTTTCGGTAGATAATCAAAGCACGCGAGTCGATCAAATAATTATAAATACAAATCATGCATTAAACATTTAGTGGTTTACGTTCGATAGCCACTTTTTAATATATGACTGCGATTCAATGCTATTGCTCAAATCTATGAAATCCAGTTAAATATTTGCACATATACAAACACTCTTTTAATGGATCCTAAACTCGAAGAGCTTACTTCAATATAACCACGATAAAGCCTTCTTCATATAACGATGTCAATTCATCTCTTATAGTCAAAAAAGGGGGTAAAGTATCTATTGTTTAAAAGTAAGAAGCAATGTTTGTTCCAATACACGCTATTTTTTTCTGAATCATCAAAAGATTAATGCGAGAGTGCGATGAAAAATTCCATTTGACGACTATTTAATGAAACTCATTATGTTATCATTTTTTACAAATTATATCTTAAATTTTGTACAATCTAGTTAGCGAGTTGTAGTGTATGTACATTTAATTTTAAAACATTAAAAATTATTTAAAATAACAGCAAAACCTGATAAATTACAGAACCACCCACATAATTGATCATTGATAAAAAGTTATCTAATTAAGTTTTTCCTAATGAAATTCATTGTTTAATTATCGAAGTACTTATTAAATAATTTCTTGTAAACTCCATTTATTAAAATTCTGAAATAAAATAATGCACTAACTGTATCATGAGCAATTCATTATAATTGTAAAATGTCATTGTCTTCGAGCGAATAATAAATGACAATTGAATATCAATGGGCTTGAAAATAGATTTACTAGTCGCATATTGTATTACACAATAATAAATGTACAAATTGAAGGGAAAAATAAACAGGATGAACTTACATAAACTTAAGTCTTAGCTATTGACAAAATTGAGGAAATTGCATCACTCAGTGAAACATGCTCGCTTCATTTATCAAAAAACACTATGTTAATGTCACAATGTATATGTTTTTTTACCTTACCAAAAATTTCTTGCAGTATTATGCACATGTTTTTTGGTATGGTTAATAAAACGATAATGCGTATGTAAATAATAGTTTAATTACAAGTTGTGTGGTTTGCGCCGATCGCGTAATTCTCGCACTCTAGTTATGCAAATATTGTTTTCTTAATCACCTTGTACACGTTTCCATCGCCTTTACATGTATTGATGTTCTTAATAGTTTAAACATGAAAACTAAGCATTAAAAAGTTATTAACTTTATGGTACTGCGTGACTGAAATCCGCACTTATGCAACGTCTATTCGCAATTTTTAAGTAATTTATAATGGCCCCCCCCTGGCGTTCAGGTTACAATCTAACGGTACCATTTGAAACTGTTAAATCACGCATAGACGAGACGTAAGTGCGAATTAAAGAGCAATTCTATTAAATATTGAACGATACAGATGCCATGAGTGACACTTGATGTCCATAGCGTAAGTCGCTTTAGCACAGTGAGTGTGTGGTGCCATTAAGTTTCACTTATAACATTAGTACCGATATATATTATAATCATTCGGCATTCCTCAAAATCCGCTCACTTATTCGAAATAAAATATTCAGTGTCATTTGTCAGCGTCATTGCAAAACCACTTATTCACTTCACTAAACCCATTTTCTTTGCTTCAACTTCGTAAATCAATAACCTCCACATTTTTACTACAAACACTTCAGCTTCCTCGTCGAGGACCTGGAAAAATTACGTGTATATAACAGTTGCAATGATATAACATGCACACAATATTTGAATTTTAGTTCAATAATGCTTACCATTTGTACATCATCAAGAATACCTTGAGGCGAGCTGCCAGCCATAACTTTACTACAAATAAAATCAACTAGAGTGGGCTCTGGTTCACCAATGTACTCGATGATTTTTTTATTTATCCAAGGACGTATTCTTTTTTCCATCAACGACTGAATGAAGAATAAAAAGCGACTTGTTAGTAACTCAATACTTACGAATAGAAAAACATTAAGCGAATGACGGTACTTACATTGTCAATAATAGCCCAGTCAAGTTGATAGCCAAAGAGGGCATTTTTGTCGGTAGGAATTTTATCAATAAGGGACTTGATGTGTTTTCGTTTCTCCTCCTGAGACTTAGCAGTATCTTCTTTTGTGTTCTTTGGAGGCTCTTCTTTCTGCTTCTTCTTTTCCTCTCCGTAATCTGCAAAAAAGGCAACCATAGTCATCCTTGATAAATCGTAAATGTTCACAACAATACACATATGAAGCATTAATTCTCACCGATAGGTACGAGTTTGCGCTTCTTGGCATTGTTCGCACTATCATCGTCATCGTCATTATTAAAAACGTCTTTAACGTCTATCCGACCTCTCCGTTTGGACTGATTGGAGTTTTGAATGGCATTGGGGCTGGCTGGTGTCTTGTTCCCGTGATCAGCCCTCGACCCACTAACAGCCATGGAGAACGAAATAAAGTTGCTGCTGAGCTTTTCACTTTCGCTGACAAGCGACGCTCTGGAGTCTTCGTCGTGCGAGGGCGGCGGCTGAGGTGGCGTGGTGGATCTCAATATCAGCGGTGGCGTGGTGGTGCGCCGCTGACTGCTTTCGTGTTCGACGTCGATGGCCTCGATCTCGTGATGATGCTCCTCGACGGCTTCTCTGTGGTGATGCCGGTGGTGTCGGCGATGGTGATGATGATGCGGACGAGGTGGCGTGCGAGAGATCTCTTGGGGAGCGACGGTGCCGTTGTCGTAGTGGGCTGCTTCGTCGCTGTCGCTCTCGATAGGCTCGGTCTCGATCGGAGGCATCTCCACGACCTCCTTGTGCCGTGGCTTTTCCTCCTCCTCGTCGATTATCGTTATGACGGGTTTGGGTTTGTACTGTTCCTCGCGTTCGGCCTTCAGCTGTCAACGTGAAAATCCCGAGCATTGATTAGCCTCGCGCGCACTTGTGTTTGGAAGGATCGGCTTGGCAACTTACCCTCTCGAACTCAGCGGCCGGGTCGGCAAAGCTATTGTCGCTGTAGAGTTTCTCTTTGAGTCGCTGGAGTTCCTGCCTCTCGGCGCAACGGTCTCTCGAGTCGGCCTCGGCCTCGACGGCCCTCTCCTCGAGCCGACGCGACAGCTCTTTGCCCTTGTAATACTTGGCGTCATCCCTCTCGTCGTCGTAGTCCTCGAGGAACTCCTTCAGCCTCTTGGCTTCTCGTTCCCTCGCCTCCCGCTTGGCCCTCTTCTTCTCGTTTTCCTTATCGTAGTCCTTTTGCTTGCGCCGCTCTCTAGCTTCCCACGCGCGCAGTCTCTCCTGATAAGCGGCGTCCTTCTCCCGGGCGCGCCTCTCGTTCTTCTTGCGCTCCTTCGCCTCCTCCTCCTCCTCGCGCTCGCGCAAGATCTCACGCTCGGTTTTCCGCGTCTCCTCGCGCTCTCGGTCGCGCTCGCGCTCACGGATCTCCCTCTCGCGTTCGCGCTCGCGTTCGGCGCGCTCGCGCTCGCGCTCCTTCTCGCGTTGCTCGCGCTCGCGCTCGCGTTCGCGCTCCCGGTCGCGCTCGCGCTCGCGTTCCCGGTCGCGCTCTCGGTCGCGCTCTCGGTCGCGCTCCCGATCGCCTCGATCGCCTCGGCCGCGCTCGCGCTCGCGCTCACGCTCGCGCTCCCGCTCTCGGGTTTTGGACCTGCAAAAGACAATTACATCGCATTAGTTTTCTAGGCTAGCGCGCCCTCCTTCGTTTATTTCTTCCTTTCTAATTTATTCAAACAACTCTGCCGAACAATTTGTCAACCTCGCCGAAATTCCTCCATCTCGATTCATATTACAGTTATGTAGACGTTAAAATTCCGATTTCGCAAATTCGCGTATATTAAATACCAATACTTGCAAGTCATGTGCAAACATTTTTTATTTTTTATTTCACGAGACCAATAAGAGATTAATGAATTGTGACCAACAGTGCTTTCGAATATTCCATGAAAGGCAGTTTTTCAATCTAAATATTTGTTCCTTAAGACATATGAGCATCAGCAAAATGTTAACTAAACTCAATAATGACCTGTTGAATCAATATGATAAAACGAATAAAATTATTCCAATTACTCAGCTAAGCTAATTTTAATAATATCCTCGACAACTTGCCTACTGACAAGACAGAGCAAGGTTGAAAAAAAAAAATATATATATATTAGGAAAATAAAATCAAGAGTCACAGATCAATGGACAATTTGTTTAAAAACTCACGCAGAACGTATTTAAGGTGGATGTAACAACGAAAAATATCATCCTGAAAATTGCCAGACACGTTCTACCATGTAAAATCATTGCCAGAATAATACTTTAAAATAGTAATAAAAAAAAGGCACGTGAAATAAAGATGGGAAAATCACCTCGATCGAGTACGTCGTTTGTCCCTGCGACTGATGCTACTGCTACGTAATTTGTGTGGACTGCCGGGCTCCTCACTGCCGTCGTGCTTATTCGAGCCATCCTCGTCTTTACTCCTCTCCTTGCGCTCCTTTTCGCGCTTTTCGCGCACCTCCTTCTCCTCGGCCTCGCGTTTCTTTTTCACCTGGGCCTTCTCCTCTTCTTGTTTCTACAAAATACGAAAATCGGGAAAGCTCACTTTAATCATCGCTGTCGCTTCATCTCTTAACATCTTTTGACAATGTGATTGAGCTTAACTTAAAACTAAAAGAAAGTCGATCGTATAAACTACTCTAAGTTAAGAAAAAAAATCGTATTTAAACGCCAGCACTTTTTCTTTTGAGCGGAACGTTAAGTAAAGTCGTATTAGCACTCGACTTTGCGTCTCGATTAAGGCAACGAGTGGAATATCACTTTACAAAAAGCTGCGAGAAATTGACTATATTTATTTGGTGTTCTGAGAAATTGAAAAAAAAAAAATATTTTGCTGTTAAGATATGAAAAAATGAATCATTGTTAATTTCTCAAGACAGCAATCGATAGCAGTGATGCAAGAGGTACAGTGCAGTAAAAAAATCGAACGAAAGATCACCGGCTGGAAGAAAAGATACAAAAGAAATTCGGAATGCTTATTGAATCTTAAGTGTATATAGGACAAATAATATGAATATATCATCATCGTATATATTAGGTAAATATATGTAAATATTTATAAATATATAATAATTGTTTTCGCAGTCGTTCATTATTGTTCTTACTCACAACGTCTGACGGACCCTTGGAGGGCTTTACACTGATTGGGTAGACCGCATAAGAGTGATCGGCAGCTTACACTGGTGGAACGAGAGAATGCCTTGATAGAAAACGAGAGGAAGAAAGAAAGAGAAAAGAGAAGAGATGCTGTTGCTTTCCTCAACAATTGGTTTGGACTTAAGCTCTAATGCTCAAATCTTGTTACACTGTAACAAGCGCACGGAAAAGATAATAGCGATAGCGGAGCCGACAAGGCCGCGTAAGCGCGTACTCACAACACGCGAACGCACCTGTCTCGTGCTCTCACATCGTCGTTGCGACGATTGCTTCTCATCGTTATTTCTCATCGTTTTCGGGTAGAATTGGTCTAATGTTTACTTATAAAATGTTTATTGTAGTGAGACGTGGGTTTTTATACCGATCATGGCGAAGGGCGCCGGACAGTCTCGAGTCGTCAGTCATAAGGTCTCTTGCGATCGTGAAGGGGGGTTGCGATAGATCCCGCACACAATTTTCCACACTCTCTGTGCGTTTGCGTATGTGTGTCGTGTGCCTCCACCCTCCCCCCCCTCCTTCTCTCTTTCTCTCTCTCTCTTTCTCTCCCTACAAATCACCCCTTTTTCGTGTGATCGTTCCCGCTTGCGGTTGCAGTTACTCCAACTTGCAAGACGACGACGACGACGACGACGACGACGACGACGATGACCGAGCGAGTCTGTGTGTGAGTGTGGAATGGCCAGCGACAGCTGTTGAATATCAAAGGCACATTTTTTCTTTGCTCTCTTCTCTCGGCGGCGCGTGCTTGCACAAAATTTTTCAAACCTCAACCAACTCTAATATATTCTTTTTTTACATATCCTCAGTTTAATTATGAATGTATGCTATAGGTGGCAACTGAAAATCGTCGAGCAATTCTATACAGGGTGTCGAGGATCTTGGGTTGATTGATTAGGCATGCAGGCTTAGTTTTAAAAGAAATCAAAGAAAAATTGTTGACTCAGCAGGATATTTCGATTGTTTGAAGTAATTCGCTTTATGTACGAGGAAGCTGAAGTTGAGATTATACAGTCATTAACTGCAGAAATTAAAAAACTCAATGAGAAAAATATGAGTCAATTGTGTATGTATATGTGATGCCTCGGTGACTATTTTTTTTCATGGTTGAGCTCTAATTGTTAACATACATTTCATGCGATAGCAGTAAACATATGCAAGTGTAAGTAGCATGATAAATAAATTCTATTCATTCATTGTAAAAAAAATAAGAAACTCGTTAATGAAGCAAAAATACTAGATACAAAGTCTAATGACTGTATTCACCCAAATCATTGAAAAAATGAATCGATGAAGCAAATTAAATATTCAAGTAGTTATTAGAAACTTGCGTTCTCAAACTGTTTCACTCCCTCATTTTATCAATAATCGTCGAGGTTTATTAAAGGAGACAATAGAAAAACAATTCAATACTCATGTTAACAATGTCAACAATCATAAACATGAATATTGAAGTGTTATTAAGGTACATCTCCTACAGAGAGAAAAATAAATAGGAAGGAACCTTTTGACACGAAAGTACAGTTAATATTTAATGGAACTTTGGCTTTGAGGTTGCCAATTTTGATTTGTTTTTTTTTTTCTTTGCATTGTTGATTCTCATTTGTTGGTGAATAATTACTCACGGTATGCGAAGTCGGCTGCTGGAAGTGCCGAGGAACGCTGGAGAAGCACCTATGGTACTACGTACATGTCTGATCGTGTGAGAGGCCGAGCGAACACTGGCTGTTTACACAAAATAAAGAACAACTGAACGCTCTGCCGTCGTGTCGAGAAAGAATAAATAATGTCTCGCCTTCACTCTCGTATACTATCATTACTTTTACGTAACGTACATATTTCGAATTAAAACGCAGACGAACGATACAAACACTTTTCTTAGATTTCGTAGCAAGCTTTTCGCGTCACTCCTCTCGGCTGGCTTCCGTTGATTATCGATGACTATACACTCATTTTCCCATCCCTCAATCCCTTGCCAACCACTAGTCGATGAATCAAGTCTTATTTTTTAATTGGATGTTCAAAAAGTATCATTACCTTCATAACTTCCCGAAACTTTCCGATTTCTCGTGTGATTAGATCGCGCTTACTTTCCTCGATTTCTGCATCATCCAGACTCAAAATCTTGGCTACTGTGGTTTTGACTGGTTCTTCTGTATAATCATTTTTTATATTAGTGATTGCATAATTTAACAGTGGATAAAAGTCTTGTGAATTCGTAATATTTTACCTGAATTATTTGGAGTTATTTCAAAATCTGTTAAATGCTCAGTAATCATCATCTTGATTCGTTCGAGACCTTCAGTGTCCATAGCCTTCATTGTTTCATCCATATAGTCATCGTTATCATCTGATTCAGTTGAATCTGCTGGCGTTTCATCTTGCAGAGGTGATGAGCCTCCTTTCAGTTTCTTCCGCCTTTCAGCTTTAAAAAGAATATAACACCATTACACAACAATTGATAATTAATAAAAAGAATTTCAAAGGAATTTTGAATGTTCTTACCTTTGAATTGATCTAGCACAACTTTCGTTTTAGCATCAACTTTTACAACTAATTTCTTGTTGCCAACCTCCATGTCATGTAGTAATCTAATGGCTCTGAGTCCAGCATCTGGACCAGCAAATTCACAGAAGCCAAAGGCCTGAACTCGCTTCCACGAAACAACATGACCACAAGCACCGAGTATCTGCCTCATCATGATATCAGGTGCACGATCCATAATATTTCCTACAAAAACAGTTACTGGTGGACCAGATTCCCGCTCTCTCCTTGGTCTTGCAGTTGGTGCTTCAGCTCTCACATTTGGTGGTGGTGCATTTCTCGTATATCGAACTGCTGGGGCTGAAGTCTGCATTGCTGAGACTGGGGTAGGAACCATCTGCCATATATTTGAATCATAAAATATTTGAAGTTTTGATCATTCAAGTTTTATAAAAATTACATATTCAGTGAAAGTCAATGAACATATGCTACTTTTAAAAGCATTCTATCAATGTACCAAACAACCAATGGATCAAATTTTTTTTTTATTCCATTTTAATTATAAAATTGCTAATTGAATTTAGTTGCAATTATAATAAATAGATATTAAAATAATAAATGACTTACATGAGACATTGGCATAACACCCCCAATAATTGGTGGTGGCGCACCCACCATATATGGCATTGGTGGCATACCCGGAATGCCCATAGGAGTCTGACCTGGGTACGACATGACTGTTTAGCAAATAAATCGGCTCACTAAATCACAAAACTTGCACCTGAAATCACAAAATTTCTCGTTGAATTTGGCACAACAGCGGAGTCATTGAAATCAGCAGATATGTAACGGATATGGATCAGCGACACTTACAGTCGAAAACAAACGCGACAATCACGTGTGGAGGCCACGTTAAAAATAATTCATGCACAAGCAACGCTTCATCTCAAAAAATGAATGACAAAAAATAAGAAAATTTACCAGCATTATGCATATATGTACGCGAGACACTATTGCATGATCATCGGGCGAATGCTAATCCAAACTGAACTCGATAATTTTCACAACTATAATCGAACCAATGACATTTTTACGTTGAGACGTCACGCTCATTCGTCGCCGTCGTCGTTGCGGCTTTACTTAACCACACACAGCGCGATTGCTTCACCCTCGCAACCAAATTAAACTCACTTATTGTCGACACTTACTCGGCTAATTGGAATAACTTCTCGCCGGGAAACTCATGGCAGTGCAGCACTCGCGAAATTACTTTTTCCGGCGTCTTTATACAGGGCGGCGGCCCAACTTTTGGTAAGAAATTACTGGTGAACTGCTGCTACTGCTTGGACGCCATTAGGTACGGACATTTTCGCCTTCGTAATCTCTAGACCAGGCTAGGACACATGTGCGCAAACTCAATATTCAACGTGTGGCACTGAGCGGTGCGCGACTAGCGAGGTCTCTCGGCAAAAATCCAAAGTCTCTGGGTCCGCCTGGGGGCCTATTCTGAAAAAAAATTTTAGCACATGTCATAAGCATTTATCACATCTAAAGTGATTAATTCTGTGGTAAACTGAAGTGACAAACTGATTTACCACAAAATTTTTTTTCAGAATAGGCCCCCTGCTGAGCATGCATGCAAAAATCGCTCTTACCGATCCAATATGAAAGGACATCACATTCAAATTTTTAAGCATTAAGTATAAAATTGATGACATAAGAATGTAAATAGTGTATTTATGTAGTGGTTATTATAGTTCGATAGTAAAAGTCTTATTATTAGATATTCTAATCATTTTCTACGTAATATTTCTCTTTCCGGAAACAATAGCTTAAATAAAGCAAATAATATATATTATTTTATGTAATATAACAAATCTTATTTTGGAACAACCTAGGACTTGCATATGCAACAATATATTCCTACGTTTTTGATCTTGTATTCGGACTGCAAGTTGAGGCTAGTGAAATGTACATACATATGGTAAAGGCCAGCTTCCGTATCTACAACACTTAGGTTACGGATTTTTTTTTAATTGTACACATAAAAGTGAGTTTTTTTTACCAGACTTTCATGACTATATATTAATTATATCAAAAGTTATTAGCAATTAAAGAAAAATAATAAAAAAATTTCAAAAAGCGATATTTTAAAAACTAATACAAACATCGAAATCGAATAAGTATAATTAAAAACGCAATTATGTGAGTGATCCCTTAAGGGACTTGCTCTTATAATTGATTTTTAATTACTGAGAGTGAAATAGATTTTAGATATCGAAATCGAATTTTTTCCAAAATACTTATAATTTACACTTTCAAAATAATTACAACAATAAATAATAAACACATTTTTTTCGAAAGTTATTAATTTTTTTTTCTACAATTGCAAATATCTCAATAACTGATTTTTTTTAATTCTTGCTTCTACCTGTTTCTAAGAATTTCCGCTACAGAACTGAGTCATAAAATTCAAGGGCTCGACATATCAGAAGGCGTGGCACTACAAAGAAGACGACTTGGCGTACGGCCGTGATCGCCCCTAGCAGCAAACAACCTCTCGGCTGTCTTTTGGACCTTTAATGGGTGTTCTTAGATAAAACTTGATCGAGCCATTACTTTTATTACTCTTCCGGGTATTTAAAATTTGTTTCAGCATGTTTAATTATTCATGAAAATATTTACATATATTTTTTTATTTTCCGTTTTGCTATAGTTCTTCACGTGTAAAATCATTGCGTTGGAATATTATTCATATAATCAATCTTGAATAAATATGATTACGATAGAAAATTATAGATTTAAAAGTGATGAATAAATAGAATTTGAAGAAATTTTATGCATGATGCCAACTACCTGAGCCTAAATTAAATTTTTGGCCGTCACCTCCTTCAGATGTCCTAAAATTTCATTCTCATCCTATAGCTGATAATCATTCAAATGCCGTTTTGTCCGTGCGCCTGCGCACAAAATCGTAACGATATTTTTAAATATACCGACAATGTGGATCCGGATTTTGCTTAAATGATCAATTGGACGGAAATAAATTTTAATTTTACCTTCCGAATTAAAATCTACACAAAGAAAACATTATTTAGATTATTACTATAAAATTAAATTGTCAATTATGTAAACATGAATCAAAGTTCCAAAAAATAGTTTAATTAATCGTACTTCCGTCTAAAATTAACATACCGAGACAGCGAAATCAAATACTTAATTCCGTAATGTTATATGTTAAATAGTAAGAAGATGAATTACATACTCTATTCCTACCGCGGAGACTAAACATATTAAGTTTCTTGTATTTTTCAACATTTAATTCGCAGCTACGTCAAGAAATATTAGTTCAAAAAGAAAAAGCAAAACAACCTAATCTAATAATAAAGAGTAAAAAGACATATAATTTTGGCGCGCGTCGATTTTATAAAAGATGCCTTGAGGAGGCGCTTTGGTAGTGCCTGGCGTTGTGAACGCGCACTTCAGCTGATCGGCTTTCCAACGAACAGCCAACGAACGGCTCTCGATCTCGATTCTCGAGGAGAGATTTTAGAAAATGGCAGAGTACTGCCGTCTGTTTTGTGATTGTGACTGCTTCTCTCTTGAATTTTCATTGGAAGTTGCGATAATTTTGTAAAACTGACTTCTGTAGATGAAGTGTGATCTTTGGCCGTTATGCACCTGAATCGTTGTATTGGTAAGTAACGTGGAAGTGTAATTTTTTCAATGTCAGATACGACATTTGGCTCTCAAGATGCACCAAATTTTATACGCTCGGAAAAACGCATACCTTATGAGAAGTCAAGAGCCTGGTTTACTTTATACCAGAGATGCTCTAACACTTTTTTTGCCATTCCAAGAGCAAAGTGAATAGACAGGTGGAATATATTTTGTGCAAGACTTTGTCTACAGTTGTATGTGCTGATAGTTAGTTTGTTGATGTGTAGTATTATTTTTTTTCTTCAAAATATTTTTCTTTGATTTTCTCCTTGATTACTCAAGTTAAATATTTATGCAAATTGAAAATAAGTCGAGCATGTGAGAATCTCAAAATGGTAGATTCTTTCTAATTATGCTAATGCCTATTGTTATGCAAGTGTAGTTTTCTTTTTGTGACTCATTGTTTGTGTATTATTGAAGTGTCAAAAGTGATTGTTGACGGTCTACTTTCATCAATTTAGCCACTTCAGAGTGTGTTTCATAACCTTATGATTAAATTTTTCAATATGTATAACAAATTTTGTATACAGTTACAACATTGTACTCTTTATCAATACTTTAGAACGTTCTGTTTATAGGAAAAAGTATTTTTTAGGATTCTTAGATATCGATTTTGCTAAACAATATATATTTTTAAGAAAGAATGCAACAAATTTAGAATTAAAAGTGTAAATATTTTAAGTTTCTTGTTTAGAGTATTTGACAGTAATACTTTGTTTGACATTTTTTTTCAGACTACTCTTAGTAACATAAACAACAATATGGCCCCTAGACGAGCTGAGGAAATACCTCTGAAGAGAGTAGCAGCGTTAGGTTGTCGCCTGCCCTCTCGTCTTCCTGCTGGAGAAATTTTAACAGATATCACTCAAAATTCATGGAGATTAGGTAATTCCATAGGCTGTGGTGGTTTTGGAGATGTTTACCTTGGTGAGTTGAGTATAACAAATATTACTAACAAACTGCCTATTGTAATTATATTTAACAAAATATTGTTTTTATAGCGTCAAATGATATTCACAAACCAGTTGGTCAAAATGCAAAGTATGTTATTAAAATTGAACCACATAATAACGGACCTTTATTCGTTGAAATGAATTTTTACATAAGAGCTGCCAGAAAATCAATGAGTAAGTAGGTTCTTTAATGTTGAAAAAGGTTTCTTTAATTATTTCGTAACAAATAGATTTTAATTAAACTTATTGCTTAGTTGAAACTTGGTGCAAGGACCAAAATCTTTTACAAGTAGGAATACCAAGTTACGAAGGTTCGGGATCACATGTCTATGGAGGAGAAAAATATAGGTTTCTAGTAATACCTCGATATGGAACTGATGTGAGCAAATTATTTTTGGCTAATGGTAGAAAACTGTCAAGCAAATTCGTCAACAGTTTGGCTGTTCAAATGGTATTTATTTTATTTCCAGTATAGTATAGAGTTAATGAAAGCACTGCTATAATATATCTATTTTTTTGCAGTTGTATGCCATAGAATACATTCACAATCAAGGGTATGCTCACTCGGATATCAAAGGTGCAAATATTTTATTGAAAAAGAATAATCAAGAATATCGTACAGAAATCGAAAAAACTCAGGCTTTCCTTGTTGACTATGGTTTAGCTTATAGATATCGAACTAGTAATGGCATACACAAACCTTTTGTCCATGACGAAAGAAGAGCCCATGAAGGAACTCTTGAGTATACTTCGCGTGACGCTCATCATGGAAGTATGTTAATTATGAATTTTCAAAAGTAGACTTCAAATTCATCAAATTGTGATTTTGATGCTAATTAAATTACTTGCTTCTTCAATAGCACATTCAAGGAGAGGAGACCTTGAAACATTAGGATACAATATTCTTCAGTGGCTCTGCGGACGGTTGCCGTGGGAAAATGAAAATGGAGGCTTATCTCCGTCAGCTGACCCTGATGAAATTCATGACAAGAAAGAAAACTTCCTACTAAACATAGATACTTTTATGAAAGAGTGTTTTAAAGATAACAAAGCACCAGGTTTATATAATATTGTCTATTCAGTACATTACGTACACAGATTACATACGATATTTTACGTACATCTTTTTTTGTAGAAAATATAACAAATTACATGAAGTATATTGTCAATCTCAAGTTTGAATCCAGGCCTGATTACGTATACCTCAGAAGCCTGTTCAGACAGGATTTAAGCTTTGAAAGTCTGTTTGGAAAAAGGTTGTCTTTTGCAAACGAAAATTCTTCGCGCATTGAGACTTTCAAGAGACCGTATTTACGAGAGCGAAAACCATGTAGGCCCGTGAATGGCGAAGTATGTATAATTTTGTTTTATTTAATGCTGCCTCATATTTGAATATTATAGTATTATATTCAACGTAAATATCAAAGTGAACATAACCATAGCTTGGTAGAATTGAACTTTTATGAATTAATAATGTCAGAGTTGATTTAAAAATTGCTGCTTTTCGTTGCGAATTTAAACTAAAATATTTAGCTTTACAAATTAAAGCTTTTTGAGAAAGCTGAAATGCAAAGGAAGTTTGGACAAAAGTTCATAAAAGCGGTCGGACAACTAAGCTTGTTAACATAAACGAATGTCGCAAGACGAAAGTATTTTGTAAATATATATGTAATCTAGAATGTGTGCGCGTCGTAGGTGCGAATAACCCGAAACACACAGTTGTTAGCGGAGCATGAGAAAAAGGAAAGCGACTTTAGTTGGGAGGCGGTACTGGCTTGTCACCCGGACAAGCTGGCGAAAATCAGCGCTCAACCGCCGTCGTCGCCTCTGACCCCACCACCGTCGCCACCGCCGCCAACACTCCCCACCTACGCTATGCTTGCCGTGCAGCAGCGTATGAAGGAACGACAAACTGGTTTGGTCAGGCAGCGAACCAATTCCAAGTCTTCCGAGTGAGTATCTCTTTTATATATTATCCTTTCCTTTTTTCCTTCTTCCTGCATGTTCACCTTGGATATATATACACGTTAATAACAACCTAACGTTTTCTTTTTCATCTCTTTTCTTTTTGCTTGAACATTTTCTACTTTCATTTTGCAGTAACGATCTTAAACCCAAATGGATGACACCGGCAATGGAAGAAGTGGCTCAATTAAGGAAAAGGAATCTTCAGAAAATACAGCTCGACGCCAATGCCAACGAAACCAAAAGACTTACACCTCGACTCACACGCTCTCGCGTGGCGCAGCTTAAACGTAAGTATCAGTTATAATTTTTTTCATTCTGCTTATTTGTTTGTTTAATCTTTCCTTTTGGACTTTTCTTCGTAGGTAAAGAAAAAGCGATGAAGCGCTCGTTGCAGACTGATTCGAAAAGCGGGATAAAAAAAAAGCGAAAACTGTCCTACTGAAGCGGAGTCGTGCCGAACGCGTTTATAGTAAGCAATTACAACAATCGCTCGTTAACGAAAAATAACATGATAATTTAACAAAAAAAAACCTTGCAAATCTTTCGTATCAGATATAACGTGTAAGTATTATTACTGATTAGGTTAGAACTTTTCGACGTTCCTGCGAGAGGACAAAACAAAACTCGCGCGCGATTCTCGCCACTTTTTCGTAAGACTGCCTTACCAACGCTAACTTTTTTAAAGAGCCTTGGTGATCAAAAGAAATTGATAAGAAAAACACCCAAGCCTGGTAAGCACGGATTTAATTTTATACGAATCTTTCACATTACATGTCATTATTGTTTTTAACAAACTTGTCCGTTACATTTCTCTATACTTTTTTTGTAATGTGCGTATAAATTAAAGATATCAAATCATATAAATAGAGAGTCGAGCTTTCGCTTTATTTTTTGGTGTGTGACGCAGGCGCGATCACAGTCAAAATTTCGAACGGAAAGTCTGTAGTTGTTTTAAGGCCAACATTACTTAGATAGAATTCTAAATAAGCTTCCGTTGCGAGATTTTGCGGAATCGAATGATTTTTTTTCTCGAACTTCCAGTCTCTCAATTAAACCATCACACGTATCCTTTATTATTATTTTTCCCGATCAATTAAATTTAATGATATTTTCTTGTAAATACCGAAGTATAATTAACATAAGGAAATTTATATCTTATTTGTGATAATTGTGTATATTAAATGGTTAAGTTGAGCAGCGTACCTGTGCCACGAGTAAAAGAAAAATCCGCTTAGTGTTTAATCATATGCGTATTAATAAAATCGTTTAGGTTTTGGCTAAGAATCATCTTTTTAGTGCGAGATAAATATATATACACTCACGTACGACATAATCAGAGAGTACATATATAGAATTATACGTTACTTAGATACATTTTTTCTCTCTTTTTTTAAATTAGAGATGAAACTATTTGATAATAAAATATCTTTATGGTTTTTTTGTACATTTGAATCTTTTATCGCTTAACATGTAATATGTCGTATTGTATTACAGAAATATAGACCACAATGTGCATTTAAATTAAAATTGGTCTCTTATCTTATTGAACTCGTTCACTTCTTCTCCTGTCATCCACAACTTAGTTATAATGACCTAAATTCAATCTTTGGGCAGTGAACATTTGCCCATTGAAGATATATTTTTTAATTACAAATGACATGCATATTTTAAGATTTATATCTTAAATTGTAAAGTCATCGTTACGTTCAAGTTTCATTAAAAACCACAGAAATGCGACTTAATATTTATTTTTACGACTAAAAACGCATCGGTCCGTTGATAAATAAATAAAGAATGCGCGCAACGTTTTTTCTCTAGAATTTCTCTAGAAAAAATTAACTTGAATTTCTCGCGCGCAATTATTTATCAGCTACCGCGAACGCGCGCTCAAAGAAACGCTTGACAGTTACGAGATTCAAGGAATCGAGCTGCGAATCAAAATGCCACGCGTCGATACAGCGCGAATGGAGAAAAGCGCGCAAAACTCGCGCTCGCGAGAAAGGAAGACCGTTCATTCATCGCTGGCGCTAATAATAGCCGTGGCACGGCGCGCACCGAAAAAGACTGCAGCAGCCGCGCACCGCGCCCTTTTCTTGCATTGAACTTGCTCCCGGGCGCTCGCGATATTTACGGCCGAATACGAATGGCACATGCGCGCACCGAGACGCGCTGATTGTATGGGGGGGGGGGGGGGGGGGTATTATGGCATTTTAAGTTACGCGCCAGTTGTAAATTTCGCACGCGGCACGACGTAAAGTTTGCCTCATTTGCGCTCGCCTGGAATCTGCGCTCTCCGCTCACAATGCACGTCTTCTATACGACCGAGCTTTTCGACTCGCGATATTTTGTAATATGTTCAGTCATTAGCACGAGCGTTCAATGATCATATTTGTATTGTGATGCGAACGCGACTAAAGATTTAACCATCGATTATTCGCTGTTTTGTTGTTCAATTCATTTGCTCCGAACAGATAGATAACAAAACTGGTTCGTTAAATACGTATTCGGATGCATCGCGATGCCCGGCAAAGTCAATAAATAAATAATCAAAAAATCCCGGTGAACGATCCACCGGGAAAAGTTTTGCCACAGATAACATTGCGTAAGAGGCCTATGTGCGCGTGAAGGAAGCCACAGTACGGAAACAAAGCGCGCTCGTTTCGACACAGACAACAGTTCTCGTTGAATCGACCGTTTAAAATATCAATCGCTCGTGCGCTCCCGTCAATTGAAAGAAGACCGTAGCTCCAAATTGACCCACTCTCGACAAGTCGTATCAGATTACCCAGATATGGCGCGGAGCCTATCAATTACTTGGCCCGGCGCGTAGAGCGCTTTCGTTCGTGCACGCGTGCCCTGGAGGAAGGAGAAAAGAAGAACTGCGCCCAAGCAGGAAAAAGCCGAAAAGAGCGCGAACGCTCATTAGTGCCTTTGATGTTGGGCATGTTGCACCATTTTCCTTCGCGCCGGTATCGAGTTACCTTGGTGTCGCGAGTGCGCGCTTACACACGCTTTACCTGCGAAAACACTTGTGGCGTAAAAAATGCAGCCCCCCCCCCCCCCCCCCCCCCGTCACTCACACACATCCTCCACTCGAAAAAGACGCATGAAGCAAAAGTAACCACTTCATTTTCTAATATATATCCCACGCTCATGCAATCTCGCAAGCGCATCTTTCAAAGCCTACAGTTGTAAGTCAGACGGCGGCGGTATCATTGCGAAATTGATAACAGTATTAAACGCGAGTTATGCTCTTATCGCACGTTTATTACAGCCACGCTTTTCTGCAATATCAATATTGCAAGGTATGTCCACCGTCTTTTTCACGGATAAGCCCGGCAACGACAATCATTAAACCAGTCGGTGTGTGATATACGCCTGTAGTTTGTTAATTGATGGTTCTCCCTTCCCTCTCCCTGCTCTCGCGATGCTTTTGATAATTAGGCTAAATTATGAATATTTCCCAAGTTTTAATTGAACAAACATCTCCTTACGAGGAAAAAAACACTAAAACAAGCGCGCATGATCGAACTGATGTAAGAGATTAGAGTATGTAATTGATTCGAAATATTTTTGCGCTCGACTGATATATATACGAGCGAATTACTTAACGACGTTCTCGAAAATTCAATTACGTGGCTGCTTGTCTAATCGCAAAAGTATATAAAGGAACACTTTTTATATATGTATGTTTATATGAAAGTAGACACGTCGACGTCGATTTTGACTCCTTGAACGCGAACACATAACTTATCCCGTTGAACCCAAACAAAGCGATATCGCAGTACAGTCGACGCACACACCATATCCAGATTACCACCAATGCTCCAAAGAGCGCGTTGATGCCACCCCACTTGAAAACTTTCGTGTACACAGCGATAAGGCCAACACCTATATAGTGTATATGCCCAATCGCCTTTAAAACCCATATATACGTACACACGCGCGCGCACGTTTGTATATATGGTAGTGTTGGTAGAGGGGAGTCGGCCGGCTCTGACAAGCTCTCGCTGTCTCTCTCACTCGCTCTCTCGTTCTGGCTGGTTCGCCGGTGGCGCGGTTGGCTCTGCACTGCAGCTTTGCCAAGAGTGCCAAGGCAGTTCCCCACAAGCCGCGGTTTACCTCGCATCTTTTACGTCGGATCCTGCGTAAGCCCGGCGTGCGGCGCGCCGAGTTTCGTCGTCTCGCATTGCACGACACGCACGGATAATCGCGCGTGTACACAAGTGCGGTTACAAACACCAAGCATCGCATGGGATATGAGAGATGAGCAACAGCAGAGCGGCTCCAAGCCGCATCAGCGGCAGCATCCTCGCCATCTGCAAGAGGCGAGTGCTGCTGCAGCTGCCGGCACCGACTCGGACGGTTCCATCAGCTGGGAGGACTTTATCGGTGAGTCCATTATCTTGCCCTCTCGCCGCCAGTTTTTTTGTTTACTTTGCGCCTCGCTCGGTTGTAGATAAACCAAAGCTGAACACCTTTCGTACACACACGGCCTTTCGATTTTATTGTCACGAGGCAGTATTCCCCATAGATCCGCCTTGACAATAGTCGTGTATACAGTAGGTCGCCGACCCAACCCCACGCGCGGTCTCGCTCTCCATAGCTTTGTACGTATCGTAAGGCCCTTTGTGTTTAACATTGTGTTTTTGGTGATTTCGTGCGCGCGGGTCCGTGTGTATGTGGGAGGGGGATATGGGTGTGTTACGTTGGTCAGAAGGTTGGTTCTTCGAATAAAAACAAGCTTCGTTTGTTTGTCGGTTTGTACTGTTAAGTTTACATCTTTCGGAGAGGGCACGTGTCTTCTATTTTTCCATTGAAAAATGCTGCCCTTGTGTTTTTACGGAGAAACACAGGTACTGAATATATTCTATGTACTATGACTTCGTCTTACAGAGAAAGACGAGAATCTTGTTTTGCTGGAAAACCGACTCGAGATTGTTAATAGATAACGTGGATAAGCAGTGTGCATTGTGTTTGACAATAGATTAGATTGCAACTAAGTGCTTTCAGATATTTTTTCACTCTTATAAATGGCTTTTATATTGAAGAAAAGAATCGTACGGTCTCAATAGATCCGAAGAGATAACTTGTTTCGCGCGAGATACGAGTTCAATAAATTCCGCCCACAAAATGTAATCGAGTATATATAGAGAGACAAACGACACTCTTGTATATATATCTTGAACTGTAACCAATCTTTATAATCGAGCTTTGAAAACGAACAAATTATTATTGAGATTTACGACATATTGTGTGCGTATGTATTATTCTTTAATTTCATATAATTGCTAAACGACGAAACTGTCGAGATGAAAAATGGTATATTTTGCAATCGGCAATGCAGTGGAAATTCGGTCGACTTCGAAAAAAAAACAAACAGCCTATATTTACTGAACGACTCGCTATAACTTTTCTACGAAAAAACTTTATTTCACTGTTAGCCTACTTTTCTATATATATACAACGCTAATGTTATTTTTATTCTGAAGGGAAATCGATAATCTCCCACACACGTGAAGGTGCGCAAAAAAAGGACGTCATAGTTGCTTGCCACGGAGACTCGCTAAAAGACATGTATAATATATTGATAACGAACAGTGCAGAAGAAAAATAAAAGTTGACTTTCGACGAAAAATGAAAGATTCAATTAACACGAGAGAAAAAATTGGAAGTAGCCTGCTGACACTTTGAGAGTCTTTCGTGTGTGTATTTTGTACGAAGCACTGAAAACTGCATTTTTTGTGACCTTTTTTTCTTAAAGAAAAAAAAAAGGAAACGACGACGCGTGAGCTCGAAAGTCCTTATAAGTCCTGGCACACTTCACGAATTTATTTGGAGGATTTAAAAGATCCTTTCAGACGAGTGTATTGCATTTTTGAAAAGCCTTTTAAAGCTTTATTTGTGAAACCTACTTTCTTTCTACGAGCATTTCTCAACTTTATACTTTTGAACTCTACACGTCTCTGAATAGCGACGACGCGCTATAATTGAAATTATTTTTCATTCTAACCATCTTTTTATACAGTGCATCGTGATGGTCGATCGATTAATTAAATTACGTGCCGCGTTCTGATTGGAAATTGTAATCACTATAATTTGCTGCAGTTCTAATTAGCAGTTATTCGAATCATACACTCACTATTGAATAATTCTCAAAAGTTTTCCGACAAAATACCTGATTTTCGATATAAGGAAAATAACTGTCATCTACATTATGTAATTTCTTTAAAAAAAAAAAATTACGACCAATGAGAAGTCTCTTTGGCTTCATATCCGGCGTCCAAAGAGAAATTTAGTGCTTGCGTTGCGTCTGGCGCGCGCAATGTTGAAACACTCGACGTCTCGTAAATCCGCTCGGACGATATATAAATGCGTTTGTTTTAGGCGCACGAGAGTAGCGTTTCGAAAAGAAACGCTTCATTTTATGCCGATCTAATTTGTGCCCGGTGCGCGCGTGCGCACCGTTAATTCGTAACCTACAATCGCTCGTGCGATTGGAAACGCGTGGACAATGTTTT